CTCTATCGAGAAAAAAAGTCTGATTCATAATCCAAAGAAAGATCACAGGTGTATAACATTTCCACGACTCACCATAACATTTGGACGTTTGTTTGCAGGCTCGGTGCTTATCTCTGATGGGCTTGCATGAACGACTAACTATGTGAATGTCAATTCTATAAAGCAATCAAAAAAATAAAATTACTTATTTTAAGTAACACCAACGTCATAAATGTAGTAGTAGGTATGAAGTTGAAACGAAAATTGGTTGCTTTCGTATGAGGGCAACTTATGGTAAGACATCACAAACAGTTCTGATAAACAAAATGATGTTAAGAATCTTAACTACAGGAAATAATTCCATAAACAAACTGCCGTCATATAATTAACACTTGCGGAATGAAAATGTTTAGCATACTCCGACGAGCAAAACGCGGTAGCGAAATTGCGGTAATCTGTTTTACACTGGGAATTTATATGGCGTATGTTCCATCTCGCTCTATCTGTTTAAGATTTCCTATAATTGTATCTCTCTCAGCGGCGAAACTGCAATGGTGGTACTGCGGTAAAACGATGTTCGCGAGAAACAGCTATACTATACAGATAAAGATGCAATTATAGGAAATCATAGACAAAGCGAGATGCTACATACGTGGTATAAATTAACGAGCTGGCGAACAAAACGGATGGATATACACACATCAAAAGTGTCTAGGGATCAACATATATTTTTGCAATAACTTTTCTCCTGATTGATATTAATTAAAATTTTCTTTAAGGATTCATCAAATAAAGTGTTTTCGTTTGTCACAGTAACGATAAACCAAGTCACCTTTGCATTAATAAAGAAATTTGCCATTTTCCTAAAATCCCTTTAATTTTTGACATTTGAACCACTAACACAAAAGTTCGAAAAAAAGACTGAAATAACAGTTTTCTCTAAAATTTTATTGGGTAACTTAAACAATTAATAATCCGTATTTCTACCGCGAACACTAACAACACAAGAACATCGGTTTGGCATACTCAAAATGAGTTCATCCAAATCACGCTGTGGAATGGCCGCCCATGTTCGTTGCAACAACAAAAAAAGGTCTTCTTGCGACTGGATACCCTCCATATTCGGCAGAGCTCTTCTCTGTAGCATATCCCATGCATGCTCAATCGGGTTCAAGTCTGGCGACTGAGCAGGCCAGGGCAGGACATTGATGTTAGCTGCGGCGAGAGTCTGTCTTACAACTCTTGCGGTGTGCGGTCGTGCATTATCATGCATTAACTGAAATAAGGGACCGATTTGCACTTGTAGAGGAACGATGACGTCTGATACAATCGTCTCAGCATAAATTTGAGCGTTGAGGTTGCCTCTGATCCAAATCAACTCAGTTCTTCCGCCGATCCAAATACCCGCCCATACCATGATGGTTCCACCACTATAAGGATGGACTTCCTGGCAGGATTTTAATCGCTGTTGGCGTCCAGGGGTTCTCCAGTGTCGTATACGTCTTGTATCCGGTCTCATACCAAAACGAGACTCATCAGAAAAGCACACGAAACGCCATTGTTCTTCTGCCCAATTTCTGTGTTCAAGAGCCCATTGATATCGAATCCTACGATTGTGCATTGCTATAGGTGGTACCCGTAGCGGTCTTCGGGAATGAAGGTTCACTTCATGCAAGCGGTTTCTGACTGTTTGGTCGCTAATTAAGTTCCCTGAAGAGTGATGAAGCCTCACGGCTAACATCATGGCGGTTATTGTTGGAGCTCTTCGAGTTAAGATTTGAATGTATCGGTCTTGTCTCCGTGTGGTGCAGCGATACCGTCCTCCATGGCGCTCAGCCACGGTACCAGTGCTTCGGTATCGTGTCCAAAGTCGACTGATAACACTCTGACTTGTATTCAGAGCTAAAGCCACAGTACGTTGCCGGGAACCAGCTTCTATCATTCCCACGGCTCTGAGCATTTCTTCCCTGCTTAAATGACGTCGCCGCTCCATAATAACGTTGGTTTTAATCAGTAGTAGGGAAACAGTAGCACTAATAATGTCTTCAATGCGTTGTATGTTTTTATAGGGAAAATATTGACAGCTGATTTTCATCTTTTACTCGAATTTGATTCACAGTTCCTGATTCAAATTATGAAATGCACCAAAAAGGATCCATATAAATTTATAAAATCATAAATTTATTACAAAGCCACATCTCAATCTCAAGAAATCCGCATAAAAATGCTTGATCCCTAGACACTTTTGATGTGTGTAATATGCGAAAAATACGCATCTGGTCAAACTACTTTTTTTTACAGTCCGGAGGTTTCGGGCTCGTTGAATTTGAATCTCAATAATTTTCAATCGAAACCGTTAAAATTACTAAATTTGTAAATTAAAAACCATTACAAAACTTCACTGTAGGTATGTCATTCAGTTTTATACAGCTCTTGTAAAATTTAATTTTATGTTATTATTCTGTTTTGTCGCCAGCTCCTCAATTCATAGTGTAGGGCAGACTATCGCAGTTTCGGTGTGTTAAAGCGTATAAATCAAAAACGAATGAGAGAATAAAACCACAGTCCAATATAATGAAACAGTAGACTATGATAAAGCTACTGTGCCTACATAAGTTTAATTTGTTGGATCTATTGGGGTTTAATACGAAACGTTTAGATAGTGAGGAGCTGGCGAACAAAACGGTATAATTACATAAAACAAAATTTTACAGGAGCTATAAAAAACTGAATAACATGCATACCTACAGTGAGCTTTTGGCGTGATTTTTAATTTAGTAATTTTTACAACTATTATAGGCGGTTTTGATAGACATGAGTTGAAATTCAAATTCAGCTGGCCCAAAACTTCCGAACTGTAAAAAGAAGTAGTTTAAGGTCAAACCATATGCGTAATTATTCTAATGATCATCAATTCAATGTTTATTTGTGTAATTTGTATGTACCTACTACAAATTTATGTTAACTATAGGTAAAACTGTTATTCATTTCCATTTCGTGATTGTCGTATTTCTCTGAAAAAATCTTTTAAACACCATAGCATAGAAAATAAAATATGTGAAAATGTATGTAATAGAATCTCTAATCGTTTTCTATGTGATGATGACCTAGTCCTTTTGTTTATCTTATATTTATTTTTATAATTATTGACAGCTTGTTAATGATTTTAGCACTTATTACAATTACGAGGACCGTATAAAGTCTACAATGCTACTAAATACATTAATGAAAAAAAACTTTTTGAGATTAATACAATTACTGATATTTTTTTTATGTGAAATATGCGGTTTATCTATTCATAGTGAAAATCATGAATGTTTATTTATTATAACTGTACTTATTTATTGCGTGTTCTATTTTTACTTTATGAGTACTTATTTATTTATTTTAACTGATGAATTTTTAAATTACATTGATTTGATTTTAGAAATTAACTTACATAGAACAATGGCCAACCTAACCTAACTTTTAGTTCTGCAATTTTATTTTGTGATAAATGATCATTTACTATTTTTTGAGGATCATTATTTAGGAACTTAAATTTAAATTATTCTGTTCTGCAAAATATGACAATATTATTATCACTTTTGTGTTAAAATTATTACTGAAGTCATCAAGTTACTTCTTACTAAATAGGCCTAAGCTATATATGTGTTAAAAAGAGATTTATATTTTGAAATATAATATATATTATAGACCGGGAGATGATGACACAAAATACTTGGTCATTTGTACCAGTATGGCGGTTCTTCAGGGGTCTAATTACGTAAAGGCAAAAAGGAAAATGATGGTCATAGCGCTCGCACCGGCGGCCCAATCGCGTGGGCGTTAATCGAACGCGTCGGATAAATAACGAGTGTCGAACGATTTGTTCCACAAAAATGCTTATATTTTCAGATAGTCGAAAAAAAGAAGTAGGCGGTAGCGTAATGCCATACTTCTCGGGTGTGACTTACAGCCCGCCATACCGACGCGAATACATTAATTTAAATAAAACAATTCAACCATTTGTACCAGGCTAATTTTTGCACAGCTAATCATCGTCGAGTAGCCATTCACGAAAATCACCTTGCCATACTTTTCCGACAGTTCCCAATGGCCGCCATACCGCTGCAAAGGAGTAAAATTTTTTTTTTTTCGCCAAACGATTTGTACCACCCTGAAACTTTTTTTAACAGTTCCCCGTATGATCATAAATAGAAGTCTGATAATGCCATACCTGTGGGAGGTGGCGAATGTGAACAATATTTTTTCAAAGTCCCAAGATTTTATTCGTAATTCGAACGATTTGTACCAGTATGGCGCCACTTTTTCCCTCTACTACAAGTATGGCAAATATAATAATGGTCACATTGTATCGTATAATTTCCAAAAATCCAAATGCCATACTGGTACAAATCGTCAAATTTTTTTTTTCTTTTTCACCTTTTAGCTCAAGTCCGACAGTCATCCGCCCCATGTTTACAATCTGTAATAATTTTTTTTACGTACAATTGCATCCAAATGACATGTCATGATGTAAAAAATGATTTTACGTATTTTGCAGTCGTATTTTTAAAACGTGTCAAATAAATAAGTATTTCAAGTATGGCCCCTACTAGAAGTATGGGAAAAATAATAACGGTCACATTTTGCCAAATACTTTCCAAAAATTCAAATGCAATACTGGTACAAATCGTTTGGCGAAAAAAAAAAATTTTACTCCTTTGCAGCGGTATGGCGGCCATTGGGAACTGTCGGAAAAGTATGGCAAGGTGATTTTCGTGAATGGCTACTCGACGATGATTAGCTGTGCAAAAATTAGCCTGGTACAAATGGTTGAATTGTTTTATTTAAATTAATGTATTCGCGTCGGTATGGCGGGCTGTAAGTCACACCCGAGAAGTATGGCATTACGCTACCGCCTACTTCTTTTTTTCGACTATCTGAAAATATAAGCATTTTTGTGGAACAAATCGTTCGACACTCGTTATTTATCCGACGCGTTCGATTAACGCCCACGCGATTGGGCCGCCGGTGCGAGCGCTATGACCATCATTTTCCTTTTTGCCTTTACGTAATTAGACCCCTGAAGAACCGCCATACTGGTACAAATGACCAAGTATTTTGTGTCATCATCTCCCGGTCTATTACGTTCAAATTGAATGAATTTTGACCTATTTAATAAAATATTGTTGAAACAAGGTTTCGATTGATGTATAAATAAACGACTGATTAGTAACTTGTTTTGTAATCTGGTTTTACAATATGTTTTAATGTTATATTATATCACATTATACGAATGATTAAATTTCGGTGCATTAAAACGATTTTTCCATTAGCAGTACCTACTGAGTTGGGCTATATATATATTTGGTGCTTATATGAACAGGAAATTCGTTTGTTTTTTAGATAAATCAGTCGAGATCAGAATTCAGGATCTTTATGTAAGCACGTATTGAATTAAAGTTTAACATATTTATAAATATTTTATAAATAAATACAATTTAAATATATTGTCGTGACGATGTTTGTAAAAAAAATTAAAAACTACTTTCGGATATAGTTTTTGAGGATTAATGGAAGAAAAAAAAATGTAGTAAAATACTACCTTTCTTAAAACAATACATTGTTTTAAACAATATTGTATACCTACAATCAATGTGTCCTTATTGCTAGTGTATTTTGGAGCTAAATAACCAACTAATTTGCCAAATTAATTGTTAAAAGTAGTCCTATTTTAACCTTCTGTTGCCTTGTTATTTTACAAATAAAAATGTAGTTATATTTGCTATTTGCTCATCAAATGAAAATATATGCTTCCAGGTTGTGAACCTTTGCAATGTTAAGTAAATATATGTATATGTAATATTTGCTTTGAATCAAGAAATGAGTTTGTTAAATTTTTCTACGAAAACATCAATGTCCATCAGAGATGATGGACTGTGCATTCACGTCTGCTGAATAACATGATTTTTATGGTATGGTTGCCCCAATTCGTCATCAGTATCGTGTCTACGAAAAACAACACTAAATTTTTTTTATTCACAAAATTTTATTACGATTGTCAAACCTATACTTACTATGTTACATTATTGATACTTATTGAATATTTTCGACTCGTATTTTTCAATAGTAAAAGGGTATGTATGTGAAAAAAATTACTTTTTTAAAATAGTATACCTACGATGAAAATAAAGATAAACAATAAAAACAAATCACATTTATATTGAAATTCAACAAAGCCCTTACCAGTTGAAGAAATGTCGTCCAAAGATTAATTTAAACGCACTATTTATATTTATTGAATTTAATAACAAATATTTGTACTTAGTTTTTAATTTCAGCACGCTTACTCGCATTATATACTTATACAGAAATTAATTTAGTCAAATAAATTGATTTGCAAAATTTGTTGTTTTTTTTTCATTCATTTGAATTTTATTTGAATGCCATTAAATTATCTATATTATAGATTACCTGATTGTAAAAAATAGATATTTGTAGTCGGTATTTACGTAATAGCAGTATCGAAAATTTCTGAATAGGCCAAGAAAAGCACTCGCCTGCCTCGCTCGTACCTACTTACCTCAACATCCATTTTATAGAACATGTAGGTAGTCAAAGAGAGTATTTAGGATAAACTGTTTTTATAATGTAGCCCCCTAATCAATAAACGAAGACTAAGCTTGGATTACTTAACTCATGTGATGTCTCTGTTAATGATTCATATCATGGCACTTGAGTGATATGAACAAAACACGGCGTAACTAGTCGAAGCTCATTCCTCGTTTATTAGTAACGGGTTACCTAAATGTGGTTGGTGTCATAGCCGCGCTGTAACTGAACTCTACTCTTAAGTTGTGTAAGTAAAGTATCTGTTTTGGCTAAAATTAATACGGTAATTAAAAGGTAGTTCTAGTTGCCTATGTTTTTAGGTGTTATAACAAATTTGACTCGGGAACTAAAAAATGTAAGACCTTTTTGTATTGAGTCGTTTAAGCAGCCGGTTTTCAGTCGCTTTTTATACATTGATAACGACTGCTTTGGATAACTATCCGATAATAACCGTTTTTTTCTTCACTTTTTTATAAAGGCGAAAGTTATTTTACATTGCTAATTATTAACGTAATATTGGCAGGTAATTTTTTTTTGTAATGCTTGAGGCAGGAGATCATCACTACTGATGAAAGTGACTCTCAAAGATGGTGTAGTTACTATGAAGCCGTTGTCCTGGAACTTTCCCCTTATATCTTCAGCTTCCAACCATAAGAACAGGACGACTCTATTCACATGTATTCTTACTGTATATTTATGTTTATTATTTGTAACAGTTTGTGTTTGTTTCGAAACTGTGATCTGTAACAATAGAAAAGATAAGAAATAGGTATTACTATTTTTACCTCTACTGCGTTCGTAAATTCGTATACCTAATACATTTCTATGTTTCACATGCATCTAGAGGTCTTAAAATCGATTAATGATGAACTTCGTCGTACTGGTCCTATTCTAAGGCATTAGAAACTTAACGTAAGATGGAAGATGACGACAATCACGATATATCGAAAACAGGAACGTATATACACGCCTCCCCACTAGAATTTGCCTACCTGGTTATATATAAAAAAATATGTAAATCTAATTAGAATATAGGTCAGTAACGAATGCCTTTATGTGGCGTCTGCCGCCGCTCGCAGCTCTTGCAACCCCTCCTTATCTGCCGCTCCAGGCGATGGCTCTCTTGCTCTAGGTTAAATGTCCCTGTCGTAAATCAATATTGAGACTATAGCCGTTGGATCGTCGTCTTTCCTTTCGTTTCGGTGACCATTATGTACAACTCTTTATTGGTAGTAAAAGGAGATTACCGGAACACCTTCCTTCATCATATTCTGACTAATGAAGAAATATGATTACTTGCCTCAACTAGAAACCTTATATTACAGCACAGGCATTTGATAATAATGAGCGATGATAAGTCTAAGCACGAAGTGATAACTTGGATACAGTGAACAATAAGTATCTACATGCTTAATGGAAAATTTACCTGAATATCAGGTTGTGATAATCCTTTTACCGTCTTCAGTGGCTTAGGAAAGACATAATTGTGAGGCGAAGTCTTAACACCGGGAGCTTGCAACGTAAATTTCAGGAAAATCTCGTCAGTCTGCTGATTCCATAGCTTTATACTGAAGTCCTGTTTTCTTGAGCTCAAAGCTGGAACATATGCTTTATAGGTTTGAGTACTCGCTGGAGTCAAACTGGTGAAGTTAAATACGTCGACAATGATTGTAGCGTTGATAATCGGCACGAATCTGTCGTTTATAAGGTACACGTCCACATCCCCAGATTCGAGAAGCCTGGGTGACACCAAAACTGGCGCGAAGAAGGATCTTGCGAAATAATGTAGCATCTTCCACTTGCCGCCGTATTCTGGGGAAAAATATGATAATTTAATTTATTATTAAGGACTACCACTGAAATTTGCATATCTAAAATGATACCTGAGATAAGTTGTAATTTTAACCGACTTCCCAAAGGAGGAGGTTCTCTCGTCATTATATTCTGTTCATAGTTGTTTGCGCATATCTCCCAGGTTTGTTGACCGATTTTGATGATTATTTTTTTGTTTGGAAGAGTTTGTTAGCGGTCCCTTAATGGTTTCTTATTAATTTGGTCACATATAGTCGTGGTCAAGTCACAGTAGGTACAGATTGTGAAGTGGGTACAGATGGACCTAGCCCAGGGGGGGTCATGACCCCCATGACAGCCCCCCTCCCCCTGGATCCGCCCTTGCGTAGACACGACCCGAGAAATTTAAAATACACCTATGTAGAGTACTGACCTATACTAGACCACGAGGGTGCTTGCCATACGTCGTTCAGTTGCCAATACAAAGCACCCATGGTGTACCACTCTTCCTGACTTTGCCGGTAAAATTCTGTCTCCGTTTTTATCGCCATGGCTTGAGTTATCTAAAAACACAAAAATATCTTTCATTTCTTGTTCAAATGGCTAAATTCTGAGACCACATGTAGGATCTTGTGCCTATCAATCAATTTAATAAAGAACTATGTTTTTTCAACAACTGCAATGACTATTTAGAAAGTCTCTATTTTTCCTTTTAATATCAATTCAGATTAAGCTCATCTTCATGGATGATTTCATCAGTCCCAGCAGTGGGGACATGGGGAATAGGCTGATGACGATGCCATCATCAGCCTATTAATGTCCCCACTGCTGGGGCACAGACCTTCTCTATGGATGAAATAGGGAGATTGGGCCATGACCCAGCACGCGGGCCCAGTGCGAACAACTGCTGATGCAGCCGGGACCAACGGCTTAAGGAGCTCGAGATAGTAAATTTTTGGTCACCCATCCCATTGGATGCTGCGAAAGTTGCTTAACTTCAACGTTCGCAGCCGAACGAGCTAACCACTTGCGCCATTGAGCTCCGCAACTTAAGGTGAATGTTACAAATTATAATTTTAAAACTTACCTGGCTATAAAATACGAACTTTTCGAAATATTTAGTATCGTTCTTATCGAGTTGCAAATGTCTGTTAACTTGGTTCTCTATAGCTTCATAGCCGCCGGGGCTGTGTTGTCTGTGCTTAGAGTAAAGACTGTCTACTGCGAAGTCTTTAGGATTTTTTGTGGCTTTTCGCATTGTCGCTAAAGACGGTAACGATTGGAACCCATACTCGGAAGCGAATCTAGTTTTGGGGTAGATATTGAAATCCCAATTATCAGCCATGTAGTTATAATAATGTGTATCACCATAGTTCGGGTCGTATGGGTTTCTCGACAAGTAGCCGTCCATCTCCGATTTCAATCCATTCGAAGGACTTGACACGACATATGCATTATCGTCTAAGTTTTCTACGATAGGTCTTATTGTTTCCACATAAAGTTTGATATATTCCTCCTTATACTTTTCAAAATTTTGAGCTGTGCCATACCAGTTACCCATTAACGCCGCCTCGTTTTCGTTATTCCCTGCCCATAACGCAATAGATGGGTGACTCTTGAGGTTGATAACGGTTTGCTCTATTTCAGTCTTCACGTTGCTGCAAATAAATTTTATATATTAAAGTGCTATTATGTAGTTGAAATCGTAACAAAAATATTTACTTGAAATCATAACTTTTAAAAGAGGTTTGAGCAGAATCCTCTCGATTGAAGCACCCATCTGAATAACTATTCAATTAGGAAGTAACCTCTGCTTTATGAGCATATTCGATTCCAATTTTTTGACCACATCAAGGAAATCTTATTCTAAGGAGTCTGGATCTGCAGGATACATGCTGTAGACGAAGACTAAGTCCTGCCAGATGAGTATTCCGTTCTCGCCGCGCCGCAGCGATCTTAGAACGGGGCAGTGGGCACAGTATCAAGCTTGTTTCCTATTTTTGAAGCAAATCAAGGAAATCTTACTTTAAGAAGTCTAGATCTGCAGGGTACATGCTGCAGGCGAAAAGTAAGTCCTGCCATATGAGTATTCCGTACTCGTCGCAGCGCTTGTAGAAGTATTCGTCCTCGTACACACCGCCGCCCCACACGCGAAGCATCGACATGTGAGTTTCTTTCGCCGACAGGAGCAAATCATCAACTGCGACCGAAAGTAAAATTTAACTTTAAAATATTTAGATGGCGTTATAAAGGTAAGTACATTATCAAATAGAGATATCAAAATAAACATTTGAAACTAAAATTCTAAAATCTATCATCGAATCTGTATTTGCCGTATCAACAAAAAAATTTTAAACACACTAAAATTTTCGTTCCATCTTAAAAATCAACATTAAAACATACCTAATCCACAATAGATTAGACTTACTTCTATCCTTGTCAGAGCTGTATTCAGGCAAAATGTGCGCTGGAATCCAATTGGAGCCTTTCATGAATAAGGGATAGCCATTCACCTCAAAATGGAAAGTAAGACCTTGACCGAACGTTGCATTGCCTGTAACCGATAACATTTACGTAAATAAATGTACGCCCCCTGAGAAAGTACATGCTATTACGTACCGTTTAATTCGTGCAGTGAGAAAAGTTCAACAGTGATGAGAACAGCAGTGTTGTTAAGCCCCGAAAAAGTCCGCGCTAGCCCTTTAGGGGCTTTAGCACAAAACCTCTAATAATATAATATATCCGCCTCATTCTAGTGTAACGTAAAACAGCGCGGTCGAAAAAATCAATTTATCTCATGTATAAATCCTGATTTGTACCTGCACCTTTAGTTTTCCGAGCAAAGTACTATCCTATTACCTACCTACTAAACTACCGAACCCTTAGGAAATTAATTTGATTTTTCTGTTTTACCTAAAGCAAGTATTAAATTATAATTTTTATTATTTTTAAAGCATGTAACTGCTTGATGTTTAAATTATTTCTGGATAAAAAATTCTAGAACATAAGGTTCCTCACTAATTTTGTCAGAGACATCAACTTGAACCAATTCCGACACACGAAAGCCGACGCGCATATGCTTCCTTGAGATCTCGCCGTTATCCGATCGAAGTACCACGTCGAGATCATAAAGATTCTGCCTTCCGTAACCATTTGGCCACCAAGCTCTTACCACGTTCTGCAACAATGATGTTGGTACTAAAATGTCCAAAGAGCACACCGTTTAAAATCAAAGGAAATGCAACTTGAGAAAGATTCCTCTTAAAAATCTTAAGAATAACTTTCAGTATCCGGTCGTTTTAAATGAACATTGGATAAATGCTAGGCCTTTCATTTTGCTTTAAAGAGCATTATTTATAATAACGACGTAAAAGACGTCTAAACATGTTTTTGTTTTTAAAATGCCATTGCCACATAACTAGAATAAATAAAAAAAATGTGTGCGTGTACTAGTGTACACACGTAAGAAGTGAAACTTCTTTATGGCCTTATTTTTCGAAAAATGATCTACATGCAACTTTCCAGAAATTGGTTAAATAAAGTTTAATTAGGTAAAGTTTAAACAAAAGGATTTTATTATCATAGACATGAATACAAATTACTGCCTATGAAACTATTATGATTACACGGCTCAGTAATCTAAGGCACATGTTCCACCTCCGACGATGAACGATAAGCGAGTAGAAACTAGAAACGAATTGGCAGTCCTGAGTTAAAATTCACGCGCACGGCTTTTGACAGCCAAGCCAGCTTAACCGAGCGAGTATCGCTGAGCTAGTATCGCTGAGCGAGTATCGCTGAGCGAGTATCGCTGAGCGAGTATCGCTGAGCGAGAATCGCTGAGCGAGTATCGCTGGGCGAGTATCGCTGAGCGAGTATCGCTGAGCGAGTACCGCTGAGCGAGTATCGCTATGCGAGTTTGGCTGAGCGAGTCTTATTTTTAATAACTATTGTCACTCAGCTACAAACGAGTAGAGAGAGTTCTCGCCGGCGACAGTGTGATCATTCAGCTATCAACTATTAATATAAAAAAAAGATGGCGCGTAACGGAAAAATGTGACGCGTAACCGAAAAAAATGTGACGGTAAATTTTTTTCCAACGCCGATAAAGAAGTTTCACTTCAAAAATCTTCAACCTTTATTATTTAAAATAATAATGTAAGCTCTGAATACGTACATCGCTCAATATCATTTGTATATTAATTGTAGCAGAACCATCATTAGCAGTAGTAACGTTATGTATTCTCGCTACTGTCCTTGATTGATCTCCTTCCAATTTAATCCTGGCTTCTATTTGAACAGAGATCGTCTTTGCTCTGTACCCTGACTCCATGTAAGTTTTGATATCTAAAACCCAGAAGCCGTCCTTCTTTTTGGTGTGCGTCGTTACTGTACGAATCACAGCGTCATCAAAGAAATTAATTTTAGCTGTTTTCCTGCAACAAATTTGCTTTTATGTAAATCTATACTATTTTTTTTTGATATCACTGATAACTATTTCCTGGTTTTTTTTATAATAGAAGATATTCCATTTGCACGCCTAAGTATTTAACTCAAAATTCCACTCTGAACGTACGTACGGTCTAGTAATTTTAAGTTCATTTATTAAAATATTTACCACAATAGCAAAAACAAGATAAAAAGGTAGGATTATCTTTACTTTCGATAAAAAAGATTTATTAATAGAATAAACATGACCTATAGCACGGACCTATAGTTATAGATACCTCATTATCCTTTAAGGAAAGAGATACCTTACCAGAGACCCACGGAGGGGAACGCCGGTCCCCAGTCCCATGCGAAGGAGGCTTGCATCTTCCTCAGCTGGTTCGCATGGCACTCGCCGTTGTAATTCTTGGGAACACACTCCGGCAACGTGAAATGTTTAGCTGAACGCTCATTAGCTGCCATCACGGGAGACTCGAAGCTTAACTTCAATTCATTTTCCCCTACCTAAAATATTGTTTTAAATATTTAGACGACATCTTGGTTAATTGTAAAATCTTATTTTAATCTATAGGCCAGGGTCGATATTTTTTTGGTTCAATACAAATCGGAACAGGATGAACACACTAAACCTTTTAGGGAAAAATAACTAACGGGCGATTTCAGGTCGGAAAAGGTGGGGAGTTTAACTTTTTTAGTGGGGTTAACAGTTTACTACTCCTATTTCAAGCATGCTCTTATTAAAAGTATTTATTTTACTCTTTATTTTGATATTACTTATATTGCAAAAATGATCTTATTTATAATTTTTAAATCTACCGTCAAAAAAGTTGCTTTTTCAAAAAAGTTGGTGCGTTTTTTGTTTCTTGGAACCTCTACTTTCTGATGATATAAATTACTATGGAAAAGAAAATACAAAAGTTTCGCCACCATTCTCGACCATATCCCGGATAAATATTAGGTTCCTGAGGGATTTTCAAAAAACTAAGTTAACTCGCGGTTAACTTAGTTTTTTTAAAATCCCTCAGGAACCTAATATTTATCCGGGATAAAAAGTATCCTATATCTCAATCCAGGTCATAAACTATATGCGTACCGAATTTCATTTCATCCAAATCTGTTCAGTACTTCTTGCGTGATTGAGTTACAAACTTTCACATAGGTAATATAACAATATATTTTTTTTAATTCATTTATAATTTATTTATTTTTTCATTAAATGCTTTTTTTAGAGTAAATCATGAAAAAACGTCTGAAAACGTGGTTTTTTCTTATAGAAAAATTGACGTTTCCACTATCGAATAAGCTAAAAGGTTTTGCATCAGTAAAAACTTTACAGAGCATAAAATGTCTAGAATTAATCAGCCTATTATTTACCATTCTTATCTATACTTCTATACAAATATTATAAAGAGGAAAGATTTGTATGTATGTTTGTAACGAATTGGCTCAAAAAGTACTGGACCGATTTTAAAAATTCTTTCACCATTTGAATGCTTAATTACTGATTAATATAGGCTATAGTGTATTTTCAAAAAAGTTAGGGTTTCGTATGAAAACTTCGATAACGTAACCCAACGTGTGTAAAAAATACCATAAAATAGTCTTATGTCGCGTACGCTGCGGAATTCATTGACGATGGAGCAAAGTGATGTTTTATAGAGGATACCAATATCTACAAAAAAGTCCGCGATACTATATGTCAAAATATTACAGTTATGTCACAACTAGAGGTCCTCTGCGGTTTCACCCGCGTTAATTTGAAGAAAAAGGTTTATAGTGAGTCAAACTTAAAATATGGACATAGGCTGTCATTACACTTTTTACAGAACTTTAAAGGGGAAGAATTCCGTCATACATGGTTTTTGTGTAAATTTATCCGTTTACCCAGCGCACGCAACGGAATCTCACAAATGGAATATTTTTACCCGTTTTTGCAACATTTTTCATCGATGCTCCGCTGCTACTGGTCGTAGCCTGGTAATATATATAGCCAATAGCCTTCGTCGATAAATGCACTGTCCAATACAAAAAGATTTTTTAAATCAGAACAGCAGAGCAATGTTGCATTCAGTACAACGGGTCCTAAACTACGCAACGATTTTTTTATTTGTAATGGAAGGTTTATAATTATTAAGAAGAAAGTCATTGTGTATAATACAAGCATTTGAACAGCTCTACACCAAAGCAAAGCGAGGGCGGGCCACTAGTCTTTAATAATTTTTTTTTTATCCCCAAAAAGGCGACAACTTCGGCGAAGAGGGTAAGTAGAAGAGGGTACAGCCAAATTTTGTGCTAATCAGTGCTGTTTCGTAGAATTGCTAGGGAAACCGTGCATTGACTGGACAAAAAGTCGTTCTCAAGTTATGACGCGGCAAGGGAAATAGGGATTCATTTATGGATTTCACACACCATCAAATGATCCTTTACATCGATGGTGTATCTCACGAACATGTTGTTTGTCGTGAGAATTGGTTTTCCGTTTATTTCGACGTAAGCAATTGTGTCTACTCCATTTAAGACCAGACGAGCTACTGCGGAGTTTAACAGGTCATCAGTCACTGAAAATGTAAACAAAAACGCATATAATTAATGAATTTATTTATTATGGACAGCAATATAACAATCGCCATTTACATTATAGGGTCTCACAGACGGAGAGATCTGCGGCCGCGGCCGGGGTGACGACCAGTTGTATTCGCTTGAATGTAAGCGAGTGGTCAACACCAATAAGGGCTGGCCGCGGCCGCCTCTGTCCGTGAGACTCTTTAAAATGGTAGTTAATATTACAATAGCTATATGAGTTGATCTGCGTGTTACACTTCCTATGCAAGTTTGAGCCGGTTGCCTTTTATATAAACACTAGCTGACCCAGCGAACTTCGTACCGCCCTAAAAAAATAGAGGTTGTCCAGCGGACAAAATTGTGAATCTAAACCATTCTCAGATCCCCTTGAACACACACAAAAAATTTCATCAAAATCGGTCCAGTCGTTTAAGAGAAGTTCAGTGACATACACACTCACAGAAGAATTATATATATAAAGATATATGAACTAAGAAAATATATTTCTGCACCTACAGATCCGCAGCTAGGTTGATAGTATTTTTTTATTTAGTGGACATTTCGGAAGTACAGAAATAAATTAAATTGCGTGCTAGACTAGAAGGTGTACAATTATAAATTTTCCAACATTAATTTCCAAATCTTTTTTTAGCGGAAGTTGCAAGTCCGAAGGTGCATAGTGTGGAATTTTTTCTAATAAAATTTTGTAGTTAAATGCTTGAAAAATAAAAATAAAACGAATAATTTTCCAATTTACGTAAATTTACCGTTAAACCTTCCGGAGTACGTCCACGTGTCGTAGGCGACCCATCTCGTGAGCACATCGTTGAAGCCCTCCAAAATATCCCCGATGACAACTGCTTTCATCAGGTCTGAGTAGACGCCGCCGGGCACTGAACCCTGCACCTTAATGGCTACAAATTGAAATATGCAAAACTTTAGAGAAAAGATAACTATTTGGTTTTCTTTTTTTACCCATTGATATTATTCGCACCAATTGACAAAAACAAAATCGCCACAAGAAGCAAGTAATGTAAAGTGAAACTGAAACTCTTTTCTTTTCGTTCCAAAACTATTAATATCGTTAATAATAACCATTATATCTCGTTCAATCTAAGTTTTGAAAACAATCATTAAATACATAGTTGAAGTAATAGGTAAATTTACTAGGTATTTCGATAAAATATTTGTATAAGACAAACATTGTTTATTCATCATCATATGTTATCGCCGCATTAAGAGACGTCAATTAATTTTAATACTTTATTAAATAACGTGTTCTTTTTCTATAGTTATCACAAATATGGTGTCAAAAGTTAAGTTTCTGAGTGCGACTAAAACCCATTAAACCTACATCTAAGTACTAAAATACTCTTTGAACAAAGAAAATATAAATACTTACAGCCATTTTTATTCTCCAACGTCCAGACTGCATTTTGTGAATCTAAACTTAGTTCCTTAAAGACACTATCACTTAAATGCACATATAGGGACAGTACGCCAACAATTATCACCAGGAATGACCTCATCTCGATTTTAATTTATAAATAATTATCACTTTCAATAGCTTCGACCAAATAATACATTGTACGTAGCCAGATACTGAGCATTGTCACTCAATAACTGTCCATCTATTCTCCTCGATACACATTCGTATATTGATAGGCCAGCGCTGAAACTCGTTTTATCGATAAGGAAATATATTGAGTTTATTGACTATTAAAATACATTTCATGTAAATAAATATGATGGCACAGTGGTCACCAACTTATTGGCCAGTCTTTTAAATTTTAAAACATGGTACAGATACTTATTACTGTCAAATAAATCGATTCAGAATTCGTATTAAAAAGTAAGATTTATCCTCGAATTCCCCGTTCGGTTTATGTTCGATTGAAGTATGAACGCAGTTTACTTGAAGAGTGTTAATTTTTTAAACCAATGTGTGTGAAATTAATCATTCAATAACTAGTTGTTTCTTAGGTTTTGACGCACACCAATCATTAAATAAAACAAGTTTCAACGGTATAGATCCGCTGATTTATTTGTTTCTTGACGTTTCGCCTGACGACGCAGCCTGAAAAATAACATAATTCTGAAATAATACCTATATAAAACCTTTTTTATAAGGATTTTTATCTTTAAACTAATATCAAATTTTGAAGCAACAACATCGTACATAATGTTTTCTTTTTCAAAATGGCGAAAATCTTTTTTTATTTTTAAATTATATCACTACGTATATCATTATTATATACTTATAAAACATCGAAATTCACTTAAATCGATCATCACATAAAAAAAAAAGATGAATATAGAATATCCTCCTTTCCTGTTTGAAATTGATTAAAAGTTACAAACCGTCCTTCCAGACTACACTATTTAACTCAGAATGGGAGAGTCCCCTATTAGACTGGGTTACGTGAGTTCCTGTCTGCGTATTTTCATTTATCAATTGAGTTTTCGATTAAGACTATCTTTGAAGTAAAATCCAATATTACTTGTGAAAATTATACGTCTTCCGTGGTAATTTTGAATAAATCCAAGCCATGTCACTGAAATGTAGCGTTATTGTCACGTCGTCAAATTACCTCCACAAGAGGGACTTCCACAAATTATTTGTCTTCAAACTACAAAGTTCCTTAAAAGGAACAAAAACTTCGCTTGTAACTCTTTAACCACTGTTGCTCCAGTCAGCTCACCCCTTATAGTAAATACTGTTATTTACGGGATTATTACCATGTACCATGTTTTTAGCGAGTTTCCGATATTTCGTGAGTTACTCCGTGATCATGGCGCTTGCAACAGTGCCGAAATATCGGAAACTCGCTAAAAACAAGGCAACAATCCCATAAATAACATAAATTAATATGATGTTATTGACAATGAGGTTTAAAACGATATATAGCTCACCCCGTTTTTGGTGGAAGCACTCATATTAACTTTATCATTTCTAATGAACCTTAGTCTGTAATTGGTTTGCTCCACTCGCAGTCGAACGCGGACGTCAAATCGATACCGGTCCAACACTAGCAATTTATCTTTAATTCACCACTTAGCATTCTTCTTCATAAACTCGTATCAGCTTGGCCATGCGATGCGAAAGCATCTCAAATTTCTGTGTTCTGCTTGTTGACATAGCAGCTGACATGATAAAACTGCTTTACAACACCTAACCTAACCGATAAGAAAATTATAAGTGCTATTTAGGTACTATAAAGCATGAATAATAATATTTAAATTCAGTATTATTAATTGTAGTATCTTAATGTGATGTATTTGTTTCTTTGTTTGTTAAAGAAAAGGTTAATAAGTGAAAGATAATTTTTTTTCTACCTACTCTTCCCAATGGAGACTGCAAACCCATCTGTATCTTCTCCTAATACACTCTTTGCTCAAAAATACCACATTATAGGATTGTCCGAATGCCATGTGGGTACGTGTGTAGGCGCCAATTCAGATTCACTCAGATACTCCGCATTTTTTTTATAGATTTTTGTAGAAAAAAAATCATCCGGAAAGCGGATTCAAGCGCTATCAAGTTGAAATCATGGATTACTTCGTGAGGCCATTTAAATTTGCATTCACCACTACAATTTTTAATTTGATGCAAGTTAGAGTATGTATAGGTGTGTATAGAATTATTTAAGGTAAAAGCAACCGCACATTGAGCCACTAGTCGCCGCTACTAAACCTGACCACTAGTGCCTTAGCCAAGCCACTAGATGCAGCCACCAATCGCAATCGCCAGTGGCATAGTGGTGACCATTAGTCACCACTGAATTCCGCTCCGTACTTTTGGCTGAATTCCGTTCAGTTCTGTCGAGAGTTTCAGTCGACTAGTGGTGAAATGGAAACTCTATAGATTTCGTTATTGTTGATTATTTTATTGAGACATAGAAAACCTCTTCGAATTCAAAACCATTGACATATAATTCTTCGTGATACTGTGGCCGAGTGTGCGCGCGATCGAGCGACAAAAGGCGGCCACTCGAACCCTTGATTTGCACCGATATTATACAAAATGTATAAAAAATACTCGTACGTAGCTAATGGCTGCGTTAAGTGAAAGTGCGATTGCACTATCAGGAGGAACAGGAGCTACAAAGACCTTCTATGTAAAGAAGGTCATTAAGGAGCAAAGTATGTTAATATCTTTGTTGAGGAGCTAACAAAACGAGATACTGACAACCAAAGCTGACAACCAGTCTTCAATTTTGACAAACCTGATAGAATCTTCATGAAATGTGATACTTTATTGTAAACAATGTAAGCTTTAAATTAAATACTATTTAAGTTAGTATGGATCGAATTTCATTGTTCGAAGAATACAGATTGATTGAACGCAGCGAATCCAACGTAAACGGTGTTTGGAAAGGTATTTATAACACAGTTTTTCCCTTAAACGCTAGTAGCCAAATAACATTACTCAATAGTAACTAACCCTTATTTTAGTAGGTGTATATTTCCGTTGATGAGAAAGGCTTCAAGTAAGCAATGGAGTCAAGGTAGACAAAGCGTGAGTGAAAGTCTGGTATATACTTATAACGGGTCATATGCTTGTTTGACAGCCTTTTAACATAAATAACTAAGTAAGCTTGCCGCAGCTGTCATAGGATAGAGGAGTAGAATTCTGTCGCTTACGAAGTTCATGCTATACAGATCACAATTCATCTTAATGAGCTCAGAGGGATAATTGATGGTGCAACTGTACGGTTTAACTTCGAGAATGAGATTCGAAGAACGAACGAACTAAAATTGAGAAGGAGCTCGATCGAAAACAAAAGATGATACCCACAGACCAAAAGAAATGTTGCAGGCAACGCTAGGATCTTTCCACTTCTTTCTTTAGGATGTGCCACTGTATATTTGTTAGAGATGGGAGAAGAAAATAATGATAATTATGATGATCAGCTTAAATATGTCTCACGTATATTTAACTTTTTTTTCTATGTAAATATAGTAGTTTCAAAGCTCTTATAGTAGTTGACAAAAAAAATAGAGAATATTTTTTTTATTTTTTCCCCCCTGTGAAGGGGATAATGCGGAATAATCGCCGATCTTTTCAATTTCACTAAAACGTAACGTTAGCGCGACGTTGCCGTTGGTACTCGCGGTAGCGTTGTGAAACTGATGATATTTTATAGTGGTTTTTAAATAGATTTTTTCTTTAAATTTTGATACAAGGTTTTACGCTAAAATAACTTCATCTATGTCACTGTTTAATGTTTTCAATAGGTAAGAAATTTTCTTTAACCAAAGTTGAACGACAGGTACTCTTAAACTAACAAATCTTTCTTAACCATTATAGTTTTCCTTAAATTTTCATAAAAAGCACTATGAGCATGAATTTTTCCAGGTTTTTCAAGTCAATACTTAAACTTTTAGTGGGGGAACGCTCTACTCGAACAAAAATTAGCACTTTAAAGTTTAATATTTCGCAAACGGATCCCTAAATCGAAAAATAGTCTTGGAACCCCTAAGTAATTTTAAAGGACCTATTCAACAATATTACAAACGATGAGGTAGATGATGAACAAAAAATATACCCAGGTTTCATGTAAGGGACCATAATAGACTCCAAGCAAAACCGGGGACGGACAGACGGACATAACAAAACTATAAGGGTTCCTTGTGAGGACTACGGAACCCTAAAACCAGCGGGGGACATTGAAAACAGTAATAAATGAGAATGAAGCGAAAGATAGACGGACCATGTTTTGATTATGGCGCTCTGTACCCTCAGCACGAACCAATATCGAATTCGAATAATTTGCGAGTCCGAAATATCATTGTCAAAGGTGTACTGATTTTTAGTTCTCGTTACGTACTTTGTGGCGCTGCTGTTCAAGTTTCCATACAAAATTTGACATTGACATTTCGCACTCGCAAACTATTCGAATTCGATAATGGTTCGTGCTAAGGGTACTTATTCTAGCTGCCTACCCCATCCGAGATACGGCGTGAAGATAGTGTGCTCAAAATAATGATGTATCATAATATTTAAAACGTAAATATCTTCGATCAACAATTCTATAGATAACGGGTTGCATACAAAATCAAAGCTAAAAACTGTCCGCGTATATATACTTATACTTATTCAGTTATTTTCGATTCCCAATGAACAAAGATAAATGTTTTAAAATAGTTTAAGTTGAACCTAATAACAACTATCTGACAAAGGACTAAAAATTTTAAATAACAAAATGTTTTTTCGCACATACGACTTTTTATCTTATAAAACGAACTCTTGTTCCTTTCACAAATTATATAAATATCTACCCCCTAGCATGAGTACCGCGATATAATATATAACGCGTTTTTATCACGCTCAATTATCAAATTACTATGGAGTTTGACAGTTAGACGCGATAAAAAACGTGATATAATGTTAACTGTGGTGCTCATGCTACGGGGACTGATACTTGTAAAAAACGATAAAAGTGAAAAAAGGAAAATGTGAAATCAACCTTACCCACAAAATTAAATATTTTTATCAGTCATTGGCTAGCGAGTTACTTCGTTTTGTATTAGCCGAACTAATTTAAAATAAGATCCCACGCCTCAAGTGAGGCTATATTTAAAATTAGATTGAGATCATATTAGTTCCTTATTTAAAAATCATAAAAAGGATTTTAAAAAATACCTTAGGATTATTTTCAAACAAAACACTTACATAACCGCAGTTATTACAAGATGTATCATATTCATTATATTAATGTCAATGTTAGTTAGGTAACATCTTATACAAAAAAATCATTGCACAATTACTCTAACAAAGTTGAAGTTCATCATTCAATGTCAATTTGTTTATTAATAGTAATCATGGTATGTTCACCTCGTCTTGATGTGGGCAAAAGAATTTGGTTACTAACAAAAAATAGGCAATAATTGTTATATTATAGGAAGGCCATGCAGTGTGCAGATTTATTTGTTCTCTAATTTCAAGGTCATTATTCTGACAATTATGTAATAATGATCACTATCGTAATAACTAATAGGTTAAAACCTTTAATAGTTGTATTTGGTTTTATAAAATTCCCTCTGTTCCCAGTAATCTTACCGAGCAGCCTTACCAGTTGAACTACTGCGAATTTCCTTCCCAATAGACTTACTAGTAAGACCACTGGGAACTTTGTACCCAGTAAACTTACCAGGAAAATAAAACTCCCAATAGTGGTACTCTTATGTAGAACTAGGTAATTGATTGAATACCTACATAGTTTGTGTAAGTACCAGGAGACCACACTTAACTTTTTAAAAGAAAGAACACTTGTTTGTCATTTGGAACAAATACAATTATTATTTCTTTTTTTCTCTTACACTCAGTAAAGCTTTTCCGATGATCTTCCATCCATGACGAGGTCCATATTTTATATATTTTTATAAAGTAAAACTAATGGAAAAGAAATAACACCAGCGTAGTCTTACTATCAGTAAATCTATTGGGAAAGAAAATCCCAGTAGTTCAACTGGTAAGACTATCGATAAGACTACTAGGGACAGGGGTAAAATTCAAAATAATTACCAAAGTACAATATATTATGTTTCTTATTGCAAGCTATATTTTTTGTTGAAATGGAAAGTTAAATTAGTTGTAAGTGAAGGCTAAGTTTATAAATGTTTGATGATACATAAATATAATATGCCTATATCAATAATAATGGTTAAACAGCTTCAAGGTGTATTTAAAACTCTACCTTTGCATATTTATTGCTAAAATAAGTTAAGTTAAACATGTCCAGTGTTTGAAAGTAGGTTAGGCGCCGTATTAAAAAAAACTACGACCTTCTTCTGATTAGAAATGAAAGATAGCGCGTCAAGGCTTACTTAGATGTTGTTTTTTTGCTTCCAAATGTTTAAAAAAATACATTATCAAGCCTGCTTTGTCTTGACAGCCAATAGAGAATATGCATGTAATTCATATAAACCTCATTTTATTATTATACATACTATTACTTCTTATTTGATGCGAAAAAAAATAAAAATAAAACTATTTTTTTTTTCATTTTTTTTTGTTTTTCAATCATGATAAAAAATAAAAAATAGTAAAACGTCCATTGAAATGTGCACTGCAAATGTGTACTTGAACTGCCCAAAACCGCTCTATTGGATTTTTCATACCTGCGCAATTTATAACTTGAAAACGGTAAGTAATACAAAAAAATTGTTTATACAAAAGTTGTTGGTAATTATGTACGAAACAACTTTGCCATTTAAAGTTTTCCATTAAAATGATATTTTCAGGGTGAAAAAGTGAAAAAACACTTTTTTGAGACTTTAGCGCCACCTACAATGCGCATTTTTTGTTGTACGAGATTGCAACATTGACATAAATTGTAGCACTCAACACCCTCTACAATTATGGTCGAAAAAAAAGTTTCTAAAATGCATACAAAACAAGAAAAATGCGTTTCAAAAAATTTTTGACGGTTTTTTTGAGTTTTTCAAAAAACGCCTACGAGTTGAACATGCCCATCGCCAAGGTGGCTTACTGACGTCATTTGGCAACAGAAAAAACAAGACTTATCCTTTAGGTTTTTTTTTCACTGAAACGATATTTTTTTCGACAGATTGACTGTACTAATGGAAAAGAATTACATAAGAAACTCAATCCGGCTACTTTCAAAATCAGTATTAATTGTTTCATGTTCTTTTTTCGGATGCTGATACATTATGTTTCCTTAGTATTTAGTAATACACTCGCGTAAAGCCGGGACGGGCCGAATGTATTGTATAAAGGGGATGTAAGTAAACTACTAAATTAAAATAAAAAAATGATCATGCATATTCGCTATTATTACTAGTTTAATAAATAAAAAATCCCTCTTTCGGTAAGTGATCATAAATTAGAGAATCACTCGCTCTTTGCCTGCCCTGTACTCTTAGCAAAACAGCAGTGTTTCTTAACCTTTCAGTGACGAGGAATTGGGTAAAATTCCCCAAAGGATTTGTAAATCAGTCAGAGTTCTTTATTATGGAGCACCTCGGGTGTATCCAGGAACCACCGGTAAAGAATCACTAAATAACTGCTTTACAGATTTTGTCTTCACAATTCAGGATAGACACTCACTCGAAATTACGTTAATATAAGTTCCTGGTCCCTCACCCTCCAAAATCGGTAAAGCTACAAAGCTTACAAAAGAAATACTTAGGCAAACTTAAGAAAACTCGAAAATAGAATAACATACCTACATACAATTCTGGTGCAGTCGGGTGAAAACGTAACTAACGTCGTGCTTCTCCAGGAGTACACCTTCTTCTCTTCTTCATGGCGTTCGTTTTCGGTTCCTTCTGCACTTTCTGCTTCCACATGCTGATGTACCTGTTTGACGAGAAGTGCGTGCTGTTTCCGAAGCTACAGTCACTGACGTCACTCAAGCACAACGTCATCTACGAGTTCATACCCGTGGATAAAGAAACATCTGACGGTATGAAATATTCAATTTATTCTATGAACCAGGTCTTAGTTCTACATTTTTGTGTCCATAGCGGCCCATCCACCTCGTTGTACTCATCATCCCTTATTATGGGGATGATGAGATGACAAAGAATAAACTAGTACTAGTTACTTTTGTTTTTTCTATTCAGCTAATAACAAATGTTGTTAATTTGTATAACAGAACTTCCTAAAACATAGAAAACCCAATATCTGAAATATCACAACCAGAGTGTAATCTAGCCTAAATTGGTATTTAAGTAACAGTTATGTTCAATGATTTTGAAATAACTTATCTTAGTCATGATAAGTTTATCTATCTCTATTTATACTAGATGCTTGAAACTACACCACGTCACCTGATGTTATGTGTAAATGAAGACCAGTCACTGGAGAATATTGATAGCTGTGCAAAGTGGGTTGATGTTTGAATCGGTGAATCGTGCTGGGTGTTGAGGGTTTTAGAAATGAAGAAGGCTTCTTGTGCTTAGAAAATTAATTATATTGACTAACCGACACCATGTAAAATAAAATATAAAGGAAGACTGAACTGGTGTTGCTACAGTTAGTAAAAAAAAAGGTAAATTTAAAAAATCAAAAAACCCGACTGTTTAATTATACGTCAAATAAAAACTGAAAAGAAAAAAACAAGTCCAGTAGTCTATAATTCTGTTAATAAGGAACAAAGCTACTTTAACAGTCGGGACCCATTAGATATTCAAGAATACATAATATTTTTCAATAATGGGTCCCGACTGTTAAAGTACCTAGCTTTCTTCCTTATTAACAGAATTATCTATAATCTCTGGTGTGCCACAAAGGAACAAACATACATATATAGACTGTTAAACACTATACCCTGTCTGCGCGTCGCGCTTCGCACTCTTGCATTGCGCAGTCGGGTAAAAAAATGAAAACTCAGTAACAAAAATAATATAATTTTACCTGCATCTATAGCTGTTAGGGCAGAAAAGTGTGCCTCTGTAGCCATAGGTAGGTATTAAATTTTCAGCTTCGACCAAATTTCCTACTATTAAAGAGTTCTACAGGAACCAACTTACCAACAGAAACGCATTTTAATTGTTTTAAAATCACAACGCTCCAACGCCTCCAACAAGCAACACGGCACAAGCGGGAAATCCCTCTCTTAAAATTAATCTTAAGTGATCTTAGCTTACATAGGAAATTTTTGACGTTAAATGACGGGTCGTGCCCTTTGTCGAGACGATGACGAATATTGCATTCGCATCCGGAGTCAATCAATCATTTCGTTTAACGTTCATGCAATGCACCGCGCACGGAAGCATAGCCAAGGTCGATTGACGGATCCCGAGATGCGAATATGATGCGAACGTTGTTAAGTATTGGTTTGATTGGTTACACTTTCGCTCATCAAGTATTACAATAACCTACTGTAGGTAATAATTTCGTCTACATCAAGATGAATATGGATTATAACAGAAATAAATGTATTTGAAATAAATAAAATAATAAATTTTAAAGAATCAGGGGGGCGATAATGTTATAACGACTGTGTTGATCTCATCCCAAACCAAGAAATCAAAGCAATTAGGTATGCAAGAAAAATCCAAACATCAACAATACTACAAACACCTTAACCCTAGCTAAGTTTACCCGGCACCATTTTCGAACCCGACCATAGACGAACTCGGCGTAATTTATCATACCTACTTTTTAACCCGATAGCAACTTAACTAAGAAAATGTTAACCACGCAAATTGGATTATTTTGGCGAATCTTTATTTATTATAATTTCCGAGATATTCTGCCCGGATAACGAAAGATGAGGGTTCGAATCCCGTCTGAAACCTGAACCGAGTCTAACTTTTCTTAGCAAAATTTTCTTTTTCTAGTAAAATGTTCTTTATGTATTTGTAAATCACCAATGTAACTAGTAAAAGTCGGATATGATCTCCAGCACTGCCCGTGGATTTTCTGAGCAGCCAGTGGGTGGAGAAGAGTGCTTGCTACCTGCCTACGTACGTGCCGCTAGTATCTGGAATTTTCGGCCTTGTGTGGACCACCATGTTTCTGATGTGTTCCTTCGGAACACGGACACATACAGGGTAACGCACATTAACATCCGCCGATGTAACTATTAAGAATAGGATATCATAACCAGCACTGCCCGTGGACTTTCTGAACAGGCAGTGGGTAGAGAAGAGCGCTTGCTATCTACCCAATTGCTTGCCGTTGCTGTCTGGCCACCTATACCAGTATGTTTTTATGTACTCCGCCTGAACGCGGACTCATACATGGTAACGCACAGTAATATTTACCGATGAAACTAGAAAGAGTAGGATGTAGACTTTCTGAGCAGGCAGCCAGTTGGGTAGAGAGGAGCACTGGCTATTTGCCCACGTACTTGCCGGTACTGTTTGGCATCTTCGGCTTTGTGCGGACAACCATGTTTCTGATATGTTTAACAATGGTCCAATAATTAGGACTAAATGCGGAAACCACCCTGAAGAACTAACTATGTTCCACCGGCACTCGTACAATGTAAGATACAGTAATATTCGCCAATGTAACTAGTAAGAGTTGGATATGGTCATAAGCACTGCTCGTGGACTTTCTGAGCAGCCAATGGGTGAAGAAGAGAGCTAACTACCTGCCTACGTACGCGCCGGTACTGTCTGGCATCTTTAGCCTCGTATTGAGTATCATATTTCTGATGTATTCCACCAGAACAAGGACTCACACAAGGTAACGCACAGTAATATTCGCCGATATAACTAGTAAGAGTAGATATAATCTTCAGCACTGCCCGTAGACTTTCTAAGCTGCCACTGAGTGGAGAAGATACTATTTTTAATTTTTTTTTTGCGACCTCTCGAGTCGGCGTCACCATAAAACCCGGCGTACAAACCACTCGGCCACGGAGGTCTTAAAGGTACCTGATAAAAAATGGTCACTGAATATTAATAGTGATTTTCAGGATAGATAAAACAACGCAGTGTCACTTTAATTTATTTTTACTGAGATTTTATCACATGTTTTTAATAACAATATAGAAAAACACCATCAATAAAAATATTGCTGTCTACTGAATACTCGATTCATGAGATACATACAGCCCACGTATAGTGGAGTAAGTGAAGCCTTAGTAATAGGATTCCAATTTATTACTAACGGATTGGTATATCGTAAATTAAACTTTGTTTAGTAATTTTCAATAAAATTACTGAGTAGTGCGAAATTTTATTTCCTTAAGTTGAATAAGGAAAGAAAGTGTAAACACTGATGGTAAAGGTAATATAAAGTGCAATAACCTTATCAACTACAATGACATGTGAACACACACTGTCTTTAAGAAGGTACTTATCACCTCTCTTATAAAATGCCATCATAATTAATGATTTTGACGATCTCTTCCTTGAATCCCGTGGATGACCTTTTAACTGGCATTACGAAGGTTTTTGGGAAAGGTCAACGGCATCAGATATTACATGTTATTTGTTAACATCAGGATGTAGGTAAGTAAAGTATTTTCGTACTCGACATCTTTTTTAATTATATCAAAAAAGTCACATGAGCGGGTAATTTTATTAAAATAGGTACTAGCGGCCGCCTGCGACTTCTTTTGCGTTAACTTTAGGTTCCCACAGGAACTAAAATTTATTTCGGGAATAAAAGTTGCCTACCTACCAATTTAGATCATTAATTATATACGTACCAAATTTCATCCAAACCCGTTCAGTAGTTTTTTTTTATTTATATATATAGAGGTAGGCAAATGACTCTACCTCACCTGATGTTAAGTGGTAATAAAGTCCAAACGCGAAGATAGCTGGTACAGCAGTTATAAACTCATATACACCAATCATCCTCACCTTGCCGGCCTGCAAAAATGCTTCTTCACGCCTCTCTTAACGACCTCAGACTCGATTCTTCGGTCCCGAATGTCGCCTCAAAATAATTTATTAATTCCATGTCCCCATCAGGACCAGTGATCCCGGTCCCAAATGACTACCGACTCCAGATTATAGGAAGGAGGGAACACTTGCGCGGGTAAAGCATTCCACTTACGAATAGTACGACAAAGAAATGAGCCACCAAATTTCTTTGTTCGAGTAGGAATTGTGGCCACAGTAAGTTTAGTTTTGGCGTTGCATTGAGTATTTAACGTTCAAACAATCAAATGTACATACTTTCACATTTATAATATTAATAGGATTAATAGTGATAAGTAACTATAAACATCATAATAATACTTGCTGTACGTAGGTACTTACAGACATTCGACGACCTCCGTAGCCGAGTGGTTTATACGCCGGGTTTCAAGGTGTCGCCATCTCGAGAGGTCCCGGGTTCGAATCCCGGTGGGGGCCGATGTTTGTGTGAAAAATACGAGCATTTATACTTCAGTCATGGATGTTTAATATATATTTCTATATAAATATACGTCATATATGTATCAGTTTAAGTATTCTATCCATTACCCTAGTATCCCATAACACAAGCTTATAGTGCTTACTTCGGGGCTAGGCTAATTGGTGTGAGTGTTGTAAATATTTATTTATTTTATGTTTGAATTAAAGTTGATAGCAGCTCAACGAGTTAGCAAGCTGAAGTGGCAATTATGATTCTGTAGTCAAGTCTGAGTTATAGAGCAACCCATGTTACGTTTGTAATAAAAAAATCATGATGCATGCATGATGGTGTACTATAAAAACTTTTTCCTATAGCTTACAAAGACCATGGCGTGTGCTGCCACCTGTGTTCGTGTTCTCACTGGTAATGGGCGGAGTCTGCATCTACTCCTCTACTGTCACGCATATCGGATTAAACGACCTGTGCCTGAAGCTCGGCGAAATAACTGGTAGCTCTACGTAAGTTTTATATTATATATATAGTAGCCCCAAAGTAAGCACTGTAAGGCTTGTGTTATGGGATACTAGGGTAACGATAGAATACATATATTGTACATATACAAGCATATTTATATAGAAATACATATTAAACATCCAAGACTGGAGTACAAATGCTCGTATTCATCACACATAAATCTGCCCCCACCGGGATTCGAACCCGGGACCTCTCGAGACGGCGACACCATGAAACCCGGCGTATAAACTACTCGGCCACGGAGTTCGTCAAGGGATCCCTAGGGTTATATGGAACAGGGGGAAAACTAAGACCTCACTTATCTTTTTTAGTCTACAGAGAAATATAGATCTAATTTCTTCTTTTTTTCATTTATATTGGCACAAAATAGTCATTATAGAAATTGTTTTACAAACATAAATTTACTATATTCATAGTATACAACGAGTGCCCAAAATTACTGTAAAGAAATGTTGTTAACAGGAAATCTAAATTACGCACTAACCCTTGCGACGGTTATTATAAAATGTAGTTATTTTTCACGTTTCACGAGTTTGGCTCCTGGTTGTGGCCGGCGATTTTGAAAAAAAATCAGTGAATTTATTTCTACTTATTACTTAAAATAAAATGAAGTCTTCTTTCAGTAAAATAGCGTATCTTCAATATTTAATATACTTTCCCTGGTCGTGAGACGTCCTGTACACTTTGGACACATCTATCGAGCCACTTAGTGTAATAAGTTTCAATTATACCAAGGTATTATTAATATGCATTATTCGTTAAACGCATTGAGCAAAAGCAATGACAGTTTGAGACAATTTGGCTACATAATACTACAACGCGAAGAGATGGCGCTGCCTTGCAGCTTAAGAATAGCTAAAAGAATTTCGACGCGGCCATCAGGGCCGCGGTAGCATAATTGGTGAGTGCATTCGCCCCGATAGCGAAGGGTGCGGTTCAAGTCCCGTCTGCTGCCTGATCCGCTCTGATTTACTAGTTATATTTTCTTTAGATTTAAACATCAAGCAGTTACATGCTTAAAAATAAAAATTATAACTACATAATACTTAACAAAAAAAGAGAGGAAATAAGGATAATAACAAAGCTAACTTTTTATAAACGGTCTCTTTTAAATATAAATAAAAGCGTGTGTCTTTATACCTTTGACTGTATTACAGAACAGATCTATTTCAGAGAATTGGTTATTATATATCAAAAGACAGCGAGAAAAATAGCTACTGCGGGTATAATTTTTGCGATAGCGTGGTGGTATAAATATTTTGATAGAAAATTTCGCGTCTACTTACAGTGAAAAACAAGGATAAAAGCTATACCTATATTTTTTTGCCTATATCGCTCTGAATTGTTATTACTTCGCGTCTAAGTAGACACTTAGAGAGAAAAATGAGGAAAATATCTAAACTTTATCTTCTTTTGCCTGTATCGCTCTGGTTTCTTCGTATATACTTTCGCTCCTACTTACTGTGAATTAAAACTAGGTAAAAACTGTAAATCTTTGGTCGATGTTGCTCAGATATATTCTTACGCACTTTGAAAATACACATACTGGAAAAAACAAAGACTTCACTGTCCTTTTATTGTTTTGATTTCACATCTAATTACAGTGTAAAAGACAAAGAAAAAACATGTATTTCTTGGTCTATATCGCTCTGATTTCTTGGTCTTTATCGCTCTGATTGACGACCTCCGTGGCCGAGTGGTTTGTACGCCGGGTTTCATGGTGTCACCGACTCGAGAGGTCCCGGGTTCGAATCCCGGTGGGGGCAGATGTTTATGTGATGAATACGAGCATTTGTACTCCAGTCATGGATGTTTAATATGTAGTTCTATATACATATACTTATATATGTACAATATATGTATTCTATCCGTTACCCTAGTATCCCATAACACAAGCCTTGCAGTGCTTACTTTGGGGCTAGGCTAATTGGTGTGAGTGTAGTATTTTAATCATAAACTTAAATACTAAACATCGATCATAAAATTCAAATACAAGTAGCAATAAACCCTGATAAAATATAGCCTATGCTATTCAGAAATTAGTATAAGAATTTCTTAAATCCGTCTAGTAGTTTTTGAGTTTACTTCCAGAATTATATTCGCGTAATTATATGCCCATATCCTTTTTAGGATACCCTCAATATCCATACAAAAATTTACTAAAATTGATTTAACGGTAGGCGTAAAAGGGCGTCCTCTTTATTAATGTAGATTGGCTTCACTAACACTTAACATAAAATGGTGTGGTGTCATTTCAAAGACCTTCAATCAAACAAAAAACTCAATCTCTTATAAACACAGTTTATAGCCTACCAAAGAAGTTTGACCTTAAAGATATTTTTTATTGAAGATGCATTAAGAGATACCAAATGCCTCCATGTAAACAACGCACACACCTTGGCCGTCAACTTGAAGTTACAAAACACCGCCGTGATCCGTTGACCAGTGAATTTCTTCACAAACTTTTTGTGATTTATTTACATCTAAATTTACGTATATCATGAATATTAAAAGCTTTTAAATGTGAATTTTATATTGCGTTAATAAGCAACATAGAAGAATGTGTATGTTAAATCTATAATTTTAGAGATGGTTGAGTTCAGAAGATTATTGCGACAGAAAGGAACCTGTGTTCTTCCCCAAGGGCTTCTTTATAGAGATGTAACGACTCGACTTTTCATACCGGTTCAAACCGGTTTGAGCATGGACCGAGTTGAATCGGTTAACGTCTTCGTAAACCGGTTCTACCGTGGCAATCGTTCGTATCGCGCTGCGCGCATGCGCGCCTGTCAATTCTTGTTTATGCCGCCATCCACAAATCGCGTGCGGCTCCTGACGTGCTTTACCGACCCTAATAAAACTTGACCGACCAATACGAACCGACTTACAGCAGCGGATACGGTTAGCGTGCATCGTCAATTTAAATACAACAGCCATAACCGACTTACCGACCGAACCGAAATGAAACGGACTCTGGTAGATTTGACTGACTTGACGGTGTAAATTTGTTTTTATTATTATGTAATGTGCGACGTAATTGCCCAGCTTCTAAAAAAATAGACCAAATATTATTCCTAAACAGTTGTAAGAAAACTTTTTAATTAAGTTGTTTGTAACAAATTAAGTTTCTACGACTCAAATTATTTTACAAAAATAAGTTACGTGTTTATTATATTGTTGATTATTAAAATTGTATTTTATTCTCAAAGTTAAGAAGTATGGTTTTATGTAATTAATAGAGTTTACATATTTTTTTGTAATTTTTTAAACACGGTATTACATAGATATTTGTTTATTTTGACATTTTTAATTCTGATTATTATTATTTGTTTCCATATTTTAATTGTTATTTTTCAATTACCTTTAAATATTTGCACGATGTTATATCAACAAAATATGTAGAATAAAAAAAAATAGCACCTGTTGTTTCGTAAGTTTCATTCGTCAACTCGTCAAACGGTTCAAACCGCGGTTTACTGAAAATTTGGCGGTTCGGTTCGGAAACCGATTTGCATGTATTACTAACCGATCAAATCCGGTTTGTCAAAATTCAAGACCGTAACATCACTACTTCTTTATATCTATACTTAAATTTAACTAAATCGGTTCAGCGGTTTTCATGCCTGAATGCATGAAATAATATTGTAGTATAGTGATAAATTTATGAAATTCTCTTGAATTATACGTCCAGGGTAAATGAAATAATTCCCTATATATTTTACTTTTATACATTAACCAGACTGAGTAACGAATTTAAAAGCATCTCTTTAAGAGGGGTAGGGCTAATGTAGTGGCACGAATGATCGACAAGAACCAATGAACGTAATTTTTTCTATGATCAATGAAAATAAGAGTAGGTAACCGAGCACTTAATATGGTAACACAGCTATAGACGCTCGGTGTTGCCATTTTTAAAGTGGTGCCACTACTTTACAGAGCAAAAAATTTCATCACACAAACTTTTGCCCTTCCGAGAATCAGACGCGGAGCCGCTAGATTTTCAGTCAGGATCAAGTTATATACTTACTTAAATATATTTACCAGCTGCTCATACACAGTAAACGTAGCCACACTAGCATACGAGCGCCGAATTCGCGGCGTGTACCAAGCTATCCACCTGACGATCATATCGGCATGGCTGCACACGTTCTGTTGGCTGCTGTCTGCGGCGCTAGCACTGGCCAGAGTGGCGCTGGCGGTGGACTTCCAACTGGTGCGCGTCAACGTATCGCTCGTAGGAGACATTGACAAAATACTGGTTAGTTTTATCTTTTATACAATATAGAGCAATATATTGTTTTAACACTAACATTATCTTTATATATATAATTCTTCTGTGAGTGTGTATGTCACTGAACTTCTCTTAAACGACTGGACCGATTTTGATGAAATTTTTTGTGTGTGTTCAAGGGGATCTGAGAATGGTTTAGATTCACAATTTTGTCCGCTGGACAATGTTTTTATAATTAATTTTTTTTATGGCGGTACGAAGTTCGCTGGGTCAGCTAGTAGTAATATAAGTTATTTACGGGATTGTTACCGAGTACCTTGTTTTTAGCGAGTTTCCGATATTTTAGAAATATCGGAAGCATCTGGTCAAACTACTTTTTTTTACAGTCCGGAGGTTTCGGGCCAAAATAACTTAGAGTGGTCTAATTTATTAGACCACTCTAAGTTATTTTTAGAGTCCGACCGAAACTGGTTTTCCGGCCGAAACCGAAACCGAAACTCACGTGGACAAGATTAAAATTCCTTAAAATAATGAAATTTGGCGCATTTTACCCATTATTGAGCATTAATTAGGATATGCAATGGAAACACAGTATATTAATTTTGTTGTAGCTAATCATTTATTAAATGATATAAAAAAATATTAATTTTATTTTTATAATTTTTTCAAATTAAGTTCTCATAGCAAAATTTTTGTCAGTTATCAATAATCAATTCACAAATTGTTACTGTTTCATTAAATACCCATTGGTATTTTGAAATATTATTAATTAATACTTTCGTTTGTATTTGTACTTAGAAGAATCTCTTTTATCTCAATATAGGAAACTGCACTTCTCAATATAGGATATGGACTGCTGTGTGAGAAACGAAGTACGGCGAGCGTGCACGGCAACTTCCGTGCCGCTGCCGCCGAAACTTAATTTTTGGCCGAAACTCGGCCGAAACCGAAACCGAATCCGAACTTTCGGTCGGACACTAGTTATTTTAAATATGAGAAGCTGGCGAACAAAACGATATTATTACGAATCAGGTCAAACTACTTTTTTTTTACAGTCCGGAGGTTTCGGGCCTTATGGATTTGAATCTCAAATAATTTTCAATCAAAACAGTGTTAAAATTACTAAATTTATAAATTAAAAACCATGCCAAAAGCTCACTTGAGGTATGTTATTCAGTTTTATACAGCTTCTAACAGTAATTTTTTATTTTATGTAATTATACTGTTTTGTTCGCCAGCTCCTCATATATGAGGAACGGAGTTCGGTTGTGAAGAAGTTAGTCTTAGATGGGCATCGTTGAATTATGGCCAATGAAGTATCCTATTATCTGCTCACTTTGGCAGATGTATGTCATGAAGTTAATTTTACGTTAATAACTTAGCTAATACTCAAACGTTTGATAATTTAAATAATAGCTAATGTTGGCTAACCTTGAAAAATCCGCCTTTATTCTTACACTTCATCCTGACGACTTCCTTATCACAGTATTTTAATTAAATCTGACAGCTTCCTTAAGCTCTGATAGACCTTGAGCTTTGGGAACTATTGTATAGGTGCAGTTATAAGTATTGTGACTCATATATGAATATATATATGAATTATTTCACCTACAAGAATTACAAAGATCTCTTTGCAGATTATTTAAGCATGCTGAGTAATCGTCTTTTCACAGGAGCATCACGAAACTCAAATTCGTACAGTTTCCCCGGATCTCTGGTTCAACGATGACAATCCTTCACAGACGTCCACCAACATTCCAGTACATTTAGTCCACTTCTCTGAATCCAATACACATTCCACAGACGGTGAGATACAAGAATTATATAACAGGGATATTTTATACTTGTCTGATACAAGAGAAGAAAAATCTAAAAATTCTTTAGTTCCATCTGAAAGTCAGAAATTAGCACGAAAAGCGGCTAGTGAACAGTTACCAAAAGATAAGCAATTCATAGCCAAAATTGTATACGATTTACTGCTCAATGTGTACATACACGAAAGCCAATCAGAGCCTGTTGACAAATCTCCAGACTCTTCCCTATCAGATTCTGAAATACTTGAGATTACTCGACAATATGGCCAAATGAAAGTAAACAGAGAATCCGAATTTATAGATCTCGATGAACCTGATATAATTGCTAGAGATATGAGAGCATTTATACAAGAAAAGTTGCATGAACAACTCCTTCAATATCACACGGGAGTCTCTCGCGAAGAGACGTTGATTGAATCTACGTTCAATTTGCATCAAGAAATGAAGAAAATTCTTGATGCTAAAGTTACTTCTTCCTCGGGTAGTTCAGAAGAGCCTACTGAAGAAAAACCTGCTAAGAAATCAAATCTGAAAAACGTGTATGTCCAAACAGACAAAAAATCTGCAAAACCGCGCTCTCAAAAAGTACAAATTAGTGAACCGGAAAACGTGGAACAGTCCACCGAAACAATACAGGACGTGGACAAGGAAACCCAAACTTCTAATAAGAAAGAAAAGCAAGATTAGCGTAATCTAAAAAGAATGAAATGCAAAAATATATATCTAATGTCTCTGGAATTGTTGATTGAAGTTACCAACGTACTTTTTGTTATAAGCGAGAAAGTAATTTATTTTAGGCTGATCCGTTACTAGTCCGGTGTTTGCTTAAGAGATTTATATATGTCACATGATCGACTAGATTACGCTCTAAGAACGGAGGGTTCTTCAAGGGACTGGAGAAACATTTTTTGTAAAATATTAAATGAGTACCTAACTGTTTAAACTCCTTTATTATTTTGCGAAAATTAATTGTTTTGGTTGCCACCACACACTTTTAAGGTCAATTTAGCGCAAAACACTTGTTTTGCTAAACTCTTACGTAAAATGCCGCAAGTTGAGCGCGCAGCGAACGTGAACTTGACTCACTTACACAACCCTCATTGAATAGTGGAATCAGCCCAACATTAAAATAGTCCGTAAATTTCCTAAATAACGCTATAAAAAGTATTGTCAATATGTATTAAACTATGTATGTAGGTAGATATTTCTTTATGAAACATAATTTTATTAATACATAATTAGTGTGAGTGTTAGAAATTTTTATTTTTATGAATACTTGCTCTAATTTCATAACTTTAATTAAAATTTTATTTAATATTCAAAACAACATCGTGATGATGGAGTTTCATATGTAAATTATGATTTTATTTTAAAGTCTCAAATAGAAAATGTTATTACCTGTTACCGTAGATATTACTAATTAAGTTAAAATTATTGTTACTTACATAGTAAACTATTATGTATACCATTATATTAACAGAACAAAGCTCACCGAGTGCATTAAACATAAATACTTTGAAGATGAATAGATTTATTTTAAAACGTGATGCCGTGCCCTTGTCCTGTTCTCTGGTGTTAGTTCAACATATTTCATCATATAGTATTTAAATGTTACGAAATTGTACTTATTACTATTATTATTATGCTAAAAGGGCTCATTAAAAAAACGATGATATTATAAGCTCCTGCACAGATTATCTGATGTAAATGTGACTTTCAAGCGAACAAACAATTCCACTTTAAGGTTTGAGTTTATCATATTCAACATAGTCTGTTCAAAAAGAATTTCAAATAATTATGAATTTGCTAGAGGTTGTTCTTTTGTTTCGATTTTTCATGGCGTTATTTTGGGTACTTAGAATGATGATAAGGACGGTTAGTTCTAATTTGAACGTTTATTCAATTCTGGACAGTAACATATTTTGTTTGGATGGGTTTTGACTCGTCTTCGATTTTTGCAAATTCAAAAAAAAATATCAAATAGTCTGCATTATATTTTGTGTGAAATTAAGTACACGAATACATTCCGAGTGTTGACTGTGTGTGGCTGTGTAAAGCTACCTTGGTCCAAAACAATTTTAATCAGTGGTTAAAAATGTTCTTACAAAGGCGAGAAAATGTGGATAATAAACAACGTGCCCGAAATTGTATTAATTTTTGGACTGACCTCGTGTAGCAGAAAAAAATAATATTACCTTTTAATATATATATGCACCTTCAGGATATGTTAGAATATTAATGGGGAAGGTTTCAAATAATACTGTACTGTACACTTTACTTAATAACTTTTTATTCGCAAAAATGTACAAAGACTTATTCGATTAATATTAAGTTAAACAATACACAACAAACCACCAGACGCTACGCCTCCGTTTTGACTTCATCTAGCCTTCTTAACTTAATCCATACGTCCCCTTCGGCCTGGGGCACCAAACTCGTGGTCTTTATTCTCATGGGGACCAGGGTCCTCTGGTCTAGCTGCAATTCATACTTTTGGAGAATTTTCACGAGCGCCAATTTGGATTGGATGTACCCCTGCCGGACACCTGAAAATAAATAATAAATATTTCTTATACTTGCACCAATCAGGCAAGCCCCGGTGTGTTAAGGTAACGAATATCATATATATATATAATATAATGATGCATAGTAGTATATTTTTTGAAATACCATGTAAACAGCCTTGACTCGGGTACAACTGCTCGTATTCATAACACAAAGATGCGAACCCAGGATCACAGAGTGGGCCTTGAAAACGAACATCATCATCCACTCATTAAACTAAATTATTTGCATCAGCCTACTTTTGTCCCTACTGCTAAAACACAAGCTATAGGCCTTCTTTATGGACGGAATACGGAGAAAGGATAACCCAGACAACGTGTTATGATTAGGATTTTGGTCGATTTGTCACGGACTCAACGCACACGGTATCCGAACATTTGTTGCCCGAAAATTTAGAGTAGCACACGCTATGGAAGTAAGTGTTCTCAGATTACGTTGTGTTATAATGAACATGAAATAAAAGTTTAAATAGAATCGAGCGCGCAACGCAGACAAGTCACATGAGTTCTATTTTATTCGACTTTTGTCCTGTCCAGTCTCTCGGTATCCTCGGTTGTTTGGATGACTACTCGATCCAGGACCTGATTTGGGAAAGGGCCCCCTTTGCCCTGCCTTAAATTAGGCCCTGGTTATGCGCTGTTTAGACCATGTAAGTCATTTATTGCTTCAATTTAAATGTATGTTACAGGCAAGAAACTTGCATCATGTAAATGGCCCTTAAGTATCGAGCTCCTTGTATTAAATACTAGAAGTGCACTGCGGTTTTTGCGGTTAATTTGAGGGAAAAGGTCATATAGGGTCACCCTTAAAAGATAGACATATGCTGTTGTGTGACTGTGACTTTTTAGAACTTTTGGAGGGGAATAATTGCATCCCTAGGTCCTAATCTGTGCCAAGGTAGCTATAGATCACTGTTTACCAAGGGGAGAAAGTGGCTTTATTATACACGAGATTGTAGTTTGAGTTAAGATTGTAGTTTGAGTTAAAAATGGCATTTTCTGTCGAGGGATACATAGTGCTTCAAGTCAAATTCTGTAATTGAAATTTATATTGAAGTTGTTATATTTACTAAACTTTTGTATGGAAACTTTAAATTGGTTTAATTAATTCAGGGGTAATATTTATAATGACTGCTTAGGTAAGTAGTTTCTTTTAATTCTGGTGGTGTCAATAAATCTTCATTATCAGTAATATACGCCGTCTCGAGTAGATAGGAATACAAATTAAAAACTGAGTTAAAATTTAATAATCAGCGCGCATTTTACATTTTATTAATTTTTCAAATTAATGTTCAGAAAGCAAATAGCTTACTTAGCGTATAACAATATGTCGCAAAGTTTGTAAAATTATACTAACCAATTGCTTTTGCGGAACATAAATAAAGAAAAAACAATAAATTTAAAAAAAGCACTTCGACAATGAATTTTCATAGACTTTTTTGGCCAATTAACGCGTAAACAAAGGATTTTCATACACTTTTCCAGCCCGCTTAGTAGAAAAACAGTAATGAGGTCCTTTCTGATTTATTTTTAAAGACGAATTAAATACTTTCCGGACAGGTATAGTAAAAAATGGCTTCACAAACAGTTAATCCTGATATAAAAACCAGTAACTACCGCGGCGATGATTTCATTACCATTCAGTTTAGACACAAAATTTTAATTTTAACATTTACTCGACCAGGAATTGAACGGCGACCGCGGACATCAAAGCATTTCTAAATCTTATAATTGGTAACACATAACTGTGATGCCAATTCGCAGAAACTAAATTTTCCTGCCATGGCTGCACCAACAATGAACATTACTACAAGCGTTATCAAAATCAAACAGTTAATATTATGAAGTAACTATAATATTTAACTGTTTGATTTAATATCAATAATATTATCGATTTTGCTGTTTACTCATGTTGAATATACTTAATATTTATTGCTTGGTTTCTGTGTTAAGTGTGAGTACACACCATCAATTATTGCATTGTGATCGCTAGGTGAAGGTCTGCTTGCAATTATTTATAAATATCAATGATAGAATTTACTTATAATAATTTAACAGAGGTGCGTATGGTGGAATTTCCGTTATAAAATGAGATTTTAATTACTTTGACTAATGTGCTTCTAATCTATGATCAGAGAGCACAAGTTATTATAGTGTACCTTTTAAGATTGATTATATCCTTCTTCTGTGTTTGAAAATAAGTTACATGTCGTTATGCTAATGTGGATCTAAGAATTGATTTAAATTCCATGGGATTGAAATATTTACAACACGTAGGTATTGTAACATCATCATTGGAAACATTACAAGGATTACGTCACTGCTGGTGAGTAGGTTTCAGAACTCCGCGGGGTTGGGGATTCGGTTCATGCCGGCAAGGTGAGAATGACTGAATCGGCACACCTTCTGCATCATCTATCTTCGTGACTGGACTCCACTTAACAACAGGTAGGGTAAGGTTATTTGTCGCGCGTCGTATAAAAAATCCTTACCTAAACATTTCCTGGGACCCTCGCCGAACGGCATCCAGTGGCACGGGTGTAGTTTCGCCTTGTTCTCTGGCGTGAACCGTTCCGGATCGAACTGCTCCGGCTCTGGGAATATCTCAGGGTCCATTTGGAACGCTTGGCACGGCACGAACACCAGTGTTCCCTCCTCCACGACCAAGTCGCTCCCCGGCATCTGGTAGTCCTTGGTGCATCTCCTGAATATCGCCCGCATCGATGGGTACATCCTCATTGTTTCTGGAATTAATAAACAGGTATAGATTATTGTGTGAACCCCTACCTAACAAGGATGAGGGTTGGAGGCCTTGGACATATAGGGACACTGCTTTCTTCTACCTATATTATAGCGTTGCTTCCTTCTAAAATATTATTCAAGATAGTATATCGACTCCCCATAAAATTGCAAAAAACTAAAGTGATTCGTATAGTTTTAAGCTTAATCAACTCCTTTGTTTAATGGAAATCATCAATTTACTGCTCTCCACTATGTTTTATATTGACATAAAGTGGCAAAGCAGTATAAATATGAAAATAAGTAGTTGGTATGGTACGGTTAACACATCTGCCACACCAACGATTGCAAAAGTAACCCGAACCTTTTCCTCTCCCATGAAGTTCTAGCAACTTTATTAAGATGTCAAGTATAGAAATCTTTAAGACCATTTTACAACAAAACTGAAAAGTTGGTGATCATAAAAATCTATAATGAGATGAGGTTTCAAATAATTCTCAGCGGAAACTCTTACTCGTGGAGCTCTGACAACTAGCAGAAACGTTAATGGTATCTTATAATATTAGCGGCAATATCTTTAAGATATATGGTATTTTTCCCAGGTGTAGTCGAGAGAACACCTCCAGCTGAATATAGGGTTGAAATAAGGTAGATAGTTCTTTTAACCCATAGAGCAACACGAGCGACATGGCCAGTAGACATACATAGCTAACCCCTCTGTCTCATTGGGCATAAAAATTGGGCATACTCACGATATATGTGTTCCACAATTTGGCAGTGTATTGTGTCATTGTTTAAGTGTGAGTGCTGAAGTTATAATTTTGTTTCTTACTCACGTACGTTAAACTACATTTGTGTACATATGCCCCGCAAAAAATGCCAAAATGTTTTGGATAGTATTATGTAGCTATGGTTACTCCCTTCCGTATTGCTCTATGTTTCAACTTTATTCAGCTGGAGATGCTGCTGAGAAATCAAAAAGAAAAACTTGATTTTCGTACTTTTCGAATACCCAAAACTAGTGCTGTGATTTATAAATGTCGTGATAATTTTGATGCTCGGCCATTTCGTAAAGGCTACACCATAACGTTTTGAAGTTATCGTATTTCTAATCTAAATCAAACACTGTTCAAGTCAAGATTATGGATGAATGACAAAACTGTGTCAATGTTATTTGAACCTGTTCATCTTTTTATAATAATACTTATCTGGAAAGTTGTGAAATACGACGACGGCCAGGTGCTGCACTTGCCAATGACCCTGACTGAGAGAGCCACGGTCATTACTTCTGAATCCACTCAATGATATTATTTAACTAATGAAATTCTGCATTTAATAAGGAGTTACTTAACAGAAGCCTGACGCTACAATTGGCTAACATTACTTATGGGTCTACAATATTTTATTATAGCTATTAACGGGCTGTTACCATTTACCTTTTTTTTTATAAGTCTCCGATATTTTGGATTAGCGCCAGGATCACGGAGTAACTCGAGTTACTCCGTGATCCTGGCGCTTCCAATTTTTATGCCCAATGTGATAGAGGGGTTAGCTATGTATGCCTACTCCTCTCCTGGCCATGTTGCTCGTGTTGCTCTATGGGTTGAAAGAACTACCTACCTTCTTTCAACCCTATATTCAGCTAGAGGTGTTCTCTCAACTACACCTAGGAAAAATACCATATAACTTACAGATATTGCCGCCAATATTTTAAGATACCATTAACGTTTCTGCAGGTTGTCAGATTTACTCCGTGATCAGTGTCAGTGTAACAGTGCCAAAATACCAGAGACTCATAGAAACAAGGTACATGGTAACAATCCAGTTAATAGCTATAATGTTAATGACCATGAAAGTTTAAAACACTACAATATTTTATACAATATGATTTGAAGTGTAATTTATTACGAAATAAATGATTATGATTATTCCATTCCAACCAATAGTAGGAGAGCCCGAGCAGGGTCTTAAGGAATTACATCGCGCGTGTGATTAATATATGGGGGGCAACCTTGCACCTTGTGAATTAGTACTGGTATAGATGAGCCCTTTATAATTTAGTCTAGGTCAGCAAAAATAAAATTTCAACAATCGACTATGACATTTGATCGCTTCCTAATCGTCAGTCTTCCGAATAGGAACTCGGACAGGGTTTATTAATATTAATAAAATTGAATTAAAGGCCTTGTGGCTATCTTGATTTATATTAAGAGCGTGTTTATTAACATGAGTAGGTAGGGTATGAATGTAAATTCGTAAGGTTAAAAATAACCGTTTAATTTTGTTTGGAGGCGAATAACCCCGTAAGGCCAGCTCACAATCATTGAACTAGTCGTTAAAAAAGTTATTGTCAGACATGAAAATAAAGATACCTACAATGCCCTCGAAGCCAAGTAAACACTTAGATATTTCTAATCGATTTAAAAAGCAAAATGTTCTCGATTCTTTAGTATATTTGTTTTTCAGTTGTTTTTGGTTTATATCGTATAACTCCGAGATTTATGGACAGAGTTTGATAAATAGTTTTCTGATTAAAACAGTTTTTTTTTATTTGGTCAGATGTAAATTTCGTGATCAGTATTTTCGCATCTTTATAAACAATTGAACTCTTCATTTACAAACAATACAATATATTGGGTATACTAAGTTACTATTTAAAATACAGCTTAGTAGTTTAATACCTATAGTTAGCTGATGTTGCTCTGACTTATATGAGTAAAAAAAAAGAGTAAAAAAACTTTACTTCTAGTTTGAGTAAAGGTTAAGTAATCATTATTAATTTGGAGTGTTATTATTTTAAAAAGACAATTGGTAATAATTTATTTGTATAAAATAATGGAAATTCTTGTATCTAGAATTTCGTGTTATGGAAACAGTTAAAGGTTCGCAAAATAATTGTTCTTTTAAAATTTATTGCTTTTTAAAGGGTTAAAAAACCCTCTATGACTTAGGTAAAAATATTTTCAACAAAAATCTAAAAATATTTTATTTTATTTCTAACTTTTATTACGTTAAGGGTTTTATAATAATGTAACTTGAATTAATAATTTCAATGAACTTTAAACAGATTTGTATTATTTTTATTGTGTTTACAAAATTCAGCATTGAGTAAGTAACTTAAACATAATAAGTTATATCTAAAGAAAATATAACTAGAAAAAATTCCACGCGGACCAGGCAGCAGACGGGACTCGAACCCGCACCCTTCGCAATCCGGGCGAATGCACTGACCAATTATGCTACCGCGGCCCTCACGGACCGCGTCGAAATTCCTTCTAGCTATTCTTAAGCTGCAAGGCCGATACTACTACGAGCCGATGGTCCGCGTGGAATTTTTTCTTGTTATATTTTCTTTAGATTTAAACATCAAGCAGTTACATGCTTTAAAAATAATAAAAATTATAACTATAATTGCTATTTCTTCTTTCAAATGTTTAATACTTGTAAAAGTATTCATTTGACATTGTGGGTTTACCTATAATGCGAAGAGATGGCGCTGCCTTGCAGCTTAAGAATAGCTAGAAGGAATTTCGACGCGGTCCGTGAGGGCCGCGGTAGCATAATTGGTCAGTGCATTCGCCTGGATTGCGAAGGGTGCGGGTTCGAGTCCCGTCTGCTGCCTGGTCCGCGTGGAATTTTTTCTAGTTATATTTTCTTTAGATTTAAACATCAAGCAGTTACATGCTTTAAAAATAATAAAAATTATAACTATAATTGCTATTTCTTCTTTCAAATGTTTAATACTTGTAAAAGTATTCATTTGACATTGTGGGTTTACCTATAATGCGAAGAGATGGCGCTGCCTTGCAGCTTAAGAATAGCTAGAAGGAATTTCGACGCGGTCCGTGAGGGCCGCGGTAGCATAATTGGTCAGTGCATTCGCCCGGATTGCGAAGGGTGCGGGTTCGAGTCCCGTCTGCTGCCTGGTCCGCGTGGAATTTTTTCTAGTTATATTTTCTTTAGATTTAAACATCAAGCAGTTACATGCTTTAAAAATAATAAAAATTATAATAAGTTATTTTTAAATAACAATAAAACTGCTGAATTTAACACATTTTTTTAATTCTCATGATTGTACTTATATTAAAAAATCAGTAAAATCCTACGATAGGAGGCACAAATCAGTCAAGATATGAAGTTACATAAAATTTTGCAAATAACACTTGCAGTCGAGATATTATCACTAATCACAATCTATTTCTTTCTTAGGTTTTCACGCACATCACTCATTCAATAAAACTAGTTTTAACGGGTTAATGCACGAACTTTATTTATTTATTGACGTTTCGCAGCATTTTCAGGTCTGCATCGTCAGAATAATGTTTTTTTTATTTACTTTGTCGAGCTACCTTCGAAAGACTTTTATTGAGCGTTTGGATATTTCATTGGAAGATTTTTAAAACTTTATTGTCTATGTATAAATTTATTAGCAAATTCAGTTAATAAAGTACTTTATTTTAAGATGCTTTCTATCTCCTTCTTATGTTAATTCATGCAAACAAAAAGAACTAATAGTATCTGTTGGTCTTGCAGTGTGTGCTCGGAGTTGTGATTTTTCTGTTGTATAATGGGTTCCCCATTATACTACAGATAAAACAACGCAAGCTGGTGGTATATACCAACCATCTTCTCTATTGAATTTTGGATATTTTTTAATCTCAATAGCTTCGCGTATCATTCTAGGAATGAATCGTTGTTCAGTTGCAAGGATATGTGGTTTATCAAATCTAATGTAATGGTTTGGTCCCCCTAATGCATGTTCACACACTGCAGACTTGACTTGAACCACAGATCCACAGACCGGAATAGGGGAAAGATTTAAAGGAGACCCGGCACTTTTCATAGAAAAAATGCTAAACTTGTATACAGTTGAATTTGGTCTCAAAATAAAGCCAAAATTATTTGCTACATAAAACTACTTTTGCCTTATTTTTAGTGAATCGTGGAAAGAAGTTATATAATGATTAATATTTTTTGATATGAAAACCCTAAATCTTCAAGGGACAGAATTTTACTTCAAAATATTACTCAAGTGACTGTAAAAACCATGATTCCTTTGCTTTTTCTAAATAAAAAAACCAAATGTCAATTTGGCAATCCTAAAATACAAACAAAAAAATCATTCGCATTTCGCATCCGCTCCCGCGTACTGTGATTGTGAATGTTCTCTGCTGTGATTGCCTTTTTATCCGTTATTTCTCTTGACGACCCGGCTACATATAGAGGTTATATTGACAAACCTACGTATTTGACATTGACAGCTAGCTGCTGATGACAAATATTGCCAGACTACGTTACCCAATTATGAAACACAGATAAAAAAATTAATAAAGTATACAACTTTGGCACAAAATGCCGGGTGTCCTTTTAGTAATAAAATATAACAAAATGCAATAGTACTTAAAGAAGTTTGCAGGGTACAGACTTACATAAACTGGCAAATGAAAAAAAATCATGATCTAGTGCCCTAAGTATCTGCTGACTGCAGTTAGTAAAAAACCTGCCAAGTGCGTGTCGTGCCACGCGCAATGTAGGGTTCCGTAGTTGCCTGTAGTTGCACAATATATTTGAGCAGGAGTCTTTATTATCTATATCGGAAATTTGAAAAACCAATGAATATCAATCTATGTATCACAACTAATATATGTATATATAAAATATCTATCTCAAATTCATTTCGATTTTTTTTTATAACCGCCTTTTTTTGTCTCCTCCCAGGCGGCGGAACGGTTGTAAAATCCTAATGGATACCCTGCAGCCGGCTGCAAGGTTATGTCAGACTCTTACTGACCAAAACACACCCGTAGTTCATATGCTTATGGCCCGAGCTTTATCTGAAGCGATCATCCCCTCAGCGATATTTTTAAGTGCTTATATACTTTTGACGTGACAACGTCTTATAATTTGATGGAGCCGGCTGATTCATGCGGCGTTACCTCGCTCTGAGGCGTTCCATTTAAGGCTTGAAGTGCAAGCGAGAGCACGCAACGAGCGACAAAGAGGCACAATCGCCCTCCGCGTTCGGCAGCGTTCGACATCTGTCTCTCTCCCAAGGAACTTATATTGCTCTCTCCTTCTTGAGTGAGCGATGCGTCAGCGTGGGCAGCTGCTGTACAATAATATATTTACATGTTTTCGTCAAGTATGAAGTGAAAAGTGAATGTGGTGTCAATTGTTTATAGCAACAATAATTGCGGCGATAAAGGTTATGATTCTTTTGATATTAAATATATGTTCAGTGATATATTGTCGAATATTTGTGCTTTCGTCATTAAAATAAATAGCATCGGTCCGCTAGTGCAGCGATTGTAGGTTATGCTATAATAGACAAAACTATAAAAATAAGTTAACAGAACTATTTCGTGACATTTAATTAATATTGAATAGAACTATGTACATTGTAAAAAAACGTTGTCACGTTCAACTATCGTCAGTAAACCGACTTTACACACAACCGATTTTTTATAAAAACAAGGTTAGCGCGACTCAGAAGCCGTTGCCGGTGGTACTCGCGGTAGCGTAGTGGAACTAATGATATTTTACTGTGGTTTTTAAATAGTTTTTGGAGTTTACTCCTTAAGAATCGATTTTCATATATAAGGGGCCCGGTATGAGAAAAATGTGAGGAGTAAAATCTATCGATGAATGACCTTGTTACGTTTTTGGTGCGCATCCTATGTCGCGCAACTTTGACAAACAAAGATGACGGATGACATTAATAAAAATTTTAAAATCTGAACTGAATTTAGATATTGTTTCTGATAGAGCAATGGGGACAACGAAGTATGGTACAACCATTGATGCGATATTTTCAAGATTCGTGAACCACGTATCTACGAACGTCCATGTGTCTTATTTTAGTTATCATAAACCACTTGTCACTGTAATTAATAATGCAGACAATGTTGATTTAATTAATATTTAAAATAAATATAATAGTCTGATAATAATAATTACATAATTTATCAACATTCCTAATGATATATTTATGCACATCTGAAATTGACTATTGTAAAAAGTTTAATGTAAAATATTTCGTCGATTAGTTATAATAAATGTATATGAAATGAATAAATATATATTTATATATGTACATTATTTTCATTAATTTGTTAATTTACCCTTTCATACAGTATCAATCTTTTTTAAGTTAAATAAACTCTTTTTGCGTCTGGTTAGACTATCGAACTTAAGGAGTAAACTCCAGTCGTGCGTCGGAGCTGACACACACAATTTTCTTTTTAGATTTTGTTGCAATGCAAGGTTAAAAGCTACAATGATTTCATCTATGTCACCATCAATGTGTTCTTCTCAGCAATTTTGCAAGGTAAGATTTTTTTCCTTTAACCAAAGTTGAACGACTAGTATTCAACTAACAAATTCATCTTAATGGTTATAGTTTTCCTTAAAAGTTCGTGAAAAGTACTATTATCATGATTTTTTCCAGGTTTTTCAGGCCAATAGTTTAACATTTAGAGGGGGGGGGGGGACGCCTTACTCGAACAAAAATTAGCACTTTAAAGTTCAAATTCGCAAACAGATCCCTAAATCGAAAAACGGTCTTAGAAACCTAAGTAATTTTCAAGGACCTAGTCAACGGCGCATCCCACATGATGAGGTAGATGATGAAAATAATCATGCCCAGGTTACATTCGAAATTTATAATTTCGTCGGATTTTGAAAGGATTGTACTTATTTATCTCAGTGAGATTGTTTGCAATTCTAATAGGATTACGCCTATGCTATTCTCAACAAGGCCGACGACTCGTGACGTGCGCAGGACAACATTATGCCGGGCAGTCAAATTAATATTGGCAATGAACTCTCACTTTCCCTTTGTGCAAAATGACAAAAATATTTTATCTTACGCAAGTACGTACTTAATTTAGTATAATTAAGCTTCGCTTCTCGCCTTTTTTTACCGTCATTTTAAGGAAAACGTTTGATAACCGACTTCGAATAGGAGGAGGTTTTCAAGCCTCATATGTCCAGTATGTTTGTAATCTGGGAATTCCTAATATTCCCATATGTTAGTTCCACATTTCTTCTCCAAAACTACATTTCTTAGTATCAAAATATCAAATTTCGCAGTTGTATGCCCTTTCTTTCAAAACTACAGATCGAATTGCAATGATTTCTGACTTCTACGATTGATTCTCCTTCAAGTTACTTATAGCAAATTGATTTATTATTTTGCAAAACGTAATAAATGGTTTAACGCGATGCAATTCCTTTTAACCGACATTGAAGAAAACACGTAATAAAAAAATATTAATACCTTGAATCTCCAAAAAATGTACCTATATAATGCTTCTAAGGTCAGATTTATTGTATTAATGTACTATTGGTTATCACCTAAGAATTAAGAAAAAGTGTTTACACAAAAATCAACATTACTCACCCTCGAGGACCATATTCATGTAAACCATTTCGTTCTGAGCCTCATAAGAGTACTGCCCTCCGTATTTATCCAGAACCCTTAAAATTTCCTCTCTCGCCTTGTTTTGTATGTGAGGGTTTCGGGCTAACTGATATGCCGCGAATTGACCTGCCAAATCAAACGTAGCAGTCAATAAATTTTGTAATAATGCCCAAGACTATAATAACTTTATCATTACAAAATTAAAATTTAGGACTCTACTTTAAATAAATCCAGCTACTTACATTCCAGTTGCAGGGGCAATCTGGGGTGTAAGAGTGGGGAGTGCCTCCTTAATTGAGATGTTTGTAGGCAAGCAGGGACAATTTTCTACATTTGATTGCCCCTGCTTGACTACACACATCACAATTAAGGGTCATTCCCTCTCTTACACCACAAAGTGCCCCTGCGGCAGAAATGTTAGTAGCCGGCTAAAATAACAGCAGAATTCTTGGAGAAGACTAAGAGTATCTATATTTGAATTGATACTTTTTTATAATTAAACTAATAATGGATTTAAATGATAAATTAAAGTCAAATTAACTTACAAGTATAGTTAATTCAATACAAAAAGATTATACGTAAAGTTAATCCATGGTAAGTTTAGAGTTTCCTATTGTTTTCTAAACTCATTGACCAAATCATGGAAGTATAATAATATATATAGCTATTCCAACATGTTCTAAGTTAACTTTTAAAATAGTAGATAAAATACGAAATTTTAAATTATTAATTTAACGATAACTATTACGTAATATACGCTCTTATTTTTTCACAATTATTTCAACTGTTTTATCGCATTAGGTAAAATGTAATAAGATGTTACCAGTAGTTGCTGATGTTTCATATCCCGCTATCATATACAACATCGTGTTGGCAGCCAGGTCGTCCATGGTGAACGGAAACTCGATTCGATTTGTAACTCCTGCAAAAAAAATCAAAAGATAGGAAAAAGAAAAAACTTGTCTGGAAGTATCGGGAGGAGTCATCAAAGAACAATAGCAAGTATACCAACGCATTGATGTTCATATGAGGCTCATTGCAAGTACTGAAAACTGAATTAGAGAGAAACTTTTTTATATTTAAGTGATCCGTGGCAGTTCAGGTGGTATTGATATTGCCAACGCAGTGCATATTCAAAAGTAAAACCCTCTTTAAGGTTAACGCAGACTTGGCCGCACCGCACGCGCCGCAGTCCTCGCATTCAAATTCTTTACATGAAGTTCTATGCAACCTCACGCACCCACCCGCGTCGCAGTCGCCGCAGTCCCTAAAACGACCGAAACCCCAAGCCGCAGCTGATGACGTCACTAACGCCGGCCAGCACGCAGCGGATGCTGCAGCTAGCGCGGCGCGGGAGACGTCATTCGCACCAACTGAATGAAAGAAATCAAGTGCGATGCGTGCGGCGCAGGAACGACTGCAGTGACTGCGGTGCGGATAGATGTGCAAGGCCATTAACACAAAGCGATGACTGCAAGGACTGCGGAGACTGCGGTGCGGCCAAGTCTGCGTTCACTTTTGTTATCTACACTAATGTTATAAAGTCGTAAGATTTGTATTTTTTCATATTAGAAACGCCTTGTTAAGTGAATATTTAAACTCGAAAACTTTGAACCGATTTAAAATTTCTTTTATTAGTAAAAAGCTGCATTATTCCTGCTACTCCCACACCTGCGTGACGAAGGTTGGTACTAAATGCGCTATTTGCTTTTGAAGTCGTCTCAACAATGTTTGAAGTATGAATTTTGTTTCATCGTAATAATCGGGCTGAATAAACGCTAGACTACATATCATTTATCTGAGCTTTACCCCCCTAGCATGATCACCGCGATATGATATAAAGCGTTTAATCACGCTTATATGTCAAATTACTATGAAGTTTGACAGTTAGATGCGATAAAAACGTGATATAGTGTAAATTATGGTGCTCATGCTAGGGGAACTAGACGGTAGTTTGACTGGCGATCGATTTTTAACACACATAAAAGAGGTGGAATAGGATTTTGTATGTGTAACGTACTTACGATGGAACTCATTTTCGAACGCAAATTTTAGCACCAAAGCTTCGTCGCGCAGGTGTTCGAGAAGCATAGTGCCAAAGGCTATATTTTATAGCGTTAAAGTTAATTTACTCGTGTAAAGTCAGAGTGCGTTGCTAGTATATGATAGGATTAGCCTATTGTTCTCTTTTTACCTTTTTTGTCTTGCTCTTCCATCAATTCGATTAGTGTCTGGAGAAAGTCGTTCCTCTTGTAGGAATATTTTTTTCTGTGTTCCACAGTGTGCTTCACCAGGCTATAGAAGAAATTCTCTATACGGGAGCTTATGCGTTTTAACTTCAATTTCTCAAAGGTGTCCGGTGCTATAAAAGCAAATCCTCTTATAATAGTCCTGAAAATATCATCTTTAATTGTTTTCCCATCGCAGAAATCAACAATCATAATAAAATAAATGTTTATTATTATCTTCGAAAAATGTTATTAACAGTTAAATAAATGATTAAACATTACCCTTAACCATAACCCCAGGTGAAGACAAATGCTAACTTATACACATCAAAACAATCTAAGCAACACGGATAATTTACAGATACTCTGTTAGTTATTTTTGCAACTGTTGTAAGATATGGGTATTAAAACAGGAATGTTGGTTTGTGTTAATTAACATGAGTGTTTTAATACTTAATTAAAACAGTTGCATACAACCCATGTTATTAATCCTCTATAAAAGATTTCAAAACCACAAGGCTGTCTAAGAACTTAAAATTCATGAAAAGTTTCGACACAGCGGTAGGCAAATGCACGTGAATGTTTTTTTTTTTAATTTATAATACCACGCATCGAGCATTGAAAATTGTGGCTGTCTGCTGAGAAAATCCTAGGCGCGAAAGGAATTTAAAAAGCGAAAAAATGATATTATGGAATGTAGGACAAAATTAAAACTGTGTTGTAATGTTTTTTAATGATAACATTGGATGTTTTAATAAGCTAACTATTTCAGAATATTTAATAGAGGTTTTAAAGCATGGGTGTGAATAAAATTTATTATGAGATGTTAATTTATTTAAGACTAAGTACACCTGCGCAGAAAGTGCTTTATGCTTGTTTTAAAAATGAAGCAAAAAGGACCTCATTACTGTTGTACTACTAAGCGGGCTAGAAAAGTGTCTGGAAATTCATCTTTAAGGTGCTTTTTTTTATTTGTTCTTAAAAAAGTGGTCAGTATGATTTTGTAATCTATTTATTACCACTACACTGTTTGTTTTCTGAAATGACAACCTCCGTGGCCGAGTGTTTTATACGTCGGGCTTCAAGATGTCGCCTGCTCTCGAGCGACTATGCTTCGAGTCCCAGTGGGGGCAGATGTTTGTGTGATGAATACGAGCATTTGTAATCCAGTCATGGATGTTTAATATGAATTTCTATATAAATTATTATTATATTATATGTATTTTATCCATTACCCTAGTATCCAATAACACAAGCCTACAGAGCTTACTTTGGGGCTAGGCTAATTGGTGTGAGAGGGGGAAATATTTATTTATTTTATTAATTTTGAAAAAAAATGTTAAAAGCGCTATTTTTTACTATTTTTTTTTAATTTGTTTGCCTGTCTACTCGTGACTATAACCAATAATGAAGATTTATTGAGACCGCCAGAATTAAAAGAAACTACCTAAGCAATCATTGAACCTTTACCCTGGAAATCAAGAAACCAATATAAAGCTCCCATGCAAAAGTTTAGTACCTATTCAACAACAACACAACAACTGATATAAGTTTCAATTAAAAAATTGTCGTTATAATTTTTATTATTTTTAAAGCATGTAACTGCTTGATGTTTAAATCTAAAGAAAATATAACTAGAAAAAAAAAAATCCACGCGGACCAGGCAGCAGACGGGACTCGAACCCGCACCCTTCGCAATCCGGGCGAATGAACTGACCAATTATGCTACCGCGGCCCTCACGGACCGCGTCGAAATTCCTTCTAGCTATTCTTAAGCTGCAAGGCAGCGCCATCTCTTCGCATTATAGGTAAACCCACAATGTCAAATGAATACTTTTACAAGTATTAAACATTTGAAAGAAGAAATAGCAATTATAGTTATAATTTTTATTATTTTTAAAGCATGTAACTGCTTGATGTTTAAATCTAAAGAAAATATAATTAGAAAAAAAATTCCACGCGGACCAGGCAGCAGACGGGACTCGAACCCGCACCCTTCGCAATCCGGGCGAATGCACTGACCAATTATGCTACCGCGGCCCTCACCCTTTTTTTTTCTAGTTATATTTTCTTTAGATTTAAACATCAAGCAGTTACATGCTTTAAAAATTAAAAAAAATTATAACTATAATTGCTATTTCTTCTTTCAAATGTTTAATACTTGTAAAAGTATTCATTTGACATTGTGGGTTTACCTATAATGCGAAGAGATGGCGCTGCCTTGCAGCTTAAGAATAGCTAGAAGGAATTTCGACGCGGTCCGTGAGGGCCGCGGTAGCATAATTGGTCAGTGCATTCGCCCGGATTGCGAAGGGTGCGGGTTCGAGTCCCGTCTGCTGCCTGGTCCGCGTGGAATTTTTTTCTAGTTATATTTTCTTTAGATTTAAACATCAAGCAGTTACATGCTTTAAAAATAATAAAAATTATAACTATAATTGCTACTTCTTCTTTCAAATGTTTAATACTTGTAAAAGTATTCATTTGACATTGTGGGTTTACCTATAATGCGAAGAGATGGCGCTGCCTTGCAGCTTAAGAATAGCTAGAAGGAATTTCGACGCGGTCCGTGAGGGCCGCGGTAGCATAATTGGTCAGTGCATTCGCCCGGATTGCGAAGGGTGCGGTTTCGAGTCCCGTCTGCTGCCTGGTCCGCGTGGATTTTTTTTTCTTTTTTTTCTAGTTATATTTTCTTTAGATTTAAAAAATTGTCTTTTATTTCATCGTAGGTATAGTATAAAGAACTATGCACACCTACCTCGAAAGAAAATGCTATTCACAACTTGGTGCATTAAGGCCTCGTGCCTCGGGCCTCAAACTACACCCTCGTTGGTAATCGGTCACTTTCTCCTCTCCGTGAACAATGAACTATTCTTAGCAAAGTATATTGGTATATAATCTCAGTTGTTCTCGAAAAAAAAGTTTTTTGATTGTGTCTTTATTGGTAAGTATATGTAGTATAAATATATTACAATTGTAAAAATCGTTCAAAACCGTATAATACGTTGCTTAGACTTTTTTGATGAGTATATAGAGTATATGCGACAATCGCCTTATATTATACAGAATGCTATTCTGTAAGAGCAAACTTACTTTTCACCGCGGAATTCGTCGATGTGATTTGAAATTTATTTGATATTCGAATTTTAAATCTCACCGCGGATTCCGAGGTGAAGAGTGAATATGTTCTTACAGAATAGTACTGCAGGTAGTTATCTATTCACATAGTGAATAACGTTTGACACTTGTCAGCTAGAGCGTACTATGAACTTAAAACCTTGCGATTTTTTAAACTATGAAATCTAATTAGCAAACGATAATTAGTCCTATACGCACACTATAGTTCTTCTGTGTATCTTCTAGTGTAGAAAACATACACACTTCCTATTTAGCATACTATTTCAAATCACAAATTATTTTTTCCGCAGTGTCAAACTCTACTACATATTATTATACAATGATGTTCAAATATAAGCGATTGCCCATTACATAAACGAACATGCACCCAAACTCACTGGCAACTGAATTGCTGGATGTTTTGAAAACAACCAACAGGCTCAAAGTACTAACGGTCTGTTTCGTAACCAGAAACTTTAGTCATGAAAGTACGGTATCCTGGTACTTTTTCCGAAATAATGATTTTTTAAATGAAATCTTAGTTACGAATGTGTGAAGGGATCCCCACTGCCTAGATCTAGTCTGATTTTATACATTGTAAATAATAATATATTGATAAGCAAAGTTCTCGTTAGATCAATTTTATTTATAATAAAAATAGATCTAATAAGAAAATATTTTTTCATTACATCCATTTGGATCTAGCCTAAGGATATACTGAGAACGATCCGTCAATTTCAATAAAATAACTCCAGTAAGAGTTATAGGCCAGGCCTTTTTAGGGTGTTGTTGCCTAGATATTTTTTTTATTAACATTACAAGATCAACTTGTCAATATTCGGAACCAGACAAAGCAGCGAGACACTGACCTCTGCCTCCTAAAAGTTGACTCCGTATACAAGTGGTAATTACGCATACACAAAAAATTGGAATTGAATTTTCAATTCAATTCAATCACTTATTAAATGTCACATTACAGTCATGAAATGGAATGGAATACCCCCTAAGGGCAAATATAAGGCCTCAAGATCTAGTTTCGCAACAATTTAAACTCGCATTTCACTAATTTCTCTCATTACATAAAAAAAGTCTTTGTAAAAACAGATGATCCAAACCCATTGTTATTATCATATTCCGATACAATTTTGTAGGTATATCCAAAAATATGAATGGTTTGTCATGAGAGCATTGCCGCCGCAAAAATACCTTAAAATAGTTTCGGAAAAATCTTTGCTACTTATATTTTTCATATATCTGCTATCTTGGTTCCTATTTTTTCTTTAAATATCTCTTACGATCCAATAAGATCTTTCTGGAGTCAAAATTGTGTTTTATGCTCCTGTGACAGGTTCATAACCTACTATGCATTTTTAAAAGTTTGTTTTGCTGATTCGGACATCAGTAAAAAAAATAACAGTTTAATTGCATGTTACGTTGCTTGGGTATCCATTTAAATGAAGATAAAATATTGCACCTAGATAAATTCTAAAATACATCGATCTCTGTACATTATCGTAATCTCGCACCGCGGGCGGTGTATATATGTCGCTGCTCGACCGCACTTTATATTAAGATTATCTTCTATAAAATCTAATTTTTGGTTATATTAATAAATAATTATAATATATAGGCAACATACAACACACAACTACAAATATTAAAATTAAACTTGATTATTAATATTTATCTTGATAATATATATTGAACATTCCTAAAGTTACGCGCTTCGTATTCGGTGTCGTAAAATTTTGTATTGACTTTGCTTGATACATAATTAAATGTGAGTATAGTTAAAATACTATAGAAAACGTAATAATTTGACACATTTTAGTAGTATAATAGTAGAATGTGTAAAATTTTGACAAATGGTTATATTTTAGTATTTTAACTAAAGTTACATTTAACTATGTATAAAACAACGCGGCCTTAGCGAGTTAATCGTTTGGTGCAGCCAATTTCATACTTAGAAGGGACGTGTATATTTTAGAAAGATTTTAGGATGATCTTAATATGAGAACAAACTGCCATTAGTGTTTACCACCTAAAGTGAGCTAATATTTTTTTACTTACGTTTATGCATCTACGATAAAACTTTTACCATAACTACATGCCAAAACTTACCAATACAATGTTCGCGGATCGAAATATTCACGTCCTCTGTCATAGAACTCGGATTTGGCATAATTGAACCCATTGCATTCAACGCCAAATCCAATATTGGCGATTATCTCCATCGCGTATCTGCCATATAGCTCGGAAAAATTTACCGATTCACCATTCCTGTGCAACATATCCGCGTACGTGAGGGCATCGTTCGCTATCTTTACCATGATGGGATAAATAATTTTCAACTTTCCGGAAGTAAAGGATGGCGACATCTTCAGTCGTAATTTCTTCCACACTGTACCATGAATGTTGAACAGATTTCCCGCCAATCTGTCACCCTCTCCTCCAGAATATGTCCCTCTGGATTGAAAATGGTCGAAGTCTCTGACGAGAATGTGCTTGGCCAACTCTAAATCATTAACGCACAGCACCGGCCGGTGGAAGCAATACATGCCGACGTACGGCAAATGCTTGTATTTAAAGTAAATATCGCAGTACGGCTGGAAGAACTGAGACTTCCTCGTGATAACATCTTTTATGTTGCCGTAAGGAAAGATGGGTTTGGGGCCGAAAACACCCTTTCTAGACCAGTACGTGAACTTGAATTGAAACCACACGTATATTAGAATAAAAGAGCAAACCGCCAAAATTACGAAAACGGCCATCGTACGAAATTTCACTTCACTTGGAGTCACTTCAAATTTATAGATACTTCACGACTGTCGTTTCTTTATTGTCTTAAATTCGCGGCGGAGCTTTATTATTCATTGGCAGTGAAATGCTGTGGTCGGTGCGTCGCGCCGCGCCGCCTACAGCATCAACTGGTCTCCGCGAAGGCTCTGAACGCATGCCGCATGCACTGTATTCAACATTTCAAAATATACAACTCTGAGGTCACTACCACACACGTGAAACATAACGTAGAAAGAATTTCGACAAAACTAGCTACGATTGTATAAAAATTATATAAAAATTGATTGCATAATATGTTTACTTTAAAAAGGACTTTTAATTTTACCGGTTTGGAAAACATACGAATCATTTTTAATGGCTATGGCTATCGAAGTTGTGTATATAACATAAAAACAAATCTATTTTGTAAATATCGATAAAATAAATCATTTTTTTTATTACACTGTGGTATTAATATCCACAACTATATTATCATTTTCACTAGATGCAAATGTGCTCAGACAATAATTATAGATGGTAGGCGACATCATAAAGTCTATTGCCATACATTTTTCGCCAAACACCTCCATAAAAACATTATAATCTGTATATATCTATGGGCCTACATTCCCTGACTATAAATTAATAAATAAATAAAATTATAAGGTGTGATACACTTAAAATCTAAAATATGGTTATCTTAAAAACATAAGAAAAATAATGAAGCTACTGAATATATGGCTATAGAACCTAAATCTCTTAGCTTTCTTTGGTTAACGAGAGTTTAAAAATTCTCTCTAATCTGTGACTCATTCACAATCATCACACAGTTTCTGTCACAAAGTACCTTATTATAACCGGAAATGACACCTGATTTTAAAAGTTACTCTTAAGCATTAACTTTAAAAACAGGCAATTATCTGTTAATCTACATGCTCTATATACCTGAATCTAATCCATAATTTCGGTACTTGGCTTGATTTCCCTAGTTTACTATATAACTTATTTGTTTTTTATTATTTTGATATGTTCAGTGTATTTGGTTTATAGAAGTTCTCAGGGGTGTCCGTCAATAATATTCGTTTCTACAGTAATTTATATATAATTTCGAATCTAGGAAACAATTTTCATGATTATTGGTCTTTAGGCCAATCATGTATGGAAGCTGAACAATCTCCTTTAACTAGGTATTAATAAAATAAGTAATTATACAAACTATTCTAATTCTAAACTATATTATAAATGAAAAAGTGCCATCAGGAGTTTTTTCTTTTTATTAGTAATTTTTAACCAACTTCAAAAAAGAGGAGGAATATAATGTTATTCAATCTCAAACTCTCAACTCTCGAAAAACTGTTTTTAAATACGATTTTGAACTTTTTAGTTAATCTCTTGACATAGGCTATCCCTTAAACCTATGGGCAATAGTAAGCAACAATAGGTAAAGATGTCTTGTAATAGTTAATTGCTTATCCCGATTCAGGTTACACATCGGAGACGTGACGAAATTACACAAACGTTTCGCCACTGCAAAAACTTGGTCACTCGTTCAACTCGTTATTCTGTTCTGAGGTAATCGATGCCATTATTTTGTTTTGTTTATACGGACGGAAAATTGTTGCTCATATCTGACGAACTTTGCCAGTGTCATTATTACTTTATGATAGTACTTTTATTGGTAGGTACTAGATTTCTTAGCGCGTAGTATTCGATGACAGCTTATGTTAACATTTAGTTATTTGGTATGAAAAATGAGCAATATTGAAAATAATTGAATAAGAGTTATATCTTATATATAAAATTCTCGTATCACAATGTTAATTTACCATACTCCTCCGAAACGGCTTGACCGATTTTGACAGTAGGTCTGAGAATCGGCTACAATCTATTTTTCATGCCCCTAAGTGGTAAGGGTTGTCCACCCCTAACATTTTAGAGGCTGGTGGACAGTTCTTTTAAAATATTTTATAAAAATATTTTTTTCATAGAAGTTAGTTTTTTAGTTTCTCATAACTTTCTGAGTGTCCCACGTACATGACGTATGAGTATAAAGTTCTGTTTAGTTATAGTTCCCAATCTAAAAAACATTATATCAGCCGAGGACCCACTGCTGGACCTCCCCCAAGAAATTCCAAACCGATCCATCCTGCTCTGCCCGCATCCAGCGGTTTCCCCGCGACCTTTACCTAAATGTCCACCTTAAGGGGGGCCTACCACCTACGCTGCGTCTCCCGGTACGTGGCTGCCACTTTCCGCCTTAACGGTCGTCAGTCCACCTTGCAATGTACCCTGCCCACTGCTATTTAATTCTTGCATTTTTTCGCCTATGTCTGAGATCTTAGTTCTGCTGTGGATCTCATCATTTCTGATTCGATCGCGCAGGGAAACCCTATGCGTAGCCCTCTCTATTGTCGATGGGTCACTTTTAGCTTCTTATGAGGCCAATTGTGAGAAACAACCTAGTAGACAACGCCGAGTGATATTCTTTGGTATCGCAAGCGATTATGTGTAAGTATGTAACCACTAACCATTAAGCGTACCACTATTATTGGAAATTAAACGGCAAGTATGGAATTATAAACCATCGTCATCGTCATCGTCATCAGCCTATTAATGTCCCCACTGCTGGGGCACAGGCCTTCCCTATGGATGGTATAGGGAGATTGGGCCATGACCCACCACGCAAATAAACCATTATAAACCAAATATAACGAAAACATTAAAATTTTAATGTTATTGTTGTATTTCAAATTAAAAAAAAACTACAATTTGTCGTTTCAAGTGTTCGTCCACTGAACAGATATAAACTTATTTGTGACCCCGTTTTTGCACAGAAAATCACAGACCACGTGTCTGTCTATGACCACGTGATCTATACGTCGGACGGTCGGACTAAGTACCGCCGCTCAGTAGCTTACGCAGTGATTTTCTCGCTACCGCTTATGTGTATTTTCTGTTTCTCTGTGCTTTTGTTGAACTGTTTGCTGTTTCTATCGTTGCTGTTTTGAATTGTGTGTTTGTAAACTCCTTCTGTTATTATTATTGGACATTGTGTTTGGTGATAAATAGAAATCGTAAGTGTATAAGAACTTTTTATTTACATACACAAACCCATAACCACAAACTTAATCCCAAGTGGATGATCCGCGCGCTCGCAGTGGTCCCAACCGATCCGAGATATCGTATCCGTTAACGGTGTCCGTGATGCTAGCGTACCCACGATCAATATACGATTTTTCGTTATGCCCGTAAATAGTGCCAAATTAGTGTAAAAATAAAAAAAATAGTGCCTCTTTAATTTAAGAAATAAAGACCATTTTTACTGTGTACGCTACCATGACGTCAAGCTAGCGTACCCATGGCCGACCCCAAGAATGGCATATATTTAAGCAACGAAATTGACACACAAAAATAGTTCGCAAATAGTGCCCTGGCTTTACAAAATTTCATAATCAATACTCTTAAAGGACCAAAGATATTGGACTAAACATTCTTAGCTGGCGTCAACCTGGCGTACCCATAATAGTTCTCATAGAAAATGAACTTTTCTCGTTATCAATTCTATATGTATAAATAGTGTGTCAAATAGTGCCTCTAACAGTAAAAGTATTTTATGTGAATCCGCATCACAACAATACATAAAGAGGATGTTAAATTCTAGGAACAATGTATTGTAGTACAGTTGCACACAAAATTAATTTATGCACTAAGAGATTACCTATCTATATATGTATTTTTACTAAAATAAATAGGTACTGTTTATAAAAAGATATTTTATTTCAATTCGAATTCAACAATCATAAATTCATATAAGAATTTCAACCTACCTACTAAGTACCTTACTTACCTACTATACTGCGAAAATATTATCTCTTCTGTACATGACTGTACTTCATATATAAATATAATTTAATAAAGCTTTAATAAGTAAAGCCAGGGCACTATTTGCGAACTATTTTTGTGTGTCAATTTCGTTGCTTAAATATATGCCGTTCTTGGGGTCGGTAGCGTACACAGTAAAAATGGTCTTTATTTCTTAAATTAAAGAGGCACTATTTTTTTTATTTTTACACTAATTTGGCACTATTTACGCAGTATTTAATGGCATAACGAAAGACCGTATATTGATCGTGGGTACGCTAGCATCACGGACACCGTTAACGGATACGATATCTCGGATCGGTTGGGACCACTGCGAGCGCGCGGATCATCCACTTGGGATTAAGTTTGTGGTTATGGGTTTGTGTATGTAAATAAAAAGTTCTTATACACTTACGATTTCGCGTATAGTATCACGTGAGGTTCTAAGCACTCACGAATGTACATTTCAGCATTTAATGTTGGCAGCCGTGGTCCTGTAACAACCTCAAGTTGAGTTTTGCCGCTCGCGGATATACCGCCCCAGACAGTCCATGAGCCACCGCCATAAGCAACCCTCTCTTCAAAGCAGCATTGTGCGAAACGCTCTCCCTTACGTCGGTAGACCTTCTTCCTTCCATCATTGCCATGTAACACAATTTTAGACTCATCAGAAAAGAGTACACGGCTCCAATCTTGCTGTGTCCAATTTAAATGACTGCGTGCGAAATGAAGGCGCGCTGTTCGGTGGGCTCGCGTTAGTTTGGGCCCATTAGCTGGCTTGTGTGGTACCATATCGCGTTCTTTTAACCTTCTCCGAACAGTTCGAGCGCTCACGTGGAAGTCGCGAAGTTGGTTTTGTATCTCAATGGAGGTAAGGTGACGATTTCTCAAGCTGGTCGTCACGATGAATCGATCCTGCCGTTCAGTTGTGACCCGAGATCGTAGCCTTCCTTCGCGACGAACAAAGCCGCCAGTCTCTAGGTACCTCCGATAAACATTTCGGACCGCAGATCGACTTAAATTAAGTTGAGCACTCACGTTTCTTTGGCTGTGTCCGGCCTGAATAAGTGCCACAGCTTGGGCGGCGACTTCAGGTGAAGTATCTATAGATTATTGATAGAACCTCACCTTAATGTTAAGAATAAGTAATGTTTGTTGCAAAACCAAAGATATCAATCACTTTTTCAAGAATTAAATCCAAGTAAACCAATAAAATCAAGTTTTCTTAGTATTCGATTGTTTGATATCAACAAACAGGCTCCAAATTGTCTTTTGTTTCTTTAAATTCTGTGTTCGAAATTCAAAAAAAGACTATTGAATGAAATTGTGAATGTGCCAGGTTCAAAACTGCATAAAAACTTTTTGCTCGACCTAATATAAAATTTTAGCTAGGACCAAACGAAACTGAAAATACAAGGTGGGCCGGGCCAATAGATGTGTCCAGAAGTGTATTTTGTGCTATCACTTTGCCACTGTCTATACAACTCAGTTTAATAAATAAGGGCATATGTTATGTGAACGCGTAAGCAGAAAGAACTAACAGCAAATAAGATGCTGGGGTTGCTGAATGATTCGTGAAACCACGTCACCGTTGAAAATTGGGTTAGTATAGTAAAAATGACCAATAATATTATCGGACTGGGAACGAGATATCGCTTTCGATAATATAAGAGAAACAATCCTTATTATCCATGTCGTTGATTCGTCATCAGACGAAGAAAGTAGGTATTTCAATAGACGTTATATAATTCAGCAAACGTTAATTTTTTTTTTACTATTTTGGCAATGGAAAACTTTTTAAAAAGTTTTTAATTTCCAAAATAATGCCCACCAATTTTATTTTAAATTTTCTACTTAGGATTGTTATAGGTACTTACACTGGATTTTTCAAATAATAATAAACAATATAATAAATAATTTGTCATATTTTTTGTCTTAATGTTACTCAAACATTTAAGTATTACCGTAACTTCGTCACTCACAATGTTCACCTCCCGAGTTTTGTCAACATATTGTAATGCGAACCATTCAGAAAAACTGAAATGTTAGGTCTTTGCGTTACGAGCTCAGCTCAGTGCAAAAACCACTGATTAATTGTAAGCTAAGTTAAAATTTTGTATTGGTGAATAAATATATTTTTGTTTTTTTTTTATTTAATATTGAAAGGTTTTTCGTGTACTCCGAAAGGATTACAATCGGGAGCGTAACGATTAATAATTGCACACTAAGTTATCGACTTTAATTTATCACCTTACCACATCCTTAGAATCACACAACACAAGTTCACATCCACATCTCTTTGTGGTGTGACCTTGTCAATGAACAAGAAAAATGAAAATGCCTACATTATGTAGTTACAGTTTTTTTTTCAAATAACTATACAAAGTTACTTGAACTTGTATTACATGAGTCTTCTCGTTTCATGTTGCTAAGGAACCGCGTTGCGGGAGACAACATTGTTAACATAGTTGTCCCCTAGTGTTTTTTGTTTGGAGTTACATTAGCAAACGAAATTACAAAGTTAGGTCGAGGTTCAAAATTCAATAACATAGTAACAATAGGACGATCTCAATCAACAAAATAAAACGCCTTTAAGGAGACACACATTTTATGCTTCTTTTGTGAACTTCACTTTTTATTTAACTATTTTGTTAATACAACACTTGGGGTAAAATAAGGATCAAACTTTCCTAGACATTTCGTGATTTCATCATAGTTTCCTGTCTTTAACTTCTGCATAACGGTCTGTCCATTTCTGTCCAAAAAAATTATCACGCTAACATCTAAACATGAGCGAAACAATTTAAATTTTGTATAAATACAATGGAACTATTCCTACTAATTTATTACATGATGCGAATTATAGTCAAGACACAAAAACTATCTTATTACTATCTAATAAGGGCGCTGGATTAATATTCCTCCTGTAGTAGAGTAGGCACTATTTGGGCAAAGCCCTAGTCGAACTGTCGAGTTTATAGTCACCCTTAACTACTTCCCTTCTCAGTTGAATCAAATGCTGTAAGTATTCAGTAGGAGTACGCGTTAAACAAGTCCTATGAGTGCCTTTACTGGTATTTCGATATTTAGCAACATACTTCTCGTATTTATTCACTGATCTTTCTAAGTTATCGCAGGAATTCAATAACTCTTGTTCGATGCTCCTGAAATTACCTTGGTTAGGCTTAATATTTAACATGCTCTCCAAGTAGCATCTTCTCCGGCTAAACATATCACGTGACTCCGTACTATCACTCGATGTAATTCCTTTATTGTTATCTATCGATGATAAAGAATCACATTCATCAGTATATATTTCCTGATTTTGCCGAATGAACTCTTTATGTAATTTGTTGCTTGATTTTTCATTTTTAAAGCTTTTAGATTTATATACTGGGGTGTGGCTACGTCTTAGAGTGCTCGTTGGCTTCGTGTTAATATCGTCTGTAAATCCTCTTTTCCATACAAAGGTATCAGAATCTGCCTTACTTGATTCTGTTGAATTAGAATCAGTACGTGTACGACCACTATGACTTTTATGTCTATCTTTAATAGTGTAAGCATTTACCACGTTCTCATCACATTCATCCAATGAAGTTTGCAAGGCCACGGATCTCATCGGAACATCAGTATCCTGAAATTTAACTAATATCTTTGACTGATCTCTGTCTCGTGGCGGTGACAATATTATGTTGTATGGATAAATATTCTCATTACGTCCTAAAATCATGTCTTTTATTTCATGGGAGTCAATTTTTCTCGTTTCTTCGACAGTTACTCGGGGTAAACTACATTCGTCTGAATCAGAAAAATCATTATTCGTTTTTATTTCCGTGTCTCTGGCTCCCAAGTCTGCTTCCTCAACAAAATTTTTAGTGACAATAGTTTCTCCTTCAATATTTCTAATGTTCAATTTCAATTCAGATGTACTATGATTAGTCAGTAAGTCTGGTTTCGTATTTACCAATGACGGATTCTCATTATTTACAACCTGATTTTCTGAATTATCGTCAGAACTTTGCGTTTCTGAATCCACGGGATAAGATTGCGAAATATTAATACTTAAAATTGAAGCATTGCTATCGTCTGCATTCAGTGTACTACCTATAGTTTTGGAACATTTACAACAACACCCTCGTCTCTTTCTTCTAGGAGGTGGTACAATATGTGTTTGTGTAAAGCTGTCACATTTCCTAACAACGTCTGTCATCACAAGAGAACTTCTATGAACAATCTTCTTTTCCTCCGTAATTGTAGATCTATCATTAAAATTTATCATGCCATACTTGGAACCAACAGCTACTTCCTTGCACCTAGGTGTCATAGGCAATGTTTCAGTAGCAACATCACAACGTAAAATGTATTCATGGTTGTTTTTTTGGAGATAAGCCTCTAAATCTGTTTGTACATCAATGCCTTGATCTCTAACGCGGGTCACAAGTTTGCGAGTCTGAGTATGTGCAGGTATACCTATTTTACGTTTATTCCGAAGAGCTTTTTGACTTATCTCCATAAGCCGTTGACGAGCATTTGTACAAATTCTTAACTCGCTAAGTGGCTCCATAATCTTCTTATCTATCACAGATTCCATTTTTAAAGCAGCCGCCTCTTCTTTCTTTTTCATTTTATTGTATAGTCTCTCCGTAACAGATGCGACTATCTCTGCCCGTTGATTATTATCATAATGAACTGAGATTGGAGAAGCCAATGATTTATCCGTATTATTTTTCAAATAATTTACTTGTTGCATTCCACTATGTCCTGGTAATGCGTTTGAAATAGACTGATTCATAAGAACTGTTTCATCAATTGGTAAAATTTCTTGAGATTTATACTGTCTGCGTTTATGTCTTAGAGGAGCAATAATTTTTAAATCATTTATACTTTGAGTTCTTTCCAAATTAGGTACAAACATATCATCAAGTTCTTTTGTGATTTCATCGGCTATATCTGTATTTGGCAACTTATCTGTATGGTTGTTGATTACATCCGAGCTTCCACTTGCTGCCGACGAAGCTGTTGATTCTGATTTTGTATCAGTTTTGGATTGCAATAAATTCATAATGTTCCCTATGTTGGCGGCTTTATTTTGATCCAATTCAGAGTTATCCGTTTTTTTGTTCAATTTCCAATGATTGTCATCATAAGATAGTTTTCCAGTTTCAGGAACCTACAAAAGGAAATATTAATACGTATTAAATTCACTGACTTGGAAAGTTTAGTTTTGGGTCTTGGAAAACAAAAGCAACAAGTCTGATTATATGTATACCCTAGGTGTAGTCCTTGGAGTCGTTTAACTAGACAATAAATTGGAGCATATACTCTTTCGCATATTCATCAAAAAATACTAGCGGCTTGCCTTTTGATGCACAACGGATGGCCTATCTATTCAAGAATGCGGTTACATATAAGTATGTAAAATAAGGTATAAATAGGGAACCTACCATCAATAATCGTTATCCTTATTAACCTATTAATATCCCCTCTGTGAAGTACAGGCCATCTCTACGGATAAGAGAAGAAGATAGGTACCACGCGGGCCCTTAGCAGTTTGGTGATACTAACATCTGCAAATGCAACTAGTACTGAGGCTTAACTTAGGCTTAACTTCCTGCCTTTGCCTTCTGAAGCACGAAGCAGATCGAGATAGAATTATTTTGGGCAACGGTATACGGGCACGATCGGATGACAAATTTGGTGGCACGATGTATCTCGACGTTTTGGGGCGTATCACACACTTAAACAGTGTTACTACATAAGCTTGGAGTGGAGGGTGCCACTGCGGGCACATCTGGTAACTGGCGCGTAACAAGCGACGCTCGGGAACGCGGCTGGCGGTCAATGATATAACAGCTCACGTAATGGATATATTTCCTGGCGAGCTTGGCCAGCAGTTGCGTTTGTTGTGCCAGCAGCAGCGGACGCGTGAGTGGGGAGGGCGTCACTGTGCGGGCGTGTAAGTGGGGAGGGCGCTACTGCTCACGCGTCTGACAGCTGGCGCGTAACAAGTGATGCTCGGCGACGCGGCCGGTGGTCAATGATATAACAGCTCTTGTAATGGATGTAGTTCCTGGTGAGCTCGGCCAGCAGTCGCGTATGTTGCGCCAGCAGCAGCAGGCGCGTGAGTGGGGAGGGCGCCACTGCGCGCGCGTCTGGCAGCTGGCGCGTAACAAGTGACGCTCGGGGACGCAGCTGGTGGTCAATGATATAACAGCTCACGTAATGGATGTAGTTCCTGAAGGGTGCCACTGCGCGCGCGTCTCGAAGCTCACGCGTAACAAGTGACGCTCGGAGAAGCGGCTGGTGGTCAATAATATAACAGCTCACGTAATGGATGTAGTTCCTGGCGAGCTCGGCCAGCAGTCGCGTGTGTTGCGCCAGTAGCTGCGGGCGGGTGAGTGGGGAGGGAGCCACTGTGCGCGCATCTGGAAGTTGCCGCGCTCGCGCCGCCCAGCGGAGCGTCGATGCGGACTCGCCGTAACAAGCAACGCTCGGTGACACAGCTGATTGTTAATGAAATATAGATAACTGTACCTACTTATAAATCTAAAGATTTTTTTGATGCAAAATCCATCAAAAAAGGACCCAGTCCTGGTGTCAGACTGGATTCGAACCAGCGCACTTCGTAGATAAAATACAGAGCCAGATAAACGTAGATTTGTCTTATTTGATGTTCATTCAAACAATATTTGAAGTAAATACAATAAGTAGGTACTGTGTTTAAAAAAAGATTTGAATTTGGTCATAGAACGCCGAACTTTGAAATTTTTTGTTTCAGTCGAGCTTTTGAGTTTCATAAATATGATCTTGCTGATCATATTTATGAAACTCAATATTTCATAGTACTACAAATATATCTGAAAATCGATTAGAATTATCTAAGTAGTTTAAAACAAAACAGAGTATTGAAAACATCCAACTAAGATAAGTCCTGAAACTACATTGATTATTATTTTACGCACTTGCTATGATGAAAGTGTTGGCTCCACCGGTGAAGCAATCCTTCAGCAGCCAAGTGAGCGCAGAGTCTCGGTACGGAACAAACCTGCCTCGTCCGCCTCCACTCACTGTAACCAACATTATTAACTTAAATTTATTACTACTTATTGACCTTTTTATTGAATAACAGGGCAGTGTGGGCTTTGTTTTCATTTTCTCGTTTTTAGGGTTCCGTATCTCATAAGAAAAAACTGAACCCTTATAAGATCACTTCCTTGTCCGTCTGTCAGTCTGCGTGTCTGTTTGTCAATACCTTTTATCGCGGGAACGCGTGGAGGTAGTATGGAGTTAAAATTTAAACACTATCCATACTCAGATCTGCGGTTCCTTGATGCTGTCAAAGTTAATGTAAAAAAAAGATACGTCCGTTTTTTGTCTGTTAATCAAGACCCTTTCTCACGGAAACGCGTGGCGGTAAAGAGTTGAAATTTAAACCATACATTATTAAAATTTGCGATCATTTGAAGCAGTGAAAAAATCAGTTTTAAGTTAATATAACAATAGTTACGGACTTTTATGTTGCAAATTTGTATGGGACCCTCGGTGGGCGAGCCCGACTCGCACTTGTCAGGTTGTTGATTCTAATGAAACAACGTCTTGGCATTGACCATTGACGTCCTGCGTCCATGAACTATGCGTAAGGGAGTGATGTGTACACAGGTCACAGACTACTTAGATACTACGTAATGTGTACAGTACCCCTCGCACGAACCGATATCGAATCCGAATAGTTTGCGAGTGCGAAATGTCAATGTCAAATTTTGTATGGAAACTCGAACAGCAGCGCCACAACAGACGCAACGAGAACTAGAAACCAGTACATATTTGACGTATATGTAGATCGAATTCAACTATTCAATTTCGATATTTTTTCGTGCTAAGGGTACTATTTTTTTTATTTTCCATGTTTTTGAAGTGAAAACTTCTTTAGCGGTGTTGTACACTTTTTTTGTAATGGGTAAAAAATGTTATACTCGCGTCAGGAGACGTGACCTAATCGAAAATTCGTAATAGTGCGTGAATGTTCGTGTGCGTTTATGTTACAGCGTGCCACGCGCATTCATGGATGGTAACAGTTGATGGCTCGACCGTCTGTGTAGTGGCCACACTGCTGTGTATTCTTAAAATTCGTGTATATAAAAAAAACTAACTATATTTTTGGATTCGGTATCGATTGTAGATCACACCCCAAGATTTATTTTAAAAAAATATTCAATTTACAGTTTTGACTTTCCTACCATTTTATTATATGTATAGATACAAACCCAGGGCTGATATGACATTGCTCAATGCCACCAGAGACTTGTTGATATTGGCGCCTTCCTTCTGCCTCCCGCCGCAACCTTCCCAGCCCGCTTTCTCACTGCAATCGTCAATAATTTCATGAGTATCCCCAAAGAATCGCAGATAAATTAAAGGTTTCATACTGTAAGTTTGTATTTTTGATTTTGATATTTAAAGTAGCTGGCAATAAATACTGCTGATAGAAGAGGTCTGGCAGTATTAATTCCAAATTGCTCACAATATTCTCTACATCATACGTAAGAATCAGTCCTCTGACTGTAAGTAAAGTGAGTATATTTTTTAATTATCTGTGTCACCTGATACCTGAAAATTGGCCCACAGCACAAGTTAGCTAGTATTTATACGTTCATTGCACACAATTATCCATAATTTGTCCATAAAAAAAAAGGGTCTGACGGCCTTGGGATTTTGAACTGTTAAAAGACATTACAAAATAAAATCCGGTACCAAAATAATATTCTTCTCCTTCTTAAACAAATGCCCACAAAGTTGTAAGTTTATTTTATTGAAATCTTGATAGATTAATGTACTTAAATTATGAGAATAGAATTTAAATGTGACCTATTCTGACGACGCAGCCTAAAAAGGATGCGAAATGCCATAAATGAATAAATCAGTGCATCTATACCGTTGAAACTTGATTTATTTAATGAGTGGTGTGCGTAAAAACTAAGAAGCACATATGTTACCTATATTAGATTAAATAGCATTTCTAACGTAAAGTAGTTGACGAGGGTCAATACGCGTCACGAACTAACATAATATGGCTTCTAAATAACGATGTTGCAAGCAAATTAAAACTAGAGTTTGAAGAAAAAAAGACCCCTTGGTGGTGTATTTTGTTATGTGGCGCAAAAAATTACCCCACACCTGACGTTAAGTGTAAGTGGAGACCAGCAAAAACAGTTGATGCAGCAAAAAAGTGTGATGCTCCTAACATCCACACCTTGCTAACACAAGTTAGGTTTGGGTACAGACCCAATCCCCTACCCTGTGTATCTCTAGTGTTAGTGTGGTACATACTCTGTAAGCTAGTTACTTCCCCATGTGAGCGCTAAAATTCGAGCGGAAAAATCACAAATGAAGTGACTCGTACACTTCTTCTTATGAAAATTCTGTCTTAGGGAAGTGCAGTAAACCGATGATTTTATCCAAGATATTTAAAAGTATAAATGATTTATAACATAAAAAGGTACTTCACAGCTAATTCAAAGAGATGTAGAGCGGCGTTTGTTCGTTGCGAGCTCCAACAGGGCGTAAGGCTCGGAGGAGGTGGTTTTCCGTCTGGTAGCTACAGTGCGACGACGTCTGGCTCTCTCGTTTACTAGAGTAAGCAAAGCAAGAGTTAGGAATAATAACTCAAAGTCACCTGCCAGCTAAGTTGGCGAGACCTAGACAAGGTTGTGTTCCACCTGGTGCCTGCAGTGCGACAGCATCTGGCCCCCTCATTCCCTGGAGCAAGTGTTAGTAATAAGCCAGATAGTTACGAGGTCTTATTCCGTCTGCTGGCTGCAGTGCTACGGCGCCGGCGTCCGGCTTCCTCGTTCACTAGAGCAAGCAAAGCAAGCCTTATTTTTACTTGCCAGGTAATCTGGCAAGGTGAACAGTGGGGTTGTTAGTGACAAGCTCCAGCAGGGCGTGAAATCGAAGGGAAGTGATTTTCCGCCTAGTGGCTGCAGTGCGACGTCGTTTAGCCCCGTCGTTCACCAGAGCAAGCAAAACAAGAGTTAATGTTAAACCATATAGTTACCTGTCAGCTAAGTCGGCAAGCCTTGACGAGGTTGTGTTCCGTCTTGTGGATGCAGTGGGACGGCGTCTGGCTTCTCATTCACTAGAGTAAGCAAAGCAAGAGTTAGGAGTAATAAGACATAAAGTTATCTGCCAGCTAAGTCGGCGAGACCTGGACGAGATGGTATTCCGTTTGGTGGCTGCAGAGCGATGGCGTCTGGCTCCCTCACTCATTAGAGTAAGCAAAGCAAGAGTAAGGAGTAATAAGTCATAAAGTTACCTACCAGCTAAGTCGGTGAGACCGGGACGAGGTGGTATTCCACCTGGTGCCTGCAATGACACTGCGTCTACCTACCTCAATCACCTGAGCAAGCAAAGCAAGAGTTAAATATAAACCATAAAGTTACCTGCCAGCTAAGTTGGCCAGACCTGGTCGTGGTGGTATTCCGTCTGGTAGCTGCAGTTCGAAGGCGCATGCGTCTAGCTCTCTCATTCACTAGAGCAAGCAAAACAAGAGTAATAAGCCATAAAATTACCTGCCAGCTAAGTCGGCGAGGTGTAGAGTGGCGTTGTGAGTGGCGAGCTCCAGTAAGGCATGAGACCTGGAGGAAGTAGTGTTCCGCCTGGTGGCTGCAGTGCGACGACGTTTGGCCCCCTCGTTCAGCAGAACAAGCAAAGCTTCCACGCTGTGGATCGCAACCCTACGGAGATCTGTAGTACATGAAAAAGTGAACGTTTGGCAATTACCAAAAATATAAATTCTTGGAGCCTCGGGATCGAACGCAAATCATTAGATACTTGCTGCTATCTCTCTAAGTGACCATATAACAACGGAGCTCTTACTATCTCCGGTCGAATTGCGGTTTAGTTATAAGCCCAATATAAGTCGTTGTCGCCACTCAAGAGCTACTCCTACACCTGCCGCAAAAGATGTTTTAACGTCAAAAGATTTCTTTTTTACAATACATCGTATTCATATAAATTAATACTATCCTCAACATGCAGTTTCAAATCGTATTCAATAAGTATCTTAACTATCAAAATTGGGTAAAAAATATCTACCTGTAAACAAGATCTTTGAAGAGAAGACAAGACTGAATCCAAATTTTTACGAAACCGATGAGATTTAACCAGAAAATAGTAAAAAGCACCAAAGGTAAACAAATGTAATTTATTATAAATTTTGAGCATTAACCTGCTTGATTTATAAATCTTAAGAAAATCCTATATGATAGATTCAAAATTTTCAAGTAATTTTTCTTACTTTGTACGTAGGGTCCTTTTCCAGGGTGTTCGCGAACCCGGAGATCCTTGCGCGCATTCCCCCTGCGCCTGGGCAGCGAATGACAGGGGATGGGGGCGGATTCACCCGCCAGAAGGTCGTGCACTCTCTCGTTGTAGATCTCCAAGAAACTGGGGAAATTATAGACGGTAAGTACTTTGTACTTGCAAAAGAACCATGGACTTACCTGCTTTAAAAATTAAATACCTTAAAATAACAAGTCCAGTTCCTGTAAAGCCGGGTACGGATTAGCGAGCTGTAACCGTAACCGTTGCATGCACTGTAACCAAAAAGCATAGTGTGTACGTGGTTCGCTAACCTGCTGCTAGCGGTACGCGTGAGGTTTGCAGCGAGCCGATGACATTTACAACTGAGCTACAAGCGTACACACTAGAACCTCGTACTGTATCACGCATGTTACGGTTACAGCTCGCTAATGAGTATCCGGTTTAGCATGAGCACTTCAATTTACATTATAACACGTTTATTATCGTATCTAACTGTGAAAATCTATAGTAATTCGACAATTGCTGCTGTTGACAAAAGGGTTGGATTAGGACTGCTTGAGTTTTTTTAGAATCAAAGGGAATATTATTTACAGAAAGTGATAGAGACGAATACATACTTATAAAATCAACGTTAACGAGCTCCTGTCCAAGTTTTTCCACAAAAAAAATAATACAGCATTGGTCGCTTAAAGTAGGAACCCTAAGCAGAGATATTTGTATTTTTCCAATGCGGCAGGATAACATAATAGGGACAACCTGTACACCTTGTGAAGCCTCTATTCTCTCGTCTAGGAGAGTAAAATATTTTTCAACAGACGCTCATCAGTCTTTTGCATAGAAGCTACTGGCGGGTTCGCGTAGGTAAGGTTAAATTCAAAAAGTACCCAATGGGCAAAATGAACACGGGCAAAGCCCCCTGTAAAAGGGGTTTCAGCCCTCCAAAGGTTAAGGTGTCCACATTGCCTGGCTTTCCCTATGCTGGAAGAATATCGCGGAAAAAGTTAGGACCATTAGCCGCCATGTTCTAGTTGCAACATGATTGTAATACGTTTTTTTTAAACATTATCATTACTTTAATCGAGAGTTGATTCGAATATGTCCTTGTAACTGCTTAGTAGACTGTACCTAAGTATAGCTTAGCACATATATTATGGTTTCATAATACTACTATTTGATTAAGGTGTGCATTAAATATGTGTGTTTAATTGCATACTTCACGAATATTAGTATAACCATTAGAATATATTTTATGGAAATACTAAAAATTTATGACGATGGTTCACTGTATGTACAAATCATCATAGGTAATCAAACAACTGGTCAAGTGTGTGATGACTTGCAAAGGAAGGGTTCATTAGGGTTCCGTAAATTAAAGATTTAAAGGAGATTGGTCAAATTGGCCTAAATGCAAATAAAATATTGACATATACAGTAATTCTTGGCGTAATTTATACTTTATTTTACAGTCATTAGATTTTAACGGCCACCTTTAAATAATATATTAATTTTAAAAAAGGACTTCTATTTTTACCGGTTTGGAAAACATACGAAGCATTTTTATTGGTTATGGGTGTAGTAACATTCACAAAGACTGATCGAGGTTGTTTATATAACATCAAAACAAATCTATTTTGTAAAGATTGATAAAATATTTCGATGATATTTTAATTCAAAATGTAGATGATATGTAATATTAAACGCAACATAAAAGTACTTAAGTTGTTTTATTTCATTAATTTACCTTATTCTGATAATGTATATTCCTGACATAGCTTAAATATTCTGATATTTAAGCTATGTCAGGAATATACATATTTCACACATTGATCAGAACTATCATGAACCTACGCAATATATTATTACATTAGAATTACCTTTTACCATTATAAACCTAATTATTACTTAGAAAATATCCTATTGGTTTTTATAAAATTATGATAACAGTTCCATGTTTCTCATAACATAGGTAAGCAGGTACCAGTTCCTTGACATGCATTTTGTTAGTGTAATTAGTGTTAGACACTTGTCAAATGAAACAAGATTGCTTCTGAAAGTCGCAATGGCATAATCATGATTTTAAAACTTACTCTTGTGCATTAATTTTAAAAACAGGCAATTATCTGTTATTTTACATGCTCTATATACCTGAATCTAATACATAATATCGGTACTTGGCTTGATTGCCCTATTTTCCTATATAAGTTATTTGGTTTTTATTATTCTAATACCTATGTGCCTATTTGCAAACATAACCTCAAAATCATTCAGTGTATATGGTTTATAGAAGTTCTCAGGAGTGGCCGTCGATAATATTCGTTTCTACGGTAATTTATATATAATTTCGAATCTAGGAAACAATTTTTCATGGTTATTGGTTTTTAGGCCAAACATGTATGGAAGCTGAGCAATCTCCTTTTTAGTCTATACTTCTATACTAATATTATAAAGAGGAAATATTTGTTTGTTGTTTGTATTGATTAAGCTCCTAAACTACTGGACCGATTTGAAAAATTCTTTCACGCTTATTCGTTTTGATTTTATTTATTTATTGACGTTTCGCATAGTTTACTCCGAGAGGCATTCCTGCAAAGGAAAGAAACATCAACGACAACGTTTATGGTGTTTAAAAATAACCTTAGAAGTTCATTGGTGTTTAATAAAACCGTTAAGCTCACTGAAATTTTAGCACGCATACTTACTGGTTATAGAAAAAGTTTTTGGAAGTTTATTCCAAAAACTTATACCATTATTGTTGAACTAACAACTATTTGTCACGTTCCCAATGATTGTCTTTTAATGAAACGATGCGTTTGGTACGTGTTTGGAACACCAAGTAGCGAACCAAACTAGATAATTATGATAGTTAGCCGAGACACGCAAACATCACGCACATCTTTAAATTAGAGCCAAAAACATGAATCTGAGAATAGTATCATTGGGTTAAAGTAAATGGTTATTTTAAAGTAAAATTAAGTTTATTTAAATTAAGTTTTTTCATGTAGAAAGAAATTAAATAGAACTAAGGTCGTTATTAACACAAAATATTGACCTTCGCTCTTTGTTTAATACAATTCTGTAATCTTAGCGAAAGATCAATTTTAAATATTTAATACAACATCTATGGTCCGGCTCGTGAAGGCTCTTTGTACTTCAGGGGGAAATTATTGATATAATTATTAATTTCCGTGCAAAAAATATCATCGAGCTGGTCATGTTGTGTTTAACAGTGTCTCGATAAAAATATGGGTGCGTGTACTTAAGTACGCGCATGAGAAGTTATACTTCTTTTTGGAATTATTAAAAAATAGTTTTTAATTGCATGCAGATAATTAATTACTACTGAATAAAATTTATTAGCACATATAAATTTCGCATTTGTATAACATTATAACACGTGTTAAGAATATAGAAACTAGAAACATGTGGATAAATATTATAAATATGAAAACAGTGATCAGAGGCGACGAGCGTCCCAACATGTGCGACTAAGAGATCCTATTACTATTTTGTTGGAAGCTTTTTTTCGAGACTTACGAGTAATGTGCGGTTTAGCGGCCGACTTCATGGTGTTACTTTTCTGTTACAGTGTTGCGCGCGCATCTTAAAATTTCACTCTCATCATTTTTTCATAACGCGCCCGCGGCTAACTTCATTATGTTACTTTTGTGTTACAGTGATGCGCGCGCATCTTAAAATTTCACTCTCATAATTTTTTCATAAAGCGGCTAAAGAAGTATAACTTCAAAAAATATAATAAAAAGCATTTAATATTTTTTTTATGTATTTACTTTCTGTATGTTCAGCGATATTTTTGAGAATTGTCAACGGATTTGTATATTTTTTGTAAGGTTCCGAGGCTCCACAATGCAGAAGATAAAGTCAGGATAGACAAAACGCGGGTATCCTAAAAGTCATCTTTAGCCGCTGTTACCATCTCACTGGCCATTTTCATTTGTCTACGCTTCAATTTTACATAAAAATACCACCTTCATTTTTTCCTAAACTACATTCTTCCGTTCCCGACGACTATATTTCATTTAGCGTCATAATTTTAACAGCTTCGACTTATTTTGCACAACAAAGCGTCACGCTATATGGGTCCCCGAAAACTCGATTTTTCCAAATAAATAAACCAATCCAACATATGATACGTTTTGTTCCTTTTGTTTATAGAAGTTGCCGAAATAAGTGGCACAGTTATTGGTAGTTCGATATTTTTTTATTAGGTTAACATTATAACATAAATACAAATGGAAAGGTCAATGGTTTACAGAAGAGTGGACACTGAATTGAACAAATTTGGTTCCCATCGAAGAAAGAATAATTGTGTAGAAGCAAACTCTTTTCAATCGAAATGCACGGTAATCGGTTAATTAATCAAAGAAAATTTGAACCTTGAACGCTTTGTTGCCACGGATTCTTATTTATTTTTATTGTACATTTATTAATAACATTAAATATATTATTTTTTATAAACTAGTAATGTAACATTTAGCTATCACTAACTTGGATCTGGAATTCGATGAACTAAAATGGCTGAGTCTACTTTAGAAAATTTGGCTTAATAATTCCAAAAGACGACTCACCCATAACATCAGTTGAACATCATTATTTTACCTATCGAATAAAAAATATTAATTATTCTCAACCATTATGAAGTTTTAATATTGCCTAACTGTTAAACAACAAAACATCAAAAACACATTGCACCGTACCTAACATGAAATTACGATTTTTTTAATTAATATTTTTTAATATAATATTAAACTCATTACAACTTACCTAAGTAGGTACGAGAAGTGTTGAACTTATTTAAATTATTACTTTTTCTCGTTAAATAGATATAATAAAACCGCAGCGCTTATGGTAGCGCTTGGGCGGGCGGGCGCCTCGATTGCGTCTGAATTTTGAAGCCCAGTGAAGCCGCACGACTGCCATGCGAATGCGATACATACATTTTCACCGAAGCAATGTAAAGTCATGTTATGTGTAAACACATTTCTTTAATCCTTTAACAGTTGTCGACTTTTATTACAACTGAGAAAAAATATTACGGCAACGCATACCATAAAACAAAATACTTATCACAAACTTTAAATTATTATTGATAAAAAGGCACTGAAACGATATTTTTTAAGTATTTATTAATAAAGATGCTCAAAATCAATCACTGTAAAATGTATCGCTTTTTACGCGAATTTGCATAGTTGCAATGTGAACAGCAATCTATAACGTTACTAACGCACGGATGTAGTTTGCAGTTCTGGTCAGTGAAAGCCGATGTACCTCATGACTCCGTCCTATCTCACACACTCTTTCTGCGGCATATGAATGATTTAATTCCTCCGGGGATAATTCATTGCTATCCAGACATGGATAGCAATGAATTATCCCCGGTAGGTAGGTGGTATTTTGGGCACGCTGCGTTACTAACGCACGGATGTAGTTTGCAGTTCTGGTCAATGAAAGCCGATGTACCTCATGACTCCGTCCCATCTCACACACTCTTTCTGCTGCATAAAAATAAATGATTTAATTCCTCTGGGGAAAATTCATTGCTGTCCAGACAGGTGTGGTATTTGGGGCACGCAGCGGCTGGACGGGCCAAGGAGAAACGGGAAAATCAATTCATTGAACTCAATCAGGCTTTAAACTGCATTTTCGAACGGGGTACCAAGAACGTGAATGAGTTCAATACTAAGAAAACCCAGGTATGGGCTTTAATGAAAAATCGTTGCTATTCCTTCTCGTTCCCTCTCTTTAAAGGACAGCACTTGGCGCTACCTCTCGCTCGCGCTCGGTGTGAATGTTCGCTATGACTTCAATCCAAGAAACTACATTGGAACCGTGATGAACACAGCAGCATGGAAACTCGGGATTTTGAACAAGGTGTGGCGTTCTTCATACCCGATTACTTTGCTTGTTGTACAAGATGCAGCAATTGCTTGCCTCTGGGGTGACTCCTCCAAGTACTTACTCAATGCTTTGGATAGATTACAGCGGCATGCGACCCGCATTATTGGCGTTGAGGAGGTGACTAAATACTGGGGTCCTTTAAAAGAGGCGTGAAGGAGCATTTCTGCAGCCGGCAAGGTGATCTTCGCGTCTGGACTTTATCACCACCTATCATCAGGTGGGCTACAGTAATGTGCATAAATAGCTATAAAAAAACTTATATTTCTTATTATACACCTACTTTTATATACCTTCACCAGATTTTTAATAAAGTTATTTAACAACCTAATGTGTTTATCAACTTTAACACAAAATTACTATTTATTCAAACCGTACCATTATGTTCCCACAAAGCGCACCAAAGCCTTGACTTTCCTCATGTATGAGGTCACATATTACCACATAACCTTTCATAATGGATATCGTGTGGTGGCAGATATATTACCCAAAGATATTAGTGAAGATAGTCTAGGCGCGAAGCTCGCGTGTCCCGCCCGCCCTTACGCCCCTGACTTTATTGCCATTCAAAAATTAACACAACCACCGTATACAAATACGACTCTGTTCCGGAAAAAACTATCAAACACCTGTTCGATTATAATTGTTACGACTATACAACGATAAAAACTAATGGATTTCCTGTATCAACTCTGAAAAAACGTATTGGAAAGTGAGCGATGTAAAAGCGGGGAAAGTGTTTCGATTTTTTGCATTGATTCTTCGTAGCAAGTTTTTAAATGTAAAATGTGGATTTTATTTTCATTTCGAAAGAAAAGATTATCCTTAGAAATTGAAATAGAATACTATGTCTACGGCATATTCTTAGACAATATATGCTATCCAAAAGAGAGAACTATTTTAAAGACATTTAAATATTTTTCCATAGAAGGTACAGCAAATTTCCCCACTGCTTCTTTTGTTAAATGTAAATGGAATACGCTGCTGCTACAGGGATATCCATTCTCTCCTTGCTGGCCTGAACCCTACCCCGTGGAGCCCTGAAACCTAACTCACCGCAACGATAGAAAAACAACAACAGCATGAAAATAAAGTTTTCCGTTGTACCGTGCATTCGGTACAACAGGTCCTAAAAAACGCAACAAAATTTTCACTATCAATTAAATAAATGTTCATGGAAGGTTTATAATTATATAAAGAAATTCATTGTGTATAATACAAGCCTGAGAACAAAAACTATAGTCTACCTGCACTACAGCTCTACATCGAAGCGAAACGAGAGCAGGCCTAGTACAGTATGCATACAAATTGTGTATTTTTAATTAAATAATTAATTAACATTACAATAATTAAGTAGTATAGAGCAGACTCATTTCTGCTGGCAGCGCCCGTTCCCGAGCATGACGCATGAACCAGCCATCGCTTCGCTTAACCATATTTTAGGGAGCGCAACGACCCGCCTCACATGACACCTCACGTTAGGTGGGTGGAGCTACTCCTCCAGACAGTTGGGTGGAAAGGGAGTTTAAATTGATTATTGAAAAGAAAGCAGTTCTCAAACTTCTTACCGAACCAAATATAAAGAGGTCGATCCTTACCGAACCTATTGATCTCGTAAGGTAAAGATATATTTTTTAAACATGTACCCCAGCAGAGGGGTGCATTAATGTGCTGATGACGGTGGATATTTAATGTTTCCATGCATTACTTTTGATGGATGCCCAATATCGACCTCCCTCATTATCGACTAAAATGATTTGATAAGAAAATATTACGTATTCTAAATAAACAATATTGTATATCGTATAAAAGCCTTGAACCAATAGTTATTGTGAGTTTGGTTAAATCTATGAAATAGTTTGAGAAACAAGTCGATAAAGTACTCCATTTGGGTAGTGACATCGCGTGCCAAAGATATATTTCTACCGCACACGATTCTTTATTGACAAACAATAGAATTTACTCGGAATTTTTACACCTAGTTACATAAACCCCTTTGGGAAAGGTACAAACCTCACTGTGATTTCGAAAGGCTGCTCCGTTGCTAAAGCTCTGCAGATGCGAGGCACCAAACCGGGATCTGCTTCCGAACCCATCATGGTGTAAGTTTTTCCGGTAGCACTTTGCCCATAGGTCAAAACGCACGCGGAAAAACCACGGGACACGCATTCAACTACATCTCTACCGATGGCATCGAATACCTGTAAAAACTCCTTACGCGTTAATTTTCTAAGACCAAGGAAATTACTCGTATATACCGAGCGTTACTGTTAGGTTGTATAACTTCATTGGCTAGGAACAGTATCTAATTCTTACACGAGGTGATAAGTCAGTGTCACGGTGAACTAAAACCGAGGTTTGAGTCTTCCGAAGCATCTTCTAGTTCTACCGTGTTATCCCTCAGATTTGAGAATATCTAAGGCTCGTATTACAGAATCTATATAATATAAAACACAAAGGTGACTGACTGACTGACATAGTGATCTATCAACGCACAGCCCAAACCACTGGACGGATCGGGCTGAAATTTGGCATGCAGGTAGATGTTATGACGTAGGTATCCGCTAAGAAAGGATTTTGATCAATTCTACCCCCAAGGGGATAAAATAGGGAATGAAAGTTTGTATGAAACTTTGTCAATTTTAAACCGATCGGGCTGAGACATGCATGCAGGTATAAGAAGAATCATAGATTTTTTTTTATGGATAGATCCGACAAATGACTCCACCCCACCTGATGTTAAGTGAAGGTGAAGTCCAGACGCGAAGATAGCTGATACAGCAGTTCTAACTGCCACACCAGCCATCCTCACCCTGCCGGCCTGCAAGTTGCTTCTTCACGCCTCTTTTGACGGATCCCAGGTTGTAAGAGGGAGGGAACACGTGAGCGGGCAGAGAATTCCATTTACGGATAGTACGACAAAGAAATGAGTCACCAAATTTCTTTGTACGCGTTGGAATTGTAGCCACAGTTAGACGGTGACAACGTAAGCCAGCGCGCGTGGTCCTCTGAAGGAAAGGGGAAGGTGGAATAAGAGAGAATAACTCCTCAGAACACTCGCTGTGGTACAGACGATAGAACGTCATTGTCAGAAGAATGTCATTGTGTATAATACAAGTCCAGTGTTGCCAACTCTACGTCTTTTTACGTAGATCTACGTATTTTAGGCCTTTCCTGCAAACCTACTAACTTTAGTCTCAGAATCTACGTATTTTCTTGATTTTTTTCAAATTTGTAAAATAACTTAATTCACTAGAATAAAGAAGAATATTTTCCGTTACTTTTCTTAAAAACTATAAAAATGTTTATTTCTTATAAAGATGTATCTAAAAACTCTTGTATCTTGTAGAAAAGGTTCCCGTCATCGGTTTTATTGACTAAATTAATGCTGGACGCAGGATTTGTGAAAGGAGAAACGACAAAACTCTTTGACTTAGTAGGTACATTCGTAACCTTAAAAATTGAATTTTTAAACTTTAAATATTGTTCAATGAGTACTTACATCGAATTGATGTTTGCAAAAAGAAATGACTTTCAGTCGATAAAGTTACAGGAATTAGTAAGTTTTTAACATGTGTTCATGTATAAATGTATGTATTATTTATTTCTCTTGGCAATTTTAACCACAACTTTCTAGAGTCTTTTACCAAGTGTATTATGATAACTAACTCTATTTTTCATGTGATCTATTAGAAATCATGGTTTTATAATACCACATGGTCATGGTCTACCGCAGCATGGTAAATGCTTCCAATGCAGCGATTTCTCCAAGAACTCTTTGTTACATCTCCCGTTTTTAGAGAAATTGTATAACAAAATACTCGTTTCATTCGGACTTCTTTATTTCACTCAGAAAAAAGTACGTAGATCTACGTACTTTTCATATGCAAAAATTACTAAATCTACGTAATTTTCTCATCAGGCCTACGCCTTTTTCAAAATACGAGTTGGCAACACTGTACAAGCCTGAGAACAAAAACTGTAGTCTACACTTCAGCTCTACACCGAAGCGAAGCGAGGGCGGGCCGCTAGTGACAAATAAGTGTTGATCTTTACTGGAGTACAGTTAGAAACGGATGTCGTTATGTGCTATATATAGCGACATCTCTTACTAACTATGCTCAAGACTAGTTCAATCACTGAGAATCTTTCTATAATACGGGCCTAAGTGCCTATTCCGACGACCTCCGCGGCCGAGTGGTTTTTATGCCGGGTTTCATGGTGTCACCGACTCGAGAGGTCCCGGGTTCGAATCCCGGTGGGGGCAGATGTTTGTAGCACGAACCATTATGGAATTCGAATAGTTTGCGAGTCCGAAATGACATTGTCAAATTTTGTATGAAAACTGATGTATGAAACAACGGACGTAACGAGAACTAAAAATCAGTACACATTTGACAATGACATTTCGTACTCGCAAACGTTACGAATTCGATATTGGTTCGTGCTAAGGTCCTGTGCGTGATCGACGCGTCTCATCTGAACACGCCCTAAAAGTTCGTAACTCACTTTACTAATTTATTCAATCAGTCATTATTTCCATCAGTTAGTAATAAATCTTCATCTGAGTCAAATTAACAAATTTAGTAAACGAAGATACACACTAGGTACACATATTTTATTTCTTATGTTTTCACACACACCACTCATTAAATAAAACTACCTGCCTACTTCCTGAAAAGGATGCGAAACGTAGAGATATGTATACAAGTATTAAAAACTACTAACGAGTTAAAATGAACTCGTTGAAAAGTAGTTTTATTTAATAAGTACACTTTAGCACACCTTTTCTTGAGAAGCGTAAGCGGGGTGCGTAGTTAAACAGGCGCTATCGAAGGCATAGTCGGCGGAGTACCGGCGCACACGCGCCCTGCTATCGCCCGCACCAGATACACTCACCTGAAAACATATGACGATGTTCTGATAATTTTTGCATTCAGAAAGCTTAATAATGATTTATAGCACTGAAACACGAGATGATTCCAGGCGGATCGCTATCGCTTTTTCAGCGGTGTATCATATCTCGCAACCCAAAATCCAACATTTATTTCATTAATTTAGCATAAATCTTCTCATCTGTTTATACTATGTCAAAAGGAATTCCTGAATCCTTACGGTCACTCGCGCGATAATTTGAAAACGTTTTACTGATTTCAAGCATTTTCTTTAAAGTTTGCTTCTATTTTATCGTCTCTTTGTAAAAAGTCCATACGGAAAAAAAGAAAGAGAAAGTTAGAAAGAGTAAAGTAGAAAGTAGCGCATAAGATTAGAAAAATAAAGCGAGGTAGGTGAGGCCTACCCGAGAGGTGACGCTACGGTCGAGTTCTAAAGCGAAATTTTTATTATTTTATTTAAAAAAATCACATCTTATCAACGTGCATCGGTGGTTAAAATTGGTAAAAAGCTCGCTTACTACACGGGCAACTTGGATTCGATTCCCAACCGAAGGACTTTTTTTAATATACCATTTTTAATAAGCTGGAAAAAAATTTAGACGATATAAAACAATTTAAAGTTTCCCTTCATCATGGTTTTTGGACTTCATTAGATTTCATTCAACGGACTGGACAATGTCTTTCGGGTCCGGTAGTGCTCCATTTAAGTAACTTAGCGATGTTCAGGTACTTAATTTTTGACAGCTGCGTATCGTCATCGTCAAATTTTGTATGGAAAAAGCTAGTTTGTTCTTACGTCCGATCGGGGCGCTGATTAGACTATAGAAAATGACAATGCGATACGTTATAAAGCTGGCAAAGCTGTTTGCGCTTCAGAATGAAAGACCCCCAAAATAAAATATTAATTTTTACTTTGAAGTGAGAAGATAATTTTAAGAATTTAAAAAGACATTCCGATAAGATGCAATCCAGCTTAATGGCCTTAAGAAGATTAGACTTTTTCTACTAATACCTTGGTATGTGCAGTTTTGCAGATACCTAGAAACAAAAAAAAATGTGGATTTCATCCTACGATTCGATGATAATATAATAATAATTGTGTATTTAACTTAAAAAAAAGCTTGTCATGATATTACCATCTTTACTTTAACCCTACTTAAATAGGAAAAAAACGAGCTCAAATGCTCTCTTACTTTTACATTTGTGATTGTGACCGTATTATCATCGACGACGTCCACCACCCTTGTCCGCTCTTTGTCGGACCGAAGCTCCCTGCAAATAATATGTATCTCACTTTAGCTGATTGTATTTTCAATACTATAATGTGCCTCTCAAAGTCGCTCAGCGCGCTATGGAAAGGGCTATGCTCGGCGTTTTGTTTCAGAACCAGAGTAATCGACATAGCCCACCGGATTAGCAAGCAGCAGACCAGAGTAATCGACATAGCCCACCGGATTAGCAAGTTGAAGTGGCAGTGAGCTGGCCATATTTGCCGAAGAACCGATAACCGTTGGGGTAGACGAGTTCCGGAGTGGAGACCGCGTCTAGGCAAACGTAGTGTAGCACGTCCTCAGGCACGATGAAGTGACGATTTGCGCAAGGTGGCTGGCAGGAGCTGGATGCGAGTAGCGTGCATTTGGAGAGGCCTATGTCCAGCAGTGGATATAAGATAGGCTGTTGATGATGATCTGCTTTTCCACAAACATCGTGACCACAAAATAGAGAGTCTATTATGTGCAGTGACTCTGTCTGACAAATACACATACTACACACACATGGTCGTCATAAAATACAAAGCATCAAAGGTGCTTTAGTTTGATACTTAACATTCACATCATTTATACCTTAACAATGCTATATTTGGTACTGCTGGAGTCAATTTGGATGTCCGTAAGCCCACATCGATATTGTCGAAAATGCTTTCCGAAACTTTTCCAATGAGGATTGGGAATAAAAGAATAAGTACTAAAGGTGTGCTCCAGAGGTTGGCACATGGCTGAATGTGTTTTTTAATAAATAAAATCCACTAAGTCAGAATCACATGATGTGATCCTGGAGAAATCGAGGTAACTCCAAAAATAAATAGGCACATACATAATATAGGCAGCGGCTTTTTTGCCTCGCTAGTCGCTATACAAGATAATAAGTTTCAAGATTAAAAAAAAGTTAAATTTTCGTAATTTAATTTTATGCGAGCTCAATGTTAATATTGTTCTAGAGTCCTTTGTGAGCGATTCTGCGTGCGATACTCGAAACTAGAGTCGGCAAATTCCCTCTTTCCCGTTATGATTAATTATTCCTATACCCACCCCATTACTATACGACCCATGTCGTGGGATGGAATATTTTACATACTGGGCTAGGAGTGAAAAAAAATAGAATGTGCTAACTGCATTAATATAGTATGAGAGCGATTTCGTGCAGGTAGAAAAAGACTATCAGTACACAAGGTAACTTGGGAAATCGTCGAACTCAATTCCCTGTAACTTGTCACTATTGATTCCAGTCAACATCTTACGCTTACTTACAGTTAAATAAATGATATAGCTAATAATATTTAATGTTATGCTCTACCAAACCCTCGGAGGATAAGACGTAATAAAATTCTGTCTGAAATCATAATAATAATTATACATTCTTTTCATACCTCTCTGTGAAAGGCCGCACTCTAATGCCTAACTTAACTTTCGACATTTTCAAGAAATCAAAGAGGTATTGAATTGAAGCAATAGGTAATCAACACTTTTTCACTTAGGTTTTCATTTCTATTACGTGTTTATAATATCTTTAGGTCAAGAAACTTTATGATTTTAATCCCGGTTTTAGATAACAAGTTAAGCACCCTTGTCAGATGCAGCTTTCGCGGTGTAAACGGAGCAGGCAACTAGTTATTTTGGTCAACACACTTCCTGCTATTTAGGAAAGTTTAGTAAAAGTATAAATAGAGAGATACCAACTCCAAACATAAGCCGAAACGGTGTGTTATCCCGTAAATGTGAAACACCTTCTGTTTTGCTGCAGTTCGAGGAAAAAAGTATTTATTTTTTATTTTTCTTTTGGGCTAGCTGATTCTGTAGTCAAGTATAGCCTACTTAGGTACCTACATAAAGAAATGAAAAATATGTAATGAACTTATTGGTGGCAAAATACAAGTTTTGCAAAGATAAGTGACCGCATCCTAAGTCCTGTGCACTTATGAGTTTCATGCAAACAAAAATATTTTCAAAATAAGGGTGTATAGTTAATTAGAATCTGCCTTGTTAAAGTTAAGCGATTCCGCACAGGGGACACTTAATACCCAAATTGTTCACTTTTCTTCCACCATTTTACTATGGATCTAAAAGTTTAAGATCAATCTCAGCGGACAATGCGGAATTACCTGCTATGAGTCTCAGTAGGTATTAGGAAATCCGTAAGAGAACCAATTTAACTAAAGAATTTATGTGAAAGTAACCGATATCGTACAAAGGATTGCTTGGTTGAATGAAGTGGCAGTTGGCAGTGGGCGGGAAGGTCGCATCGGTCAGACGAGCAAAACCCTACCCTAAGTCACTTAAGAGCAGAAGAGTGTGGAAGAGCTGAGAGACATTTGAGAAATACATAAGTACATATTTGACAAAACAATTGCTGTCGCGCATTGGCAAATACCGCGCGAGATATGGACAACAGTAGCTAACGCTGAAAATAGTGTAGAAAAATTGGAGGTTTGGCTCTCGACAATTTCCTCCTCGAAACGAAACAGAATAATAAGTAGTTGTACTAGGCCTCTATCTTTTGCTTTTTTGTGAATGCTTATTGAATCTCCACACTAGATGTCTTGATAAAATGTTGTTTATTTTGGCATTTTTGAGGGCTTCTAGTTTCTTTGAAACACAAGTTATCGAAAAAAGGAAGATATAGGAGTATAGGATGAGTAAAGTTATATTTTATGTGTGAAAATCATTTCTTTAGTTGTAAAAATCAAGGAGGAATCAGTCGAGAATGTTTGTATGGAAAAAACATTGCCCGCATCCCCTCTTAAGTTCCTGCATGCACTGCTACAAAAAAAACTTGGGGTGGAATTACCGCAAGAAATTATGAAGTGTGATAGCTTGGAAAGAAAAAGAAATAATTTCTTGCGGTAAATAAAATACGAGATATCTTCATACAAAATTGTTTCGATTTTTCTACCGAATGGCACTTAGGGTAAGTACTTAGGCTCTTTTTCTGATAAACGGGATACTTTCACCTTTCTGGCTCTGTATGTCTTGCATGTATTCTGTGTCATTGCTGTCCATGTTGCGCATAATAATATGCTTATTAGAAGAAGAAGAATTATATAGTGGTGATATCAGCCGCGCCTGGCCCATGACTGGCTGACCTCAGTCAACTGCAACAAAGGTCGCAACCAACCAAACGATGCCACACCGGTACATACATTCGCACAAGCTCTTCTTCGACGTACACCAACAATAACGCCAAAAAATAAAAGGAAATTTCTAGCTATCCCCCCTAACAGCGATAAATTTATAGTTTGTTGACATTTTAGTGGTGTTTTTATGAACTACGTACGATGGAACTTGGAAATGACTTGGAAATGACATCTATAATACTAGTTTAGAAACAAGGAACCGAACTATGTAGTTTTGGTAATCCTAGCAAAAATCGATATGCGTCGTTATGATAAAGATTGTATAACAAAATTTAAAAGTAATGTATAAACTAAACTGTGTCTGGTGCAATAATGTTTATTTTATTCCAGATACCTATTTTTTATTAGTGTAGTGAGTGACCCCCTCCAAAATTTCAGCCTGCTACCGCGCCTGATCTGAAAGGGGGCCCAATCGATCGCGGGGCCCTGGGCATTTGCCCAAAGTACCCACTGGGAAAGAGGGGTCTGACGCCGATGAAACCAAAATTAAATTGTAACCGAAACTTTGTCTAATTTGAAGCGATAAAAAAAGTGATCCAAAGGAAACCGCAGCCACGTAAAACCGCGGTGGGGTTGTAAGAATGGGGTGTGGAGGTAGGAGGTAGGGGTGAGGTACGGAACACGGAATTGAGGTATGGGGCTGCGTTCCAAACCTACGTTCCGGGTGCAACATATGTCAAATTTGACATAAGTTCCATACATTTATGCAACGATAATAAATACCCAAGATACAACATAACAAACAAAATCGTGGCCGAAACCTGTCCAAAAGGTACATTGGACGATCCATGGAGCTCTGTAAGATGATCGCGTAGTCAAAAATGCATAATAAATGCATACTATAAAAGGTCTTAAGAGCCCTTTTACAAAATTGCGCCTCTCTTGTTTAGGTAAATACGGCCGCGAGCGTGTCCGAGTCGCACGAGCGAGACATCGACGCGGCGATGTTCAGTATAGCGCGCTTTACCAAATTGATACTTTAATATGCAATTATTGATTATACAATAAATGCCATTATAAAATAAAGTTAATTTGAAGTGCTAAGATGGATCCCTACTGTAGCAACGAACGATTCTAGATAGGAATCCTGAGTGGAGCAAAGGATACAAGGATTAAGTTTTTTTACTATTGTGAGAAAATAAATAATATATTTATAGTACCCATTGGTTGTGTTTTGGAAATGACAATAAAGATTAATTATGATTATTACTAATTATTGTAACTTTATATGCATGCTTTGCATAACTTCTGTTTGTTCAAATTTTTTTTTATTCACTCAGTAATTAAATGAAAAGTTTGTTCACTGTTATCGCTGAATGAAATCCCTTTTTCGAGTGGCAATGAGAAATAATATTTTATTTACTTGTGTTTTTAGTGTTGACTTTTTTAATGATGATTGATGTTTGGTAATAATCAAATATCTCAGTAAAACTGTACTAAGTGTAGTTTTGTCTTTGCCTTCATAGTTCATTTAATAAGCAGATATAGGCAATACTGGAAATACATTTCCAATCCAGACACAGATATGGTACGTAAATCAGCAAGTTACTGTCAATTGAACTTGTGGAGCAAAGAAGTCTAATATAATAAATATAAAATATTAAAAATAAACTTTTTTTGCTCTAGAAATGCATCCCATTAGTTTGAGTTTAAAACAAAAAACCAAACTGCTAACATTGTAAACTATGTACCTAGTGTAGTAGTGAAATACCCATTAAGTCAGTATAAAACAGATAAAATATTTACATTTTTGAGTTTGAGTTTGACGCTTCCCTTTGTTCCTCGGCTTCGATTTCCAATCCAACAGCATTTTTTGCTATATAAATTAATTTATTATTATAAATTTAAATAATTATAAATTTATTGTTATAAATTCAATTTCTTTTTTCATTGTCTACTTCCAATAACAATATGAAAAACTTACAGTTTTTCATTGAACTTATGGTCGGTATAGTTTCAGTATTTTTGGGGTTGCCATTAAAATTTTGTTTCCACATAAAATAAATAGAACTGTGAATTTCTATTCTAAATATATTATTATGTTGGGCCAATATGTACTTTGGCAGCCCACGAGCTTTTACTTGTTATACTTGATCGAAATGCAACATTTTACCGTATTCTAGCTTTTTTTTACAGACATAAGTGTAGATTGTAAGAAGCTTAAGTTTAAATCGGGGAATGTAGGGTAGTCACAACTGGCCACTTTATTGGAAAACGCATTTATAGCTATATCTCCTAAATTATTGACTGTACGGAAAAAATGTAGTGTTTTTTGTTTATTACTAAATTCTCTAACTTCTTTCTCTGAAACTTTTTATTGTTACTCTTACCGTTTTTCAATTGTTGCTGTTTATTTGAACATGGTTGTATTTTTTCCTTTATAAAACCTTAAAAATATCATTAATTGATAAAAAACGTCGTATACAAGTTATTCATGATTGAATTCGTTTTGTATATTTTTTTTTATTAAATAATTACTTTTGAAGTTAATAGTCGTTAATGTGCGCAAAAACGGGCATTGAAATGAAATTACAGAAATATCCGAAAAATTCACTTACTTTCATACAAATTGAAGCTGATGATGATTTGTGTTGGATTGTTATCAATTAATTGTAAAAAAAATGTAATAAAAAAAATAGTGAAAAAAAATATAAATATTATAAATAATATTAGTGATGAGAATCAATTGCACGTATACAAAACTCCGATATACTGCGTTATTGCTACGTTAACGACTCATAACTTTATAATGCGATTCAACTAAGAATAGGACTGACTGGGCGCCATATTTTGACGTCATAGCTGTCAATTCAAGCCAAATAGGTAGAGTGAACAAAAAAAAGTTTCTATTTAATCAAACTTATTTACTAAGATTGAGAGAAAACACAACCGATTTTTAATAATACTTTATTAAGACTGTGTGAGCAAAAACATAAATTAGAATCTAGCTCTTCAATTCCGCTCATCTCTGCATTACCACCGGAGTAGTTATGAATAATCATGCAGGTCACATACGAACATGCATCCTATATGTAAACGAAAGTATTAAATCGAGTTTCTGAACGGAACATAAAGTGACATTTAGTTGACCATTTATGTTATCAACCATTCATAGCCAAAGCTCAATAAATTAAAAAAAATATCAATCAATATTAACTATCAATATTTGTTATTGTTTGTTTAAAAATGTTTGATTTTATTCTAGAATTAGCTGAGTGCTAAAAAAGTATTCCGAGTTTTTTTTTGCAAACTGTACTTTTCAAGCGACATTTGTCAGATGGAGGTCATAGGCTTTACTATTCTTATTTGAATAGCATTATAAAAGTATTTATTTAGTAAAAAAAAGATTTATGCAAAAGTTGTAGGAAATTTAATGATGAATAACTTTCATAACATGTTTTTTTATCACTTAATGGCATTTTAAAGGCTTTAAAAATAAAGCGAAATGTTATAAGCATATTCACCTTGCTTCACAAGCTTTCTTTATGGCTGCATCATTCTTTCGTTTTCTTTTTTTGACACAATGGTAAGCAGAAATTTTACGCCCCATTGTAAAAGCTAATAACAAAAATATTAGTTGAAGCAACGATAATTAATAACTAGGGAGGTACTTATAATAATAAAAATTAATACGGTTGTGGAAACTTATATAGCCAACGATTAAAGTTTTGCGGTCGTAGTATATTAAGCCAGTTTTACGATGAATGCACTCGTAGCGTCGCTCGGGACGCGTGCGGTACAAAGCGACACAGATCCGACCTCCAAAGGCGCTGGCGCCGTACTGAACGGCGCCTAGAATCGCACTAGTACATATTGCATTTTACGGGTGATATTCAGAGTCTTATAAAATAATAACTAGTGAACTTATTATAAAAATATATACATATTTCAATAGTTCAATGATTGTTGATTAGTTTTATGAAAGTTTTTTATAGTAATTCTATTTAATTCAATATCAAAATGCGAGGTAAATCTGCGTTATTTTTTGGGGAAACTCACGGAGGTTAGATGTTTTTTTAATAATTAATGAGATGGAAAATCAAGATTCTAATACATTATGTTGCAACAAAAACATATTTTTAATACAGTTGCTCAAAAAGTGGCGTATTGCAGGGACGTGTAGCGTTCGGGATCTGGGCTATTTCACACTCGTGCTTTTTTTTTGCCTTTCCCGAACTCATGCGTTTTCTTTCCCAACTGTCAAAATTATTTCTATTAAAAAAAACAACCATGAAGTTTTAACTAAAAAAAATCATAGAAGTTTTTGCGATTCATGCAAATAGGTTTATTTGTTTTTAAAAAGAAGCTACCTATACTAATTTGTCCAATATCAGAATTAATTAATTGATTGAATGAGTTAGGTAAGGTTTCAGTTCATTTCATATCATTAAATTTCAATTTCATTTCTTATAATAAAAAATACTAAGTACTAAAGACCTGGCTGTATGGGCAGTTCCCTTTGCCTACCAGAATAGGTGAAAAAAAACTGCTTACATTCTACGGTTGGCGCCATTTTCCGAAATTTTCTTTGCGAGTTTAGTTGTTTTTTATACAAAATGAGTAATTTCGACCTAAATTTTTTTGAATTAACCCCACCGGAACTCAGTATAATTGCACAAAATGCTTCGGAGAACATTTTACCGGAAAAGTCAAAAATTCGCTACATATCTACATACGATGAATTTATTGCGTGGAAAGAAGAGAAAAAAGCAAATAGTTTTTCAGAAAATGTTATGTTGGCATACTTTTCCGAACTCTCAGCAAAATTAAAACCTTCTACGTTATGGTCAAGGTTTTCGATGATAAAAAGTATGCTGAAAATAAGGAACAAAGTGGATATAAGTCAATATCCAAAATTAAATTCTTTCTTAAAACGACAATCAGACGGGTTTACCCGTAAAAAGTCGAAAATATTAACATCGAATGACGTGGAAAGGTTTTTGAAAGAAGCTCCCGATGATTGTTATTTAGCCACAAAGGTAATTTATTAATAAGTATACATATCTACATTTTTCTTTAGTGTTCAGTTTACAAAATCGCAAAATACAGTCAATACATTATTTATATGAATCAAATCGTTTTTTTTTAGGTTGCTCTGATTTTTGGCGTTGTTGGAGCTTGCCGCAGAGAGGAGTTAGCCAATATTACTTTAAAAGATATTGAAGCCCATGGAGAAATGCTACTTATCAAGATTCCAAACACAAAAAATAAGATACCGCGAAGCTTTGTTGTTGAAGGAGATTTTCTCACAATAGTGAAAAAATATATGAACCAGCGGTCCCAAAAAGGAAAATCCGACCGTTTTTTTAAAAATTTCCAAAAAGGGAAGTGTACAGCTCAAGTAATCGGCATAAACAAATTTGGTAATATGCCAAAAGAAATAGCTACGTTTCTTGGTCTGCCGGATGCTGAGTGTTATACTGGGCACAGCTTCAGAAGGACCTCTGCTACATTATTGGCAGATTCAGGAGCCAATTTGACGTCCTTAAAGCGACTAGGTGGTTGGAAATCGGACAAAGTTGCAGAAAGCTATATTGGTGATTCATTAAACAACAAACTAGAAACTGGGAAAAAAATCACACAATCCATTAATTTAAGGTCCAGTCCGTCTCCTTCACATGCTGAAGAGAACGTTCGTCCATCTACGAGTACCTTCGTTGATAATGATAATTCTTCAGATCCAATTCCATCAACTAGCAAACGCCATTGTATGACAAATATACATGAACAATCATACGAAATTAATAATAGTTTGTCTCAAATAGTAAATATGCAACGTAAAACTTCCCCAGTTAGTATAAAAAACTGTACCAATTTCAATGTATATGTGAATTATAACTTTTATAAGAAATAAATGATTAGTTAATTGAGTTTATTGTGTTTTTATAATTTGATTAAATTGCTTCATTTTTTCGCAACGGTATTAAAAATAGTCATTCAGTACACGTACGGAACCGTCATTGCAACTCGTTCCGACTGTCAACCCTCGCCTTCGGCTCGGGTAGACATTTGTCGGAACTCTTTGCAATGACGACCATTCCGTACTAGTAATGAAATATACTATTCTGATGTAGTAGTAATTAATTTGATCTAATTTATTGAACATTATTGTGAGATTTAGGCGTTTTAAGGTGTGCATATTATCGTTTTGTCTGTAAACTAGCTGCGGTAGATCGATCATTACAAAAAAAAATAGTATTTGCAAATATTCTACATTAATTTTCAATAGGAAGAATAAATCTACTGTTTACTTCTATTGGAAGTAGTAAAAACCTCTTCTAAGGGGGCAAACAAGGCGCTCAAAAATTGCGATTTATTGCAAAAAATGTGAAAGGGCTCTTAAATAAAACGCATGCGTGAAAGAGACGACTCATAGTTATATGCGAAAGAATATAGACCATATTTCTTTGACTCTATGCGCAATTGTGAATGTGCTGTTAGCAACATTGCAGGTACAGACCGCCAGGAAAAGAGGCAGCTATGTTACCGAACATGCATTTGAATATCACAAATATTTTCTATTGAATCAGTTTATAATAAATAATTGGTTTCAAACGCGTTAAATTAACAAACAGTTATTAGATACCTGTCGAAAAAGGACAATTTCCATACTATACGTATTAGCCCTGCGGCATCTTGACTTTTTAACCGTCCACGCGTGAATGTGAACCTAAAAGTACTTGAGTCACCTTCAAGCACTTCTTGATTGTGACACATTTTGAGCGCACGTGGTGTATCTAGGGTATTTAATAACGTTGCATTTATGTCAAAATTGAAACGTCAGGGTAAAACGGAACGCAGCCAGTTTCAATGTCATTATATACCTGTCAATTAGAGATGAGCGTTTTTAGATATTTGTGAAATCGATGCGCATCGGTATCAAATAAATCGCATCCAATGCGCGCATCAATGCCGTAATCACAGGATACGATGCGATATGAATTACGACAGATGCGTGTTTTGTGTGGGTGTGTCTCTTCGATTCCATGAATCATGACTTAAAAATGTAATTGAAAACATTTATTTCCTTTTCGGTATGGTAACTGAAAATATATAATGCTGGCAAAATTATTACATAATATTTTTTTACTCAGAGCACTCAGAACATAGCTTTTGTATGCAGGCCAGTGCCACAAACTTTTCTATGCCAGTGGCAAAAATTTTAACTACTATTTATTATGACATATTTGTTCACCGCTAGCGACATCTCCCCAGGCACAGATAAGTTTGTGGCACTGTTGCTATAGTAACGTTGACAAAAAGTAGATGGCATCGGCATCCAATAACGGTATCCAGTCGCATCGGATGCGCGCATCCAAACTTGGCATCGTTATCGCGCATCGTTATTCTAAAAACGCCCACCCCTACTGTCAATGTCATTATTCAACCTGATGATTTTGCTATCTTATTCCGGTTTTGTTTGTTTGTAGAAAGAAAGTACTGATTTATTGTATGTATTTCAGTATTAATTATATCAGTATACCTATTTATTGTCTAAAAGTAAAGCTAAAGCGAATTTGAAAGGTGAGTGTATTTTACCAATTAAATGTCTACTGAATAACGAAGTGAAACAGTTTGTCTTTGGACACGTAGTTTACGATTTGTGTCCTAAAGTTTGCCATAATTACCAAGGATTATCGCACTTTCCTTTAGAATACAATTATGATGTCTATTTCCTATTATCACATTTGTTGTTTAAACAATGTTTAATTTTTTCCCATACATGTAATCATATACCTTTATCAATTTCTTATGCATTATATATTATTGAGTTTCTATAGAAGAACTTCTGCTTACTTTGAGTCATATAATTGTTCTCGATTGCCCATTGGTTCCCCAGAATTTAATTTAAAATATAGGTAGTAAATCTAATCTAAAAATGTTACTGAAATGAGAGTGAACAGTATTAAAACTGAATAAGATGTTGCATAGTCTAGAACAGTTTCCATTTTATATCTTAATTTGAAAGTTAAATTGGTTTGCTTATATGAATATTTTGTTAAGAAGTCAAAGGTGAAGTTAAAATAGATGTTATCTGTTGTATAATTTTCATAACAACAATATTTAAGACAGTCTTAACCATAATACATGCACTCTGTTTAAAGATGCTCATCAGGAATCTGTCGAGAACTCTGTGGAAGACATTACGTGTAGAGAAGAGATGTTTTGCCTCAGAACCAGTAAAACCACAGCCTGAAACCTTTGAAAATGTGGATCCCGACCAGGTAACAGTCTCATTGTTTTATTATTAATTTTATAAGTTCAATATACTTTAATAACTAACATTTGTGGTTGGCTATATTTCCTATAGTGATAGTAAATTACTAGTTTGTAAGAAGCTGTACCTTCTTGTATTATCATTAGGAAAGGTCATCAAATATTTCAATTATGACTTCTATTATTTGGCTTGAGTTATGTTTAAAGATATTTAAACTGAGGAAATTTTAATTTTGCTCTTGTTTACAGGCAGAATACCTAGATAAAGATATCTGCCTTCTGGTGGATGAGAAAGATAATTTCATTGGTACAGCAACCAAGAGAGATTGCCACAAAGTTGGACCCGACGGCAACATATTACTTCACCGAGCTTTCAGTGTGTTTTTGTTCAACAAAAGAGGGGATATCCTTTTACAGAGAAGATCCAGTCAAAAAGTAATAATACCTTTATTATTTTTTTATATAAACAAGGAAGCATTCAATCTTATATTTTGTAAACTGTAATTTTGGAAGTATCAATTTCTACAGCATACTTTTTAATTGTTATTTTATGTACAGTGATACAATAGAAGCGAGGAGCTAGATAGCACATGTGGTTAGTGCGTTTGGCTTGCAATTGTGAAAGTTAAGCAGATTTCGCAATGGCCAGTCATTGGATGAATGTCCAAAATCTTACTGTCCTGAGTTCCTCTGATATTTGAAAGGCATTTTAAACTGTTGATCCCAGCCCTCGGGGCCAGAGTGGCGGGTCATAGCTTAATATTCCTAGTCCATCTACCCATGGGAGTAGTCCTAATTGGCACAATCCCACAATGACATGATGCATTCTTGCTGTGTAATAGTTTTCAAAGATAAAGCTTTCTTCAGAAGTGTCCTAATACTAATCCTAGTGCTTCTAAGCTATTGTATGAGCGCAAATGATCTTGATTGCATGAGGAGATCGCATCATGCCATCGTATGATTTTTGTTAATTAAGATGACACCTTATAGGTTGATGACAATAATGCTATAGAAGTAAACTGTATGTATACACAATGCTTTCTTATGAAAATTCACATTACCATTGGAACAAAATTATGATTCATAACAATGTTTAAATTTAGAATATACAGAAGGCCATAACAGTCTTACAATACATATTTACTACTTTTGAACTCGATAGCAGTGTCTCCTTTTCCTTTCTTCAGCAATAGTGGGTGGCTCTGACTTTATGACGACCACCGTTTGAGATATTCGATATCAGATATTCTTTCAAGTTTACTGCATCATTATGTATTTATTATTTAATATCTTTTTAAATGTTTCAGGTTACATATCCTGATTATTACACCAATGCATGTTGTAGCCATCCATTATACATAGATGACAAACCTGAAGATATCATTACGGCTGCGAGACGTCGGTTGAATTATGAATTTGGCATACCATTGGATAAGGTACATACAACATTAGATCCTAAGGAATATCAAAAAATCTTTCATATATACCTATACTCCCTATACTATACTGTAAGTGGTTAACATTAATGTTTAAATTCCTTTTAATGCTTTTAAGTGAGCAATTCTTGAATATTTTGAGTTTATCAGAAATTGTTCTTACAATTTGGATATGTATGGAACAATAGACTGGTCACAAATGTGTTCTATCAGCAGCCGCACTGTATAAACACGACTTCTACTCAAGTGACATTAAAAAAGGGAGACAGTTCTAAAGTGGTAGTCTGTTTCCTTTAACATGATGGTTTCATTTAACTTTTATTTTTTTATGTATCCCAGATAAATTTTAAATTGTGTTTAAATATTAAATAATTTCGTTGTTAAATAGTTTATTTTTTGCAAAATTGCGGTCTCTTTTTATGTAATGAAAGGTAACAGAATAATTTCACTGCTTTAGTTACACATTGAATAGATTATATTTAATGGCTTGGCAAAAAAAAATAGATAAATAGACTAATCAATAATTATATAATTATAATCATTGTTTGAAAAAAAAACGGGATAAAATGAATTCTTGTTTTTTGGAAACAATTTACAATTAAGTTGCACATCTCATAAAATTTTGGGAGTGCCGAAAAGTCACTACCACCCTCCATATAAATTTGATACGTCTCTGTTTATGTAAAATATTGTTTTACTCTAGTGTTATAGCAAAAAAGTGACAGCAATAACTTTAATCAATCCCCGTCATTTCTCTAACCCAAAGGGGCCTTGTAGCTGGGCGTATAGAAGATCTGCTTTCCTTCCTAAATATTGAAAAAAACACCAAAGTTAATTGAGCTCTCGGAATACAAGGGTAAATAAAGAATATGATTATAAAGAAGCAATAAAGATTATAATTATGATTATTAATAATATTTTAATTAATACATAGATGGATCCTGATCAATTCACCGTGATGGCCCGGGTGCATTACCACGACCCAGGCGACGGCGTGTGGGGCGAGCACGAGATCGACCACATCCTATTCTTCCAGGCCGACGTCAAAGTGAAGCCCAACTCCAACGAGATCTCCGAGTACTGCTACGTGCCAAAGAATGAGTTTAACGCGTGAGTAGTTACCTAGTACTATTCTGTACGATCTTTTATGGCCGGAGTGCATTACAACGGCCCTGGGGACGGCTTATGGGGCAAGCACGATATCGACCACATCCTGTTCTTCCAGGCCGACGTCAAACTGAAGCCCAACTCCAACGAGACCTCCGAGTATTGCTACGTGCCAAAGAATGAGTTAAACGCGTGAGTAGTTACCTAGTATCATTGTGTACGATCTTCTATGGCCCGGGTGCATTACCGTGACCCCAGGGACGGCGGCGTGTGGGGCGAGCACAAGATCGACCACATCCTGTTCTTCCAGGCCGACGTCAAACTGAAGCCAAACTCCAACGAGATCTCCGAGTACTGCTACGTGCCAAAGAATGAGTTTAACGCGTGAGTCAATACTCACGCGTTAAACGTTGTACGATCTTCTGAGATAGACACCATTTTACACAAATGGAAGAAAATGTTGTTTCCTAAATTTGGTGTCGTATTTGTAATCTAACATCATTTTAACCAAAGCAAATATTTGATTCCTAACCGCCTGATTACAAAATGTAGACTAAAGTTAAACCTGGACTAAAATTCATTAAAATAAATTATTAATTCTGCATAAAACAACCATTATTCACATAAAACTTTCATTGCTTAAATAATTCTTTTATTTCTATAGAAATTGCACAGATAACATTTAAAATTAACGCTTTTCGTTTTCTAATTAATAAAACAATTGTGGCAGGTTTCTACCAACTTTAGAGGGCCCCCTAACTCCCTGGTTCAACATGATCCGCCGGCATCGCCTCAAACTGTGGTGGGACAACTTGCACAAACTCAAGGAACTCGCGGAACCAAATAAAATAACCAAGTTCCATACTGATAAATAATATTGTATCATATTATGTTTTATTGCTTAGCATTTTTTGTATTTAAAAATAAATCTGTATATTTTATAGTAATAAAGGACTTCGTATGACCTCTGTTGAAACATTGCTATTTTAATAATGTTCGAGTTTCTCAAAGTGTTACCAAGAAGTGTCGTAAGATACAAATTATTCTTATTAGGTAGTTGTTGGTTTTGTGTTTATTTGTAAAGATTGGTCTATTGATTTTTAAAATATTTTTAAGACTACGGTTTCTCTCGCTGCACAGACTTTTAGAAATAGAATTGTGCTAAGAGCCCTATAATTTTGGAACCTACGGAAGATAAGTAAAAGAGTGATTGTTTAACATCGGTGTATGAAAAGTGCTTGAATTTATTATAATGGTATAGGAAATGAAAAGAGAAGAAAATTTACAAAGACAAACACAAGCCCCTTTATTAATAAAGTGTTACTGATTACACAGTGTTTTGTTCAAATGAAAGTTATTCAAAGAACAGTGACAAGAATTTAATTAAAAATTTAATAAACCAGATAACAAAAAAAACTTAGTTTTAAAAACATCGACCCAAACAACTTGACTAAGTTGGAATACCTCTAGAGAAGTAGATATTTTATTATTAATTGCTAATAGCGATCCCCTCTTTTTGCGACGTTGTTTAAAAACACTCCTGAAGTGGCCTAGTGGTTTGTACACCAGGTTTCAAGGTGTCGCCTTCTCGAGAAATCCCCCCCCCCGGGTTCTAACCCGGGGGGGCAGATGATTTTCTTTTGAATACGAGCATTTGTTCTGCAGTCATGGATATTAAATATGTTTTTCTTTATAATAGTTATATATTTATTCTATCTGTTACCCTAGTATCCCATAACACAAGCCGCCAGTGCTTACTTTGGGTATAAAATATTTAATTTAATGGAAATATTTATTTTTTTCAATAAAGGGGGAAAGAATTTAAGAATGTGAACATGTATGTACGATGTTGATTGGTTATTAAGTACCTATTCAATCTTAGCTATCAAAATAATCAATAAATATCAAAATAAATCTTTAGAAAAAAACTTATTAATATTAGTCGAAAAATAATATTACATGATTATTACATTAAATGAATGTATCATAGCTGTTAATAGGCAATTTTGTTTGTAAATTAGCTACAATATATTATATTGAAAAGAATTGGTGCTCTCAAAAATTTTAAATGAATAAATACTGTTGAAATACGCTCATTTGGCCTTATAATTTAATTAGTACCAGTAGTTTAAAAGCCTTATCACAAAACAACTGCAATTTACGTACCAATAATAAACAAACAACACTAAGCTTCGTCACGTATAGCTTCATTCATGAATGGGCTTCAACAACTCATCGGAACTGTTGGCGTCGGACGCTGAAGTCGACCGCACCGGCTTGTAAGCGGCAGTCACCCATTGCAGCGTCCTAGCCTGTTTGTGCTTCCTCTTCCTAAACACTTTCTTCTTCAGAGTGTTCTTAAACTGCGCTTCCGTATCGGTGAGTGAACGAAGTAGGTAAGCTTTACATGGAACTGGGTTTCCGGCGTGCAAACCGTTCCTGTAAGCAGTGTGCAAATACCGAACCGCCATCACTTGTAATATCTGAAGAATATACACACCAAACATTATTAAAATGAAGCTAATTGTTCTGCTGGACGAGCAGAGCCGGATTTAAGGCAGGACATGCAAGAGCTTTATTTTTGAATCACTCGCCTTGCGTCGATCGCTCGATTTATACTAATTTTCACGCGACATATTAATCTTTATATATATAATTCTTCTGTGAGTGTGTATGTCACTGAACTTCTCCTAAACGACTGGACCGATTTTGATGAAATTTTTTGTGTGTGTTCAAGGGGATCTGAGAATAGTTTAGATTCACAATTTTGTCCGCTGGACAACCCCTATTTTTTTAGGGCGGTACGAAGTTCGCTAGGTCAGCTAGTATTATATAATATTTTTGAATCGCTCGACGTCAACGAGCTGTCTCCATCACTCGTTGGCGAATGGTAGAATAATTGTCAAATTTATGTCAGATATTTTCAAGATTTTTTCTTAATCTGTTTAAAATACAGATAAAATGACGATTTATTGCGACGTTTTGATCTTTTCTAACAAAATTAAAAGTGTTAAAATTAAATATTTTGTGTTAAACTGGTAACACTGTAAATAAACTATTCAAAAATACGGAAAGTCAGTATCATGCGGCTTGGAAGTCGAAAGTGACTTAATTCGTATTCGACGATAGGATAGGATAGTCAGGCGACTGATTAAAAAATAGAGCTGCAGAGCTGTGGCCCAGGCCCAACACAACAGAGATCAAATTTTGACCAGTTACCAAACCGGGGAGGGGTCGAGCCCAGATTAAGGGGTTAAGGTTACCTCTAAATCCGGCCCTGTGGGCAAGTGAGTGTTTATTGGGGAATTGGCAATACGTCTTATTCTTTAGTACCTAATAGTGATGTTCTTTATCTACCTTTTAACTTTGTACGTTAATATAGGCCTTAAAAACAATAAGTTTTAAAAATGTAATCTTTATATTCTTCTATTTTAACGTAAACTGCGTCAAAGGCGAAATCTTAATTCTATAACTTAATCAAAAACATTAATTACGTATAAAATAGTTCGGAAATCAAGTATAAGTATTATACTATTAATTTATCCCGAACGTAAAAAAAGGTAATAATTTGACCTTCAGATGATTACATAGCATACACAAAGTTGACGTCACACAATAGACGTAATCGAACCCAGACTTTTGGCGGTAAATTCAAAATCATTAAATAAATCAACTTTAATTGGTCTAACGGAGAAAAAAAGACATTAATTAATTTATTTTTATTTTTCTGTTAAATCGTTTGTCCCGATCTTTAAATATAAGCAGTTTTCAAAAATTTGGATAATATCCTATTGTATAGATAGCTGTGCACTATAGATCTACTGATTACCGTCTGATTACGTAGTAAGCAGGGCTTAGTAGAATGAGATGTGTGACACCGAAGCTCGGTTCAGTCGCGCTGACAAGCTCTTTGTACCTGTGTTGTCTTTCCTCCGCAAATTATTTATGTAGCTACGACGTAAAATATTGTGTAGTGGTTGGTGTTAAAAGTTCCCGCTGGGGTGAGTTTTCATTATTGTCTAGGCTAAATAACAGTGTAATGGTGTTCTCTTTTCTAAAAGTTTAACGTAAGCATTGTGTAACGCCAGTCTGCCCTACTCCTATATATATTTTGAACCTTTGGCCGTTGAATTATTAAGGTGCTGCCCTTTAGGTTCTAGGTGCTAAGACTACTCTTAACGAATGACTCCTGTTTCCCAGAGGCTGTCTGAGAATCTTCAGCCGGGAAACAACGGCATCATTTGAAAGATAGCAGAAATTCTTCGGCTGTATCCACCGACGTTATTACTGACGCCTAAAGCTGGGGAAGGAGCTTCTACTTATCTGTGGAACGGATCCCACAAGACCTGTCAACTTTCTATTACCTTCCTACCTGCCAAGACGCGACGGCAACATAATTGTAATGTGGCGCAGTAAAGGGATTTATTTTCGAGTAAGTAAATCTTTTATTTCTGAAACCACTAAGTACCTGCGACCCCTTCAATTCCCCTTCAATAAAACTTTGTGATTCAAGTATTACCATAGCTATTATGATCAAAGCCATCACAGCATTGAATCGCCATGATACTGTCATCATTTCGTTGATCAACTTTTCTTCGCACCCATCTTTCCATATGGTAAGTTGTTGCTGTCGACAACAAAATGTATTTTGGCCGAAACAGACTTATGAAACGTGACGCCACGCCACGCGTGTTGAGACAAATCAAATGTTAAATTTTCTATGAACAAAACCACATTAGGAACATCCGACGCGACGCGATGCGCCCACTCTGATCATAGAAAATACGCGTGGCGTGGCGGCATAACATCATAAGTTGTTATATTATTTTATTAATAGTCAATGGTAGATAGTTATCAAAATCGGTATTTTTTTTCCAACCTACTTTGAGATTTATAGTGGCTTGTATAAGATTCATAATTGATTGAAATATGTGCCATATGAAGGACAATATCAACAAAGCATATTATAGCTGATGGTTAATCAATTAATGAATTATCTAACTTTTTGGAATGCTAATTTCTAAGGCTAGATACATTGTTTACTTACAGCAGGGTTATACTTATAGATAGCCCCCATTTTCGTGATGCCGTGGTGTATACAGGGCCACATCGCGTCCATAGAACAACAACTGTACGGAACATTATCCGCTACGTATTTCCGATTTTCTCTGCAAGTGAATTAATTTACATTTTACGCGTATTTCATAAAGACATAATACTTACTTCAAAAACCCTAGAGAACCTTAAACGTGGAAAACAATCCTATATAGAAAATGAAAACTAAAACGCAGGATTTGAAAGTCCGAAATCCACCCATGGATCGTCATTTGTTTATTTCGCCACAGGAATTCATATTTTCATGATAAAATTAGCCTATCTGTCAATACAAATCAAATCAAAAATATATTTATTTGCCATCACAACAGAGATTCATAGTAAGTCTTGTATAGCTATTACAGTGTTGTGGCTCCTCTATTTGTGATGAACTGGTGCCTGAAATAGGTTTCAGCAATAGAAACCTGTGCTACAGGTCACCAGGCCCAATCACAGATAGCAAGACTTCCACGGATGGTACAATACCTTGGACAGTTGAAATATGTATATACATTGTTGTTTCAACAGCATTGAATAAAAGAAAACAAATAAATAATAACAAAAATCAAAGAAAGCTATTCTATCTAATAGGAAGCTAGAAATTTATCCAGTTTCCAAAAATAAAAATAATAACCAAAAACGGCGTGTATGTGTGTGATAGTAAGTGTTTGTGTGATTTCGTTCTTTTTGTGTATGTAATATGTATGCAGTGTAGTGTATGTGTGTGTATGTTTGTGTATGTGCAGTCGTGTGTGAATGATTAGTTTCAACAGTAGCAGAGGCGAAATTAAAATCTCATGTGAAAACTACGAATATCATCATTATCAGGTTTACCTTAGAGGGCATAATACAGGTGTCATACTATCGGTGTATCAAACTTCATTTAAATCCGTTCAGTCGTTTTTGCATAAAATTTGCATTTTCTAGTAGGTAGTATTCGTAGGATAGATCGCTTTGATATACATACAGGTTCTTACTAACAGAATGCTTGGATCTATAACTTCCCCCGTCGTATACCACGGGATATAAAACCATTCTTGAAAGTTGACGCGGCCGCAGCAATGAAACCTTGTTTGAAGTCGATCTATGGCCACTTTTGATGGAAGATGGCTGGCGTATCGTAGCATGGCTTTGGTTATACCTCCTTTGATTTTTGCTATAAATGTAGTTTGTTAATCTTATAAAGGTATTCAAGTTAAACAGTTATATGTACGCTTGAATCAGATCTTGATAACAGACTAAATTAAAGGTACCTCGTATTATTGTTGACTGAAGGCCTGAATAAAACATGATCGCCAGGAAGACGATTATCATCACAATGAGCGACCAGATATAATAATACAATCCGTTGGTTACGTTATATTCTTTCTTTGGAAGTCCAGCCTTGAACAACTGATACAATCCATACAGCTAAATAAGGAGGAAAATCACTCTGTAGTTATTATTTCTTACTGTTAGACTAGAACGATTTCTCAGACTATCAAGCGATGACGCAGAAAAGAGCCGTGCCATCGTTTACTAGTTTCCGAAAACGCCCGGTCCGGTGACAGCCTTCCGCTATCGAGAAAGTTCTATGTATATATTCCTTTTGCTTAAAGTCCAGCATAGGAGATGTAACCTATCTCATGAATCAACTGCAAAATATAAATTTTATGGTAGGTATATGTAGTACGACGATCTTACGAGTAGAATAATAAAATAATTAATGGCGGTTGCTTAGATGTGTCTAAGTTTGAGATGCGCCTTTTTCGTGCTCATTATATTTTTCTATGTGTTATCTAAATTGAAGATACTAAACGGGAGACTGAAATTAGCGCAAGTCACGGCACAAAAAACCAAATTCATTTGCCGGGGTGTTACGTATTTATGGTTGATTATTGTACCTGAACGTAGTACGCACTGCTTAGTTTACAACCGCCATTAGTTTTAAAAGCACCACTCTCATTTATAAACTAGATAGTTTCTTATTTTTACTTGCTTCTATAACTACAGCAATTACAGATCCGCTTGCAATAATAACAGGAATAGCATTTCCGTCAGGCCAACATACAAGATCCAATAGCGTTCCTTCTTCACTCCGTATGCTTTCAGAAGTGTTAACCAACCAAATCAAATAGAAAATTACAACAGGCATGCAGGCCATCAGTAGCATTCTTATATTGTTGAAAGAAGCCCAAGTTAAATACATGCTAAATTCTTTAACTTATCGGTTTAATTACAAATCAGTCATTTTGACAGTTACATTGACAAGTTCTTTTATATCTGTATTTTTGTATTTTTTGTGTAGGCCGCACTCTTTCAAACATTTCATGAGTACATGTCTGAGATAGATTGCAGCACAGAACACATGCCTGCAAACTGCATGCGACGCGACGCCATCGGGTTTCTATGCAGTGGCGGCGCTAGGTGTCGGCGACGTCGGCCACCGCCGACGGCCTCGCACCTGAGGGGGACTCGCAAATTTTTTTTAAAAGTTATTTATTTTCGTTTCTCCTGGCCTGGCTTAGGTAGCCGACCCCGAACAATTCGGGGGAAAAGCTAAGCAGATGATAATGACTTTTATTATTTTTGAACACGTGCGTGATGGAAGCGAGTAGTACTTTACGGGTATTCAGAATCGTCTGTCTGGCAACACTATTTTTTGTAATTTATCTATTTTTTTATTTTTTTTTGTCATCATTTGATTATCAACAATAAAACTCGTTTACTCATACGTTATTTTATAATTTGCCTCACTTAATTTAACGGTTTTTTACTGCGAAGTAAAATAGGCCTCGCGAACTTGATGTCGCCGACGCACAGTGGGTGAAAAAAAGAGGTCCCCTTTCATAGGATTTTTGAAAAAATAAAAATGTATATTATCCGTTTAAGGTATGCGGTTTTATTGGACATATCAGTACATTGAATAATAAAATAGTTTGGGGAATTTCCTTTTAATCTAACACCATAAAGCACGGGCTTTAGAGTTTCAAATGTATGAAAACGGAATTTGTTTTGCTCATAACTTGTCTCGGTCTTCTACGGTCAAGCTGAAACTAATAGGGATTATTACCGAGTCTGTTACGAAGCCATGTGACCTTTGACCTTCACCCCGGACGGCCCCGTTCAAAAGATACGAATTTTTCAAAATGCTTATTAGGGTAATTTTGCTTTACGGGGTTATGTGTCTCAATAAACAGTTTGTTTATGTTTCTTGCCCAGCATTTAGTTATTAATACAGCGCAGATTATTATCTAATAAAACTATACATATATATATAGATAACGACACCATACAACTTAACTTTAAATAAAAGCGTCCTTATTCAAAAGATATGGAATTAATATAAATAGATAAAAGAAATAGTTTTAAGAAAAAGAAAACAAGAATACAATATTGTAAAGAATTACAATGAAGTCCTTTACAGCCTACAATTTAATCTTTTGTTTGACAATCGCTTAAAAGCCGCGCGCCATTAACGAGAGCATCATTACATATAAACAATACAAACTCTATTGTTGCAGGTTTTGAGGAATTCAAAGGGTTACCCACAGTCATTACCTGCCGTTGTTTGCCTATAATAATTACTCATTATTTGCTTTTATTGTGGGTAGGTGAATAAATAATACGTTGTTATTATTATTATTCAACAATGACTTCGATTATAATAAATACAGAGTACACCTGTATTTCATTTCACTTATCATTATTGATTCGTACCGTAACGTTCTCTTTGCTCAAATTTTAAGTTGCTCAGAATGGAAGGGCTTGTGTCTAATCTCGACGTATATATATATATGAGGCAAAAATCTTTTAGTGCCGACATGTTATTTCAAAAAGTACTCGATTCAGTGAGATTTTCATTATCTGAAGAACAAAAGACAACTCTTAAAACGTTTTGTGCTACATATACGAGTAATCTTAAACGCAAATGGAAGTCAGCTAATTACACACAAGGGAATTTTATAAAGAAGTTTGCTGACTGGTTGGACCAAGAAATAAAATGGCCAGAGTTTGTTTCACTAGACATAACTGAAGAACAATCAAATATTATGACGAGTTTTGAAGATCCTTCAACAAGTATTTCAACAGTAACAAGACCTAGTTTATCAACGGAATGCACTGTTCCTCATAGTGTGGCTGTGTCGACATCAACCGCTACATTTAGTCCTCGAAAAGAATTTGCCAATTTGAGTCCACTGCAAAAAAGAAGAAGAACTGAAAATCTCATTGCCGAAAACGATTTTGAGACACTTGCTTATGCCCTGGCTAGGAAAGCGGAAAATGAAAACCAAACGGACTTTGTAGAATTAGTGAAGCATTTGATTAAAAAGCCTGAAGATGCGCCAATGCTGCGAGCCTGCCTGAAATCGACGAAACGAACTTGTCATACCGATAAGGCACTCGGTATTTCAACATCACTGAAATTATCGAAATGGCAGTATATTACATTGAAGCAGACAATGAGAGACATCGGGTGTGATATACTTCCATCGTATGATGCTTTGAAGCAAGAGAAGAAGGAGTGCTACGTTGAAAAAGAAGACATGGTAATAACTGAGACTGAAGTTAAACTTAAACTTCAGTCTATTTTAGATATTACGGTCAAGAGACTATTAAAAACTCTGGAAACTGATTTAACTGGCAGTAATTCGACTCTTATCAGTAAATGGGGGTTTGACGGTGCATCTGGGCAAAGCAACTACCAACAAAAAATTAACGGCGATGATTCAAGCATCTTCATGTGTTCATTTGTGCCGTTAAAACTGGTGAGAGAGATGGTACTGATGAAATAATATGGGAAAACCCCAAACCTTCAACGTTTTACTGTCGACCCATTTATTTTAAGTTTGCTAAAGAGAACGATTTGAATGTTAAAGAAGAAATGACTTCAATTGATACGGAAATTGCTGCTCTACATCCAACTGTTATCGATGGTGCAAATGTAAAACACATTCTGCATATGACGATGATTGATGGTAAAATAACTTCACATTTATCAGATACATCCACAGCTACATGCGATATATGCAAAGCAAAACCAAAAGAAATGAATGATATCGACAAGGTTACTCAGAGAACCCAGTCTGTAGACATGTTTAAGTTCGGTCTGTCTTCCCTCCATGCACGAATTAGATGCATGGAATGTATCTTACATATTGCTTACCGTCTCGACTTCAAGAAATGGCAAGCTAAGGGCGAAGATTTGAAGCAACAGTTAAGCCAAAGAAAAAAGGCTATTCAAGAACAATTCCGGACTGAAACGGGGCTACTTGTGGACGTTGTTAAACAAGGGGCTGGTACAAGCAACGATGGAAACACAGCAAGAAGATTTTTTGTTAATCCTCAAATTACTGCTCAAATAACGGGTGTTGATGAAGAACTCGTTAGAAGATTTGGAGTGATTCTTCAGGCTATCTCATGTGGAGAGTTTGTGGACGTGGAAAAATTCCGCCAATATTGTGCTGCTACAGCACGCAAATATGTCGAGCTCTATGAATGGTATTATATGCCCTCAAGCGTGCATAAATTACTCATTCATGGTGCCGATATAATAGAGCACAATAACTTTATACCAATCGGCAAGCTCTCTCAAGAGGCCTCTGAAGCTCGTAACAAAGATTTTAAAAACTTCAGAACCTTCCACTCGCGTAAATCTAGCAGGATTGCAACAAATGAAGATATTATCAATAATTTGTTAATATCGTCTGACCCATACCTATCAAGTTTCAGGCCTAAAATATGTCAACGAAATAAACCTCTCATAAATGAAGCTAAATCATTATTATTAACTTCTTGTGAAGATAAGGAAAATATAGAGTTTGTAGATGTAGGTAATGTATCTGATTATGACTTTGATTAGTATGTGTTCTTTCCGTCAAATCAAATTATATCAAACTTTGTATTTTTATTTTTTTGTATCTTTGTATCATATTAATATAAACAGTTTACATATTTAAGAACTGTTGTAGCCAATTTGAGTTCTACTAATCTTTTATACTTTAGCTTGTATGTGTGTAGTAATTTATACAGTTGTGGCTTCCTTATTATGCATTATTTAATTTATGATATCAAGCTTAGTTAGTAATTTAAGTTTTGTAAATAAAAATATTGATGTTAATAATTTTGTTTTATTCATAATGTAAATAGTTTATTTTCTCGTTTGGCAGTAACATATCAGAATCTCCCTTACTACATTTACTAATATTAATAACCAGCTAGTTTATCTGGAAAAACACTTTGTTCATTTTAAGCTTAGTCAGTTAAAGTTCTAGGTATCCCAAAATAAACATATTTGATCAAACCCTTTCTTAGATAGACATTGTAAGTGTAAGTGTGTTTGTTTGACAAAATTAATTATTATAGGCAAACAACGGCAGGTAATGACTGTGGGTAACCCTTTGAATTCCTCAAAACCTGCAACAATAGAGTTTGTATTGTTTATATGTAATGATGCTCTCTAATGGCGCGCGGCTTTTAAGCGATTGTCAAACAAAAGATTAAATTGTAGGCTGTAAAGGACTTCATTGTAATTTTTTACAATATTGTATTCTTGTTTTCTTTTTCTTAAAACTATTTCTTTTATCTATTTATATTAATTCCATATCTATTGAATTAGGACGCTTTTATTTAAAGTTAAGTTGTATGGTGGCGTTATCTACTGTGTAGTTTTATTAGATAATAATCTGTGTTATATTAATAACTAAATGCTGGGCAAGAAACATAAACAAACTGTTTATTGAGACACATAACCCCGTAAAGCAAAATTACCCTAATAAGCATTTTGAAAAATTCGTATCTTTTGAACGGGGCCGTCCGGGGTGAAGGTCAAAGGTCACATGGCTTCGTAACAGACCCGGTAATAATCCCTATTAGTTTCAGCTTGACCGTAGAAGACCGATACAAGTTATGAGCAAAACAAATTCCGTTTTCATACATTTGAAACTCTAAAGCCCGTGCTTTATGGTGTTAGATTAAAAGGAAATTCCCCAAACTATTTTATTATTCAATGTACTGATATGTCCAATAAAACCGCATACCTTAAACGGATAATAAACATTTTTATTTTTTCAAAAATCCTATGAAAGGGGACCTCTTTTTTTCACCCACTGTGCGACGTCCACATGTGGTCTAGCGCCGCCACTGTTTCTATGGAATCCCTGCAGACGCGGC